GGGGGGGGGGGTTCCCCCCCCCCCCCCCCCCCGACCCCGGCCCGCTACCCCACTATGTCGCTACCCCGCTACCCCGGGGGCCGGGGGAGGGGGCTGCCCCCCCCCCCACCACGGCCCGCTACCCAACTATGTCACTATGTCACTACCCCGGGGGCGGGGGGAGGGGGCTGCCCCCCCCCGACCCCGGCCCACTACCCCACTATGTCACTATGTCACTACCCCGGGGGCCGGGGGAGGGGGCTGCCCCCCACCCCCGTCCCCCAGCCCACTACCCCACTACCCCACTATGTCACTATGTCACTACCAGGTTTCAAAAGTTCTACCTTTGAAAGTACATTTAGCCTCTGAGGTTCGAATTTTCATCGTATAAACAAGTGATTTGATAGCAATATTGAACTCATCGCTCGCCTTCGGCGGCTCTTCGCCCCTGAGCTCATGTTCCATCATCACATCTGATCGAAAGCCACGCGGGCTTCGCCCGCGTGATATTCGCGCGGTCGCCGTGCCCTTAAACCCTAAACGTTAAAACCAACCCTACTACTACTACCTCGGGTGGAACTACGTTTTTCAATATCCTAAAACTCGCGGCCACCGTTTCGCCCCCTCGCGGCTAGGGTCCTCGAACCCTAGTTAGGTTTAGGGTTGCGCGTTCGCGTCTCCGCTCGCTCGTCGTCGCGGCCGCGAGGGGGCGAAACGGGGCCGCTCGGGGGGTGGGCGTCTTGTCCGAAGGGTTAAAGGGGGGCGAACTCCGGGTAGCGGAGGCCACTACCTGAGAGGAAGAAAATCAGATAGCGGGTAGCGAGCCCCTTCGCTACATCGCTGCTTGAAAATGTCGTATGGGTAATTAGTCTTCCAATATTTTGGTTTTTTGGGGTAGACTACCCATCCCCCTGTGACGCTATGATACGAAGGTAGGCTTGCACGAGTAAGTTGTTAAATATGTACGAAAGTACTTCCATAAAGTTGTACTTTCGTACTTTCGGTACGTTGTACGTAGGGCTACAACGTTGTAGTCGCGGGGCAGTCGCAGCGCTATGCATGTACGAAGGTACTTTGAGAGTACTAAAGTACTTTCGAAAGTACTTTCGTACGAAAGTACGAAAGTATTCTATCCTTCGAAGGTGTCAGTCGTCATGTATCATATTGTTGTAGCCCTACGGGTGTACAGCTGTACGGAAGTACGGAAGTACTTTCGAAAGTACTTTCGTACGAAGTACGAAGTACTTTCGTACTTTATTTTTACTTCCGGAAATAGAATACTTTATTCGTACTTTCGTACTTCCGTATCATACGGAAGTATCATACTTCCGGAAGTACTTTCGTACCTTCGAAGTACCTTCGTATCTATTTCCGGAAGTACGGAAGTACGAAAGTACTTCCGGATGTACTTCCGGAAGTCCCTCCGAAGGTATAGTAATAGTCGCACATAGGGCTATCGGATAGTTGATTAGTCTAGCTAATTGATTTAGGGCTTACCTTCGAAGGTAGTTGTTTTATATGGATAAGTTGTCATCTACGAAAGTACTCTCGAAAGTACAACGTTGTACCTCTTAAGGTAGTCCTCTACGTAATTCGAAAAAATCCACCTAAAAAACGTACTCGTGACTAAAAACACGTGCAAAAGTGTACGCGCGAACACCCGCGCGCGAAACACTACTCCTCCGCGCGCGATGCACGTCTGCGCGCGAAACTTTGCGTGATAACAGTTCTAAGGCATGCGCACAATGTTACGCCGGGGTTTTTCGACTTTCGCGCGCGTCGCGAAGAAATCGCAGATCTTGCCCGAAATCGCGATTCGCGACGTTTGCGTACCCCTCTTGCGACAGAGAACATGAACGCGAAATCCCCGGCGTAGGAAGTTCGGCGTTGATGCCTGGAACGCGATGGTGCAAAAAAAAATCGTCGCGATCTCATTCGAGGAAGGAGTAGTGTTTCGCGCGCAGGTGTTCGCGCGTACACTTTTGTACGTGTTTTTAGTCACGAGTACGTTTTTTAGGTGGATTTTTTCGAATTACGTAGAGGACTATTCTATATACACGTACACGTAGTACCTTAAGGTAATTATGAAGGTCAATACAAATACTGTAGGCTTGGGCTAGTGAGCTGTACAACTACACGTACACGCTGTACGTGTACAGTACGGAAGTAATAAAAAGACAGGATGATACTCGTACACATACACTACGTGTACAGTAGTACTGTAGCCCTAGTGTAACGCGTGTACGTGGACTGCACGTGTATGATAATACCGTTAGTTGTCTAGTTGTACAGTACAGTACTAAAATCCAAACTTAACGGGTACTGTCCACGTACTGTACACGTATGTATATCTGATTACAAAAAGACTGAGCTCTAACCCATCCGGGCAAAACATGTGATCTATAATGCGAGCAGACCGCACTACGAACAATCCTCTCACGTACGTGTACACGTACGTGTACAACGTGTACAGTAACAACTTATCGACTTTTTCGACTTTTTTTTTTGCTGCGCTCTCAGTAGATCAGCTTCTCAGGTGCGTTTTATACAAAAGTCTTTCACCCATCGCTCGGTTTCAACATTTGATCGCTTCCCCTTTCAACTGACCGATGAACTGTTTTTGTATAATTTTTGTCCGCGTGATGACGTGTCCCCCGCACGTGGCTCGCAATAGAGGCGTCGCTGTCGCTCGCGCGCGACGTCGCACACGCACCACGCGCGCGGTCCGTCCCCTTGAGGACAACTCGGACGCGCATCGCACCTCGCGCGTCGTATAGGCAGAAAGCTCCCGTCTGACCGCGCGTCGTCGTCGTCGTCGTCGCGTCGCGTCGCGCGCCCGTGACGTCGCGCGAGATGGCGTCGGCGTCGACGACGGCGACGCGCGCGGGACCGAGCCTTCCCCAGCGCGTCCTCGCGCGCCGTCTCAGTTTGAACGCGCTCGCGTCGCACGCCGCGCGGCGCGTCGCCGGCTCGCGCGCGTCGTCGTCGTCGTCGTCGTCGTCGTCGTCGTCCGCGGCGTCGGCGTGCGCGGTTTCGTCTCATCTCGTCGCGCGACGCGCCGGCGCAGCGCTCGCACTCGCGTCCGCGGCCGCGGTACCGCGCGGCGGCGACCTCGTCCGCACTGATCCACTCCGCGGCCGCGGTTTTGACGCGCCGCGTCACGTCGCGCGCGCGGCGGGCGGCCAGGGCGGCTACCTCCTCGGCGGTCGCAAATCGAAAGATCGATACTCGGACGCCGCCGCGCGAGTGCCGCCGTCTCCAGAGGAGTCTCTCGACGACGAGGAGAACGCGCGCGTGAGGCGCGCGCGGTTCGAAGAGGAAGAGCGCCAGAGGTACAAGAACCTCCCCGTGAAGATGAAGATTCGATATGCGCTGAGGCGGCTCGATAGGTGAGAGTATGACCGCCCGCCCGACTGTTTCTTTCCGCCAGTCGATCCCGAACTCTCGATGCAGGGACTACTTTTCTCTCTGAAGGTTACGAACGAAACGTTTCACCCCTCGCTGCCCGGTCTGGAGTTGGACTGATTCGACCGCGAAGCCCACCGATTGACCGATGCCGTCGCGCCCCCTCCCCGTGAACAGCGACGGGTACTGGGCAGTGATCAGCAGCGGCATCGTCTTCGGGACGTTTTTACTCGAGGTGAGACTGTTTCCCGTACGACCCTCTTCGCGTGTCGAACGCGATTCCTCGAGAAATCCGTTTTGGTCGCTTCGCCCGCCCGCCCGTCGCGCGGACCGCGACGCAGATGACCGACCGATTCGACCCGTTCGACCGAATCGACCGACCAACTGATCGACCTACGAAACGAATGCCGACCTGCGCACCTTTTCAAACAGTCCTACAACATGAGCTCATTCGGCGGCTGGGACGTGCTGTACCGCGACGACATCAACCCGATGACAGGGCTGATATCTATGCAAGACCTCACGGACATCGAGGACGCGTACAACGCGCTGTTTTTCTTCGAGTTCTGTCTCCGCGCATGGGCCGCGGATTTCAAAAAAGAATTTTGGCTGAACCCCGTCACTGCGGTGGACTTCCTCGCGACGGCGCCGCCCGCGCTCGCGCTCATAGGGATGATGGAATCCGCTTCGCCGGTGTACCGGTTCTTGCGTCTTCTAAGGGTGTTGCGCCTGCTCAGGTTGCTCGACCGCAACGCGGATAGCGTTCTGTTCGGGCTCGTGAAGACGGATTCCATGGGTGTGCAGCTCATCGGCATCGGCGCAGAGGTACGCGAGCCGATTGTTGAGACTGTTCCCCGTATAACCGTCCATGCGCGTCGAACATCGATACCAAGGACCTTGTTATTCGCTCGTTTCTTTCTTTTCACCCCACGCACGCTTCCTCGGTTTCAGTAGCCTAGTACATCTCACCGAAATGCCTGCATACTGACCGACCTGATGAAAACTAACTACCCCTGCGCTGCAGTTCGTCTGCATCTTCATCATTGCCGCGGGGGTCATCTTCGACCTCGAGTACGCGGTCAACGAGAATGTGAACACGCTGAACGACACGCTGTACTGGGCGATTCTGACCCTGACTGGGATCGGTCAGCCGTTCGAGGTAGTCACTGCGGGCGGACGCATTGCGACGGTGTTGTCCATTGCCGTTGCGCTCATCGTCGTCCCGGGTCAGCTCGCGAAGCTCGCGACCGTCGCGGGGGCGCAGGACATAATGTCCGGGATGTTCATCACCGACGAAGGCTCCTCGGAGGACTCGTTTGACTCCATGGACGAGGTCGGTAGACTACTCCCCATTCGACCGCCCTGGAGTGTTGAACATCGATTCTGGAGGACTTTTCCCAACGTTTCTCTTTACCCGCGCTTCCCTCTCATTTTTGACCAATAAGACGTTAGACTGACCGATGCGTTCCCGATCGTTTCACATATTCAAGGACCCGATGATCAGCAGCGACTGGGACGTGTACGGCGGGCCGCCGAGCACGTGGGACACTGGTGACGGCGGCGCAAACTTCACGCCGCCGACGGCAGCGAGCGCGGCAACACTATCGGAAAATCCGAGACTTGTCGTGTCCGACACTGCCGCAGGGCTAGCTCCCCTGGGCATGAGCGTGGATGACGTCGCAGCCGCGCGGATGATGGGCTCGACCGCGGCGGGCGGCGTGGCGACCGCGGGCGCGACGCTCGCAATGCGCCCGAAGCGATGGGACGGCCGCGAGTGCGACCAGTGTGGGTTGCAAATACACGAGTCGGACGCGCGGTTCTGTCGTCGCTGTGGCGAGCGCTTGGGGCTCACGGAGAGTGCGGGGACGCTGTACGTGAAGAAGGACCCAGCGGTCGTGGAGAAGAGGAAGAAGAGAACCGCGCAAGGAAGCCGGAATTTGAGCGCCAAGTTCAAACCCGCGGCGAGCATGGGGGGGGGCATGCGCCTCGGGTTGGACATCTCTGGCGCGATGCAGGTGTCGTCGAAGGCGAAGTCGAAGTCGAAGTCGAAGAAGAAGCGGGACCCGAGCGGCGGCGCGAAGAAGCGCGAGGAGGAGGCGTGAGGACGACGCGCGAGTCGAGTGGAATCGAATCAAATCGAATGTGATGTACGTTTCGACCGAGGACCGCACCGCGCCGCGGCGGTGCGTATCTATCGTACCCCACGCTCGTGTATATTCAAATATATGCGCGTTCTATCGTAGTCGGCTTGTCGGAGAACCTCACGACTCCGCGAAGGTTCCGTGCAACGCGTCCATGAACGCGAACGGAAACGCGTAGTTGACATCGAAGCGCTCGTGATGTAAGTCGTGGAACCGCGACGCGTACACCTCCACCCCTATATCCGCACCCGTGGTTTCGGTTATGGTTTTGGATATGGATTTTTTCTCGCCGTCGCCGTCGCCGCAACCGTTTCTCTCGCCGAAACCAAAACCAAAACCAACGCGGAACCGCACGCCGCAATGATCGATTATCCCGCACACGCCCATGATTGCCATGTACGCGAGAAAACTCGCGATCGGCACTTCACCGCACACAAACGCGGACGAGTACAATATCGCGCAGTATCCCGCCGCCTCCAGTGGGTGGATGAACAGATCGTCAAACGGCCGCGGCGACTTGTAATGATGATGGTACTTGTGCAACCTCTTGTACAGGCGCGGTGCGTGCATCGCTCGGTGCCAGTAGTATTCGAGGACGGACTGCCAGAGGATTATCTTGACGAGCGCGACGAGCGACGTCAGCGGCGGAGCGGTCCACGACGTGAGCGATGAGTGCCCTCGCGCGGTCGCCTCCGCGGTCGCGCCCGCGAAGAGCGCGCTGACGAGCAGGTTCAAGGACGCGAACGTCGCGTGCTTTGGATGCCGTCCGCGCGACGACGACGACGACGACGACGACGAAGACGCGAAGAGGTCAAGCAGCGGCAGACCCCACGCGTATTTCTTGCGGGAGCTGCCGCGGCGATGCGCGTCGCCGTCGCCGTCGCCGTCTCCCGGTCGGATCGCGCGCGGCTGACACTTCCACGACGTCTCGTCGCCGCGGCGTCTGTGGTAGTACGCGAACTCGACGATCGACGACAGCGCGACGTATCCGAGGAGCTGCGCGGCGAAGACGGCGACAGAGGACGCGCGAACCCACGGAACAGGGAAAGACGTCGTGGTGTTCATCGGCGGACTCCGCGCGCGCGGCCTGTGCCTTCCCTTCCCCGCGCGCGTCAGGCTGTGCCGGCACTGCATTTCGTCCACCCGGGTAAACTCCCGGCCTATTCCTAACTGAAAGTTGATGGTGTGTGTAGTTGAGGTACGTGTACAGTACAGCTGTACTGTACACCGCGTTACACGTATGTAGCTATGTACACTACAACGTTGTACACGCACAAGTCACGCACATACAGCACGCACGTCGGTACACATGTACAACGTCATATGAGGCCCAAAAAGTGGACATCGTCAACCTGCAAACCTGCAAACCTGCAAACCGCAGTTCGACATCGCCGCCCCGCGCGTCGCGCGCGCCCGCGCACTCCCGGAGGCGCGCGAGGGCAAATATGCGTACCTTATGACCTTATGTGATGATGCGCGCGCGGGGGTATCTTCGCGTTATAGCTTGATGATGCACGGCGCTCCTCGCCAACCCGCGGATGAGGCGAAAAACCGAGCCTTCTCGGACCCGTCCGCGTTTTTCAGGTGAAAAAATTTCTCTTCGGCGGGGAAATATAAATGCCAGGCGTCAGGGTCCGCGTGTTCGTGCGGCCATGACGACGTCGAAAGGTCATGAATGACTTTGTCACAGGGAGAAGAAGTGATGTTTGTGATATATATCGTCGATATATCTAAGAATATGACGTCGCTTATGGTTAGAACACGATGTAATCGGCGCTTGAAAAGGCCAGTGGTCACTTTTTGCCAAAAACGTGCTGTCGTGTTTCCGTTCGAAAAACGCGAAGATGTCTCCATCGGAGCCGCGCGCGCCAGAGGCGGAAGGCAATATATGAACACGCTCGGTACCCCCGCAATCGCGGCGCAGCATCACCCCGAGGGTGTGCGGCACCCGTCGTGGCCCTCGCGCGCCTCCGGGAGTGCGCGGGCACGCGCGACGCGCGGGGCGGCGATGTCGAACTGCGGTTTGCAGGTTTGCAGGTTTGCAGGTTTGCAGGTTGACGATGTCCACTTTTTGGGCCTCATATCGTACAGTTATCGTACCATATGGAAGTACGAATACTTTCGAAGGTACACGTACAGTACACGTACACGTATTAAGTACGAAAGTACTTTCGTATTAACGTAGCGAATATCGCGAGAGGCACCTAGCTAGATCTGTTCAATATCATACCTTCGTAGTATTGTACGTGTATGTAGTCATACTGTACGTGTACTGTATGCGTATGGACAATTCCGCGTGATCGTATGAGCATTCTGTGAGAAATTTCAACGTACTAGCTAGGGCCTATCTAGCTATCTACCTTCGAAGGTACGAAAGTACCTTCGTACGAAAGTACGAAAGTACTTTCGTACGAAAGTACCTTCGAAGGTACTTTCGTACTTTCGTACGAAAGTACGAAGGTATGTGTACCGTAGATATGTGGGGTCGTATGAGTACGACTGGTGTTGGTCCTGCAGGGTCTGTCGACCGTGCGGAGGATACGGTGGGCGTTGTGTTGTGTGTGTTATTCGAAATTGTCCTAGCTATCTATTTGGAACAGCTATGACAGAGCAGGCCAAAGTAGTTAATAACTCGAGCGTACTTATTTAAAAATAACTTCCGAAATAACTTCAGGGCCTCCGCGCGCATGCGCCTCCGGCCCTGCCGGCGGCCTAACGGGCATGAAAGGACACCCCGCGGCCCGCCAACAAGTCGGGTGGGCGCGAATGGAACTGTTCCTATATGGCGCGGGCATTCTCACAGCACTGATCACTCAATACTCGTCAGACAAGCGACGATGCCAATAAATGTGGGCCCAACGCTTCTTTCGAGGTGAAGATGCCCACCTAGCGCCATGGTGTTGTACACAGATATTCCTTTGTGTCAGAGACAAGCGAACACTTTATTATTTTTCAGTTTAGGGTTGTCCGCAAGATGCATCGCGCAGAAAATAGTCTAGTTGTCGTCAGTAATTTCTTTCGGATCTTTTTTAGCGCCGCACTCTCTGGTCCACAAATGTTTGACGTCGGGGTGGGATTGGTTAACGCGTTCAATATGATATCAGCGCGAGGTTTTTGAGGTTCACCAGTCTTGACTTCTTTGATCGTGTTCGCAGAGAAGACCGGCTTGTTGAATACCTTGTTGTCGAGGGTGTGCCTTTCGAACACGCTCACGTTCGGCGCTTTAGAAGCGGCATTGAGACAACGTTCCCACGTGTTCGACACCGGAGGTGTCTCTTCGTCGGCGTCCTGGTCCAGGGCATGTCGGGTTTCAGTCGTTTCTTCTTCCGGCTCAGCCAGCGCGGCGCATCACGAGCCGCGCGCGCGACAGGTAGTTATTTCGGAAGTTATTTTTAAATAAGTACGCTCGAGTTATTAACTACTGTACTTGTACTTTGGCCTGCTTTGTCATAGTCATAATATGTACTGTTGTACATATTGTCATGTACAACTTGTACTGTACGTGTACAGTACTGTATGCGTATTACACTTTACAAAGTGTTGTGAAGCATCGAAATAAATATGGCTACACGTACGTGTACACGTACGTGTAGCTATCTATGCTAGCTACTTTCGTACGAAAGTACTTTCGAAAGTACTTTCGTACAACGTTGTACCTTCGTAGCTACGAAGGTACGAAAGTACCTTCGTAGCTAGCTACCTTCGTACTTTCGTACTTTCGTACGAAAGTACTTTCGTACGAAAGTACTAGTAGCTACGAAGGTAGCTAGCTATGATAATACACTACGTGTATCATACGTGTATGTTGTACTGTACGTGTACTGTACACGTGTACGTGTACGTGTACACGTGTAGGGCTAATTAAATTTGTACGAAGGTACGAAGGTATCATAGCCCTAGACCATTTATTTACCGAAGGTAGTCTACACGTACGCAGCCCTTCCGGGAAAATGTGACGTATTCGGGCACGGGACTTTTACTACTCTACGCAGCCCTTCCGGGAAAATGTGACGTATTCGGGCACGGGACTTTTTAGCTATCAATAATCTCTCAGCATCGCATCCTATGGGCATTTTTCGTATGACTTTCTATTCAGGGCAGTCTCATATTTCTCGGAATCCGCAAGGGTTTAGTCGAATACTCCAAGGTTTTAATTGATCGGGTTATGGGCTGAGCCCGCAACGATTTGATCGGACGCGCAGGGGTTTTAACCTGTCGTCAGCAGTGAAACTTCGCCTTCTGGGTTGAAAGTTTTGATCGCCGAGGTGAACTTTTTTTTTCTCTTGGACGTGGCGACGGCGACCGGCGGTCGCGGCGGCGGGAGGTCGACACGTCAGTCGTTTTCCGGTGCAATCGCTTCGTCACGCGCGTTGAAGACCCGCGCGCATTGCACACGTCGTTTCCGGCGTCGCATCCCGCCGTCGTCTACCGCGCCGTTCCGTATGACTTTTTGGTCATGACCACGACGGCTGTGCGGTTTGCATTTTTCCAGTCAAAAGTCACGTGTCCGGATACGTGATATTTGGCCAAAAGGGTCGCGTGTTTCCAGACTAGAAAGTTTCGTGCCCGAATACGTCACATTTGCCCGGAAGGGCTGCGTAGTGGCTGAGAGGCTGGCATCGCGGGGGAACAAAAGCCTCTCAAATGAACGCGGCCCTTTTGGTATTTGTCCAAATATCACGTACGGAAGTACTTCTACTTCCGTACTGTACAACACCCACTTACACACTAGCCTAGCCCTACACATACTGTACACGTAGGCAGTACGTACTACTTTCGTACGAAGGTACGTAGCTACGTACTGGGAGGTGGGGGTGGTGATAGCGCTGGCGATGAGGGTGCGGTCGGTCGACACTCGGGTGGAATGTATGATACGGAAGTACAGTATCATACGTTGTATCATACGAAAGTACGAAAGTACTTCCGGAAGTATTATTTTCGTACGAAATAAAGTACGAAAGTACTTTCGTACTTCCGGAAGTAACGTTGTACACTACACGTGTACGTGTACTTTCGACCCTTCGTAGCAGCCCTACGCGTACGAGTACAGGTAGAAGAAAGCACGCAGAGTCAGGTGGAGTGCGTTTTCGGGGACGTTCGCGTCTGCCAGGTGATCAAAGGAAACGGGGAGGTGTCGCGTTGTAGGACGACGGTACCACTGCACGCGGCCGCGGAGAGCGAAAAATCGAAAAGGAGGAAATACGAGGCGGCGTGCACGGCGCAGTGTTTCACGTTCATCCCTCTCGTCATCGAGTTGTACGGGGGCATCGGCCGCGACTTCCTGAAATTCATGGGGGACATCATCACGGCTCACGCACAGGGCCGGGGGCGTGAAGGAAACCCCCGCGCGGCGCGCGACCGTGAGATGCGCAGAGTCGCGGTGGGCGTAGAGGAATACCCGCCGAACCCGTGCGCCGCTGACGCGCTCATCGACTGGGAGAGGCGGATCTCGGTGGCGCTCATGCGAAGCGTGGGATGCCGGCTGCTGGGCGGAGGGGTTGATTTCTTATTCGCGAAGGAAGGGGGCAATGACCGGGGTGTACGTGAGAACGATGAGACTGAAGGTCTTGGGGAGGACCCCGATTTGGGCGGCGTGATCGTGTACAGGTAGTTGTTTTTTGCCTTAGCGAGCAGATTTCTAGGGCTGCACGTCACGGAGACTTGAAATAACACACACACTCTCACACGGTAGAGACGAATACATTTTCGTCTGGCGCTCAGCCGGCACTTCACTGACGCAAGACTCTCAGGACGCACGCGCACCATACGTGAACCACGCGCGCCATGGACGGCCCTTCCGACGCGGAAAAGCTTCCCGTCACTGTGCGTGCTTTCCCTCTCCGCGAGCGCTCCACCGTCGTCCGCTGCAACCGCAACGGGCGGAAGTCGCGCTTTGCCCTTTTCTCTTTTCCGACGGCGATTCCCGACGCACCCGACACGACCCGCGCGGCGAACTTTCATTCGCGTCTAGGTCCAGGTTCCGACCACCGCGAACGCGTTCGCCGCGCTCATGTGTGGGTTGCTGAGCTCGCGACTCGTGACTGATCTGTGCCTCCGGGCGCATCCCGACTCCTGCTCGTTCGTCGACCGCAGATCGTCACCGGATTCCTCGGCGCGGGAAAGACAACTCTGGTGAACCACATCCTGAAAGGCGACCACGGAAAGCTCATCGCGGTCATCGAAAACGAGTTTGGCGCGGTATCCATCGACGACGCACTCGTCGGCGAGAATATCAAAGAGAAGGAGAACATCATCACGATGGACAATGGGTGTGTGTGCTGCACCGTGCGTGGGGATTTAGTAAGAGCACTTCTGACGCTGAAAGACCGCGCGAAGAAGTTCGACCATGTCATCATCGAGACGACCGGCCTTGCGGATCCAGCCCCCGTTGCATTTACGTTCTTCATTAACCCGGAGATTGCGGAAGCATACAGGATCGATTCGATCCTGTGCCTCGCAGACGCGAAACACATCGGCCTGCACTTAGCTGAAGAAAAGCCTGACGGCGCTGTGAATGAAGCAGTACAACAAGTCGCGTTCGCGGACAGAATTTTACTAAACAAAATTGATCTCGTAAACGATAACCTGCTCGACGATGTGATCGACACGTTAAAGAGCATAAATGCGGTCGCCGAGGTCATCAAAACCACGAACAGTGTTGTTGACCTGGACAAGGTTCTGGGCGTATCTTCCTTTTCAATCGAAAAGACTCTTGAGGTTGATCCAGATTTCCTGGACGATGAGGAAGGGCACGCTAAGGCGGAGGCGATTGAAAACGCAGCCGCGGATGGTACCGATGACGCCTCTAAGACCGCTGCGTGCACGGACGACTCCCATGGTCACTCTCATTCCCAAATAAACAGGCAGGGGACCACCTTGAATGAACCTGCGAAGAAAAGACCGCGGAAAAAGAAGCATGACCTGACCGGCGTGAGCAGCGTCGGGATCGTCGCCGAGGGCGAGCTCGACTTCGCGGAGGTGAATACGTTTATGATGAAAGTGCTGCAAGAGAACGCGCTATCGATTTACCGCAGCAAGGGCGTGATGTGCTTCAAAGATCAAGGGGCTGTGAAGTTTGTGTTTCAAGGTGTGCACGAGCAGATAAACTTCGGGCCGTCGTCCGTCATGTGGGGACAGGACGAACCGAGAGTGAACAAGATGGTGTTCATCGGGAGAAATTTGAATCGAAAGGAGCTCGAGGATGGGTTCAGGGCGTGTATCGCGAAGTGAGAAGCGGTTGAAAGAAGCACACGTTAGAAAACCGTCATTTTCTGTTAAGAAACGTTAAAAGGTCGTGACGAAGTTTCAGATTGATCGACGCAGCGACAGAGCATGGGCGCGCACGAAAGTACACGTACTGTACGTGTACGTTTTTTTGCGATTTAGATGAAATACCTGTACTTTCGTACTTTTTTTCAAAACGCGAATTACCCAACCACGACCTTAAGGTCACGGTCCGCTAATTAAATTTCCCGTGCCAAAAATACGAAATTTATACTGAATACGCATACAAATTGCAAAACGTACTTTCGTACGCGCCCACACGCCGTCGCTGCGCGGATTGATTTGAAACTTTGTCACGATATTTTCCATCATGTCGATGATGCCCTCTCAAAGTTTCGCGATTTTAGGAGGCCTGGAAAGCGGTTTTCAGACCTCTAAGAGCCTTTTTTTTGCGTATTCAGTCTAAATTTCGTACTTTTGGCACGGGAAATTTAATTAGCGGACCGTGACCTTAATAAGATATCCTATACATGGCAAATGATGTACACGTGTGGCGCTAAGAATTTCGCGAGGGGCAACTCGGGATCGATGACTAAATAGTCATATGCGTATGGGCAATTCGCGTGCTCGCCATGGGCAATCAGTCACAGATTAATACGTACTCAAGTGTTGTGAAGGATCGACTTATTTCTGTACACGTACACGTGGGTCGAAGCCTCGAACGCCTAGGCTACAGAAGAGCCTCGTATGTAAATCTACACAGACGTGCCTCCGTGCGAGATAGTGCACGTGCCGTATGCTCGAGTGTAGTGTGTCTACTGCATGCAGTACACCGTTGTACCGTTATACTGGACCGAAGGAAACCCCACCGTCTCGGTGGGACTCTGCATAGAAAAAAGAAATACGGAAGTACTTCCGGAAGAACCTTCGAAGGTGCAGTATCATGATATTGAAGCATTGTCCACTATCGCCCACGCCTCTTTCATCTCTTCTTTCAAGAACATGTCGTGGTACAGACAAACTGGGCACACCCACGTGCCATCATCCTTGAAGTGTTTCGCGCGCGGGTGTTCGCGCGTACACTTTTGTTCGTGTTTTTAGTCACGAGTATGCTTTTTTGCTGGTTTTTTCGAATTACTTGGAGGACTATCATACCTTAAAGGGCGAAAACCTGTATGTACACGTAGCCCTACACGTACTCGGAGTACACTACAGTACGGAAGTACCTTCGTACGAAAGTACACGTCTTACTCACGCCCTGCGCTGTTCAATGACTGATCAAAAGAACGCTTCCTCGCCCATGGCGTCATAGTCCGCGGTCGCTCGGATCTTCGCCGACGCGGCAGCTGCAGCGGCTCGGCGCGGACGGCAACAGGCGCGAATGCCCGCCTGCGTCTTCGCAGCCTTCGCCTTCGCCGCCGCTACTTCAGAAGCGTTGGACGGTCTGCCTCGCTTCCTCTTCAACGGTGCCGTCGGAATCGGAGCCCTCGCACGGACCAGAAGAACGCGCATCGACAGAGAACCCGACGGGCGAGCGACGGCGCGCGCCGACGCCGTGGAAACCTTCGGCGGTCTGCCTCTCTTCTTCTTCATCGGCGTCTCCGGCTCCGGCGATCGAATCGCGCGCATCGAAGATTTCGAAATCGGCGGTGGCGTCGCCGGTGAAGGCGTCCCGATCGTCGTATTTTTCTTCGGACGGCCACGGCCGCGTTTCGTCTGAACCGGGGTCACGACTTCGACGTTCTCCACGTCGTTCTCCGCGGCGTCGGTGTCGGCGTCTTCGAATACGCCTTCCGTCTCATCCGCCGCGGCTTTCGCGCGCGCAAAGTCCTCCGTCAGCCACTTACCCCACGCGAACGACTTCTTTCGGTCCAACAATTCTGACGGAGACGCGCCAGTAGCGATGTGCACGAGGTAATCATGCGCGTTGTCAAACCCACGCGCGCGCGCGAGGTTGACCACCTGATGCGTCGGCGCCAGGCCGTTCGCCTTACGGCACGGCCCGCAATTGCAGCACGCGACACAGCCGTCGCCGCACGACCCGCGGCATTTTGGGCATTTCCACACTCCCGACGCGATCGCGTCCTCGATGTCTTCGCCGTGACGGTTCCGCAGGCACATGCCGCAAAACGCGAGCGGGTTGCTCCGCCCTCTCCCGCACGCGTCGTCCGTGCAAAACACGTGCGGCTCAACAGTCTTCTGCCTGCACCAGTGGCACGTTACCCCGAGCTCGGAGTCGTACACTCTGCCACCAACGGCGTACCGACGCGATTTGAAATCCACGTCTGTCAAGGACAAGAGTTTTATGGGCTTGGGTTTTCCGCGCCTGCGCTTCGCCTTCGCGCGCGCGACGTCGTCGTCGTCGTCGTCGTCGTCGTCGTCGTGAGATTTGCACTGCGAGGCGTAGTTGACCTTCGCGCGATCGCGCGACGATCGGCGACGCTCAGACTCCGGTACGAAGACTCTCGCTTTCGACGCTCGGCGCTGTGGGAGACGGGGGTGGGGGCGATCTCCGGTGAGCGCGTAATCGTGTTTTGGCGCGAAAGCGCGATCGCGAGGTAAAAGGGCGTGTTTCGCGCGAATTCACGGCGCGAGATGCCGTGTTTCGAGTCAAATCGATCGACGAACGTCATCGGAGGAAATCCAGAGCGGTCAGTCGGGAAGAAGAGTCGCAACGATCGCGCGAACGCGACGACGCGGTCTTCCGAAAGCGCATCGTCTCGCACCGGTGTTGGTTTGATCGTCGCGTCCGCCGCAACCTTGGAGGACAGAGACAGTATTCCCATCTCCACCATCCTTCGCTTGTTCTCCTCGATCCGAAGCGCGCGGTCGCGCTCAAATTCGTTCATATTCAAAAGGGCGTGCTTCGGCGTTCGGCGTGTGATACGAGAGTACCTTCGTCCAATACTGCACGCGGCGCCTTCTTTGTACGTGCGGCTCTTTATCCGCCTATTCTACGCAGGCCGGAGGTGTGACATTTGGGGCAAATAGAAAGCGGGAATTTCCGTTTTCCCCCCCCCGTTTGCCCCCCCCCAATCGGGATGGTTTTCCGATCAAAAATGCTGAAAGGGTATTTTTCATCGCAAGAGCCGATCAAAGGGTTTTTGCCGCTAATGTCACACCTCCGGCCTGCGTAGTTACAGGTATACAGTACAGTAAGATATTCGCAGGCTAGCAGGGGGGTTAAACCTGTATAATCGTTTATGATGCACCGGAAAGCAGTGACCGGAAAAGACCGGTAGGGACCGGTAGGGGTTTTTAGTAAGAGTACGAAGTACGAGTACGCCAAAATTCGAGACTCTGGACCCACCCCCCCCCCGCGCAAGTTCTGCGCTTCTGCCGTCGCTGAGTGCCCGTAAACGCCGTCGCCACAGTGGGATGAAATGCTCTGAACACCATGATTCGTTGATTCGTGTAAAAACATGATACCATTTTCTGTCAACAACACGAAGTAAACGACGCCGCGAAGAGGACGTCGCAGCGGAATCATCGATATGCGAAAAAAAGGCCGGCCGGCTACCGAAGTTGCGAGGGACATTCCGCGCGCGCATGTTCAGCACCTCGTCGTCGCAGCATAACTGCACTTACCGCCCATTATTTTCGCATTGATCGACGCAGTACGGTGTTTAGCGCAATTCATCTCACGCTGGCGACGGCGTCCGAGCTCTCTCGGCGACGCCAGAAGCGCGTAAACGCGCGGGGGTGCGGGGTCCCGGGAGACGCCAGCCTACTCGCACAGATAATTCCGTACTCACACGAAAAACGCATAGAACCGGTCTTTTCCGGTCACTCCTTTCCGGTCCGTCGTAACCGGTATTTAATGTGATGAGATAGACACAGTACACGTACAGTACTCGTACCGCGTTGTACACGTGGCCAGGGGGGGGCAATACGAACCCTAAATCCGGGGTATAACCTCGGTCACAAAATACTCATACAGTGGGAACCCGGGGTTCTTTTTTGGATAATAGTCCGGGGTCGGTACTGGTTTTCAGTCACTGTGGAATTTACCTAGGTAAAAGAACGTCGTCCTGACCGAATGTGGTGTACAGTACGAAGGTACTTTCGTACTTATTTTTTCCCGGGATTCCTCCTAAAAATCCCTCACTGTACTGACCAGTACTTATTTTTTCCCGGGGTTCCTCCTAAAAATCCCTCACTGTACTGACCCGAACCCGAGGTAGTGGGCCTAAATGCTTCCCATGCTGACTGTCAAGTTAGACGTAACTCAGCGCCTTGTTCACTAGTTGCGCGACGAGGGCATCCGGGATGCGTTGCGCTTCGTCTTCCCCGGGGGCATCTTCGTGCGACGTACAAGTTGAAGTGCGTCGCGTCGTGGCTTTTTAACTTCGAAGCGGGGAAAAAAGGTAGTTGTTCGCGGTACGATAAAAAAACACTACTGTGAAGACCCGAACTCCGAGGTACCTACCCTGGGAAACCGAAAAAAACGATACTGTATAAAAAAACCCTAGGTATTTTGCGATAAATCGTGTACTGTAGGCCGAAATTTCCCGGGGTACCGAACCCCGGGATTGCCCCCCCCCCCCCCCCCTACGTGGCCCTACGAGTACGTGTACGTGTACAATAAACGCGTTGTACACTATCTTTGTACGACTTTTGTACGGAATTACGTTTAGTACTTTCGAAAGTACGAAACTAATAGAATCGAAGGTACAGCTGTACACGTACGGAAGTACATGTACACGTACACATATCCAGGTGGCTATCAGCGAAAGGATATGAGCTTAGAAAGGATATGCTAGGCCATGCTGTGTCTAGAAATATTCTAGCTAGAATACGTTGTAGCTACGGTAGAAGGTAGCAAGGTACGGAAGTACGGAAGTACCTTCGAAGATAAGCAACTTAGTCTAGCTAGTACGAAGGTAGATACTTATGGAAGTACTTTAGTATTTATACGGAAGCACTTCCGGAAGTACAACGTTCACGACTACACACAGCTACCTTCGTACACACGTACAGTACTGTACGTTGTAGGGCTAAAGTAGTGATAAAGTACGTTCGTTGTACACGTACACTGTACACGTACAGTAGCCATTGTTGTTTTATTTTAATGATTGTGTACAGTACACTATGTTGCTATGTTCACTACAACTACACGTGTACACGTACATACGTGTAGGGAGTTGTGTAGGGCTACACGTACAGTATGTCATTTCCGGAAGTACACGTACGTGTATTTTTGCCCTCGAGAAATAAGATAGGGCTACAGTACGTGTACAGCTGTACACGTAGTTGTACACGTACGGCTAGCTATTACCTTCGTACGAAAGTACTTTCGTACCTTCGAAGGTAGTTGGCTACTGTACACTACAGTACGTGTACAACTAAAACGTACGAAAGTACTTTCGTACGAAGGTACTTCCGGAAGTACACGAACTTCCGGAAGTGCAGTACGTGTACAGTACACGGACACCGTACTACAATATTATGGCGGCAATATTTCCGGAAATACGGAAGTAGGGCGAAGTACACGTACTGTACTGTACGTGTACGTGTACGTGTACGTGTACTGTACGTGTACCTTCGAAGGTACGAAAGTACTTTCGTACTTTCGTACGAAAGTACTTTCGTACGAAAATAAGTTGTAAAAACAACTTTAATAATACTGTACACGACTACACGTACGTGTACGTGTACACGTGTACGTGTACAGTACGTGTACTTTCGTAGAATATTATGGGCTCTCGTAGTCTACCGTGTACAGCTGTATGTACACGTGTACGTAAAAGTACCTTCCACGTACTACTACCTTCATAAGGCTACACGTACTTCCGGAAGCACAACGCTGTAGTCTACGTACCAGGGGTTACCTTTTACGGAAGTGGCCCTACTACCTTGGAAGGTACGTGTACTTCCGTAATAAATAAATACTGAGCACCATCTGGGCTCTCGCTTCCGGAGGTGAAATTTCGACCAATCACGTGCGTTTCGGCGGTGTGGCCAAAGCACTGCCCTAATTTTGATCAGAACTAAAAACAAAACAGCACTAAAACAAAACAGCACTACACGTACGTGTACGACTGTACGTGTACGTGTACACGTACACGTACGTACGAAAGTACGTTCTTTTGTAACAACTTTATAGTTGTACGTTCGGTCCAAGTGGAGTTGTTTGTGGCGTAGAGATTGGCGCTCCCGGGGATCGACTTCAGGGGGGGAAAGTTTTAAAGAAACAGTTGATAATGATTGAAATGCATGCAAAAAGCCTAAGTCTGTAAATGCGTTTTGAAAAAGTAAAAAAAAATACAGTAACAACTTATCTACCTTGGTACTGTACACGTACAACTACAGTACGTGTACACGTACGTGTACCTTCGAAGGTAAAAAAGATGCTGGCAGCTATCTGGACTCAATTAGATTCATTATACAGTACTGTATACCAAAACAAACCGAAGAAAAGCCAGTTAGTATACACGTACATAGGGCCTACATACTGTACACGTACGTGTACAGCATGTCGTGAATGCTCGGGTACAGTACTAAAATTACTGTATCTGAAAATTATTTCACCCGAAGGGTTACCAACTTGCTCAGACTGTGGACTTCGTACACATTCTAACAATTTGGGCAATAACACGGCATAACAACGGCGTGCGCGCGCGCGCGAGCGCCATCACGCGCGCGGCTGCGTGCGCCCGTGTTCCGTCCCTGACCCCGGACATACCAAAAAATATATATTTACACAACCGTGTAACGACGCGTCCACGCGCGATGCGGCGACACCGCACCGAATTCGTGCGCGCGTTCCCCGCGCGCATCGCGCTCCTCGCACTATTGGCGTCGATTCATTGCGCGACGCGCGCGCGCGCGGAGTCTCCCACCATCGGCGCGGGCGACGCGCACACGTGCGCCATCGACGGTGCGAACGCACTGTGGTGCTGGGGCGCGAAGGATGACGACCGGTGCGACGCCCCGCGCGGGCCACACGTCGCCGTCGCCGTCGCGAAGGGCGGCTGCCACGCGTGTGCGATCGCTTCCGACGCGTCGATGAGCTGCTGGGGATGCGACGAGCGCTTACAAGCGAGCGGGATCCCGACGTCCTCGGACACGCTCCGCGGCTGGGTCGCCGTCGCGTGCGGAAAGACGTTCTCTTGCGGCATCGTCAACGACGGCTCGGGGAACGTCCGGTGCTGGGGCGAGCCGCTGCCCGCGATAGGGACGCGCGATGCTTGGGTAGGGCCGTTCGCGACTGTCGTTGCAGGAGAGGATTACGTCTGCGCGCTGGGCAAGGACGACGGGCTCGCGCGATGCCGCGGGTGGGATTCGAGCGCGCAGGCGAGCATCCCCGCGACGCTCGCGAACGTCGCGTTCGTTGCGATCGCCGCTGGGTTCGCGCACACTTGCGGAGTGACGCGCACGGAAAAGTCGCTGCGATGCTGGGGCGGGAACGTCGCGGGCGAGAGCGCGCTCCCGAATGCGACGTCGGCCGGCGGCGATGGCGGCGGGTACGCGACCGGAGCGACCGTCGTCGCCGCCGCCTGGGGAGCCATCGGCGTCGGCGCGCGATGGACATGCGGCGTTGTCGGCAGCGCGCGGGAGCTCACGTGCTGGGGTTTGCGGCGCGATTATCCGCCAGCAGCGGCGGCACACTTTGAAGAGTACGGCCAGGTCCACAGCTCCGGTGCGGTGGTGTCCAAAAATGGTGCATGTGCGTGGGACGTCGTAGCCGTTGGAAAGCGCCACGCGTGCGGGATCACCGCGTCGTCCAGCGACGCTGGTCCCGCGGGAAGTGCAATGTGCTGGGGTGACGATTCTCACGGGCAGTCCGCACCGCCGGGCGAGGGCGACGGTGTAGTCTTGCCGTGGAAGGCTTGGCCGACGGAGACCGAGGTGAACGCGACGGGGAGCGCAATTCTGGCACTGAAAACTTCCGCTGGGGCAACTGCGCTGTGCGACGCGGACGTCGTCGCGAGCGGCAGCGCGGGAGTGTGGAGGGCACGCGCGGTGGAGAGACGCGCGCTCGCGTCCTTAATCGTCGCTGCGGCGGTCATCGCAGTCGTCGGGGTCGCGGGTTTGGGGGAGGGCGCGAGTGCGCGCACAAGTGACGGCAGGGTACCATTCAAGCCGCGCGCGATGAAAAACGTCGGACCTGCGATGAGGGGCTGAATAAGAGAGAGGAGGGGGCGGCGGGGCACTCTTCGTGCATGGTCGCGCATTTCATTCTCGTTCGGCTCCTTCAATGCACGCAGAGCACTCTCCGAGTGAGGGTGTCGCGCTCACGCTACCGCCCCGGACTCGAGCTCGAGAATCCTCTGCATCGTCCCGGACACGAGAAACTCGTCGATCTTCTCCGCGATGCCTTTTCCGATCCCTTTTACTTTCGTCGGTCCGCTCTTCGCGCACGCCTTTCCGGAGTCCACGACGCGATCCAACGCCCGAATCTCGCTTGCAGCGGCGACGTACGAACGAATCTTGAACGCGTCCCCGCCTGCGTTCTTCTCGAGACGAGCGAGCCTGTCGAGTGCCGACGCGAGAGCGGAATTTTTCTCGCACCTCGCCGGCGGGCCTCCCGAGAGCTCGGTTTTCGTCAGCGGCGCGTGCTCCTGGGGTGGTAGGTATGCAGCAGTCGATTGAATGGAGTCGCGGTCGAGTTTGAAAGGAAATGATAATGAAAAGAAACGAGCAAGCGACCCACCTCGCGCAACGCCGAGAGCGCGGCATCACCGTTCCAAGCGCCTGCTTCGAAGTCTTTCGTCGCCATGAGTATCGTGAGGCAAAGCACTTTCGCCTGCTGGTCGTCGACCGGGAGCTGAAACTTTAACCGACGGGCGACGCGGAGGAGCTCGACGGCAGCGTCGGAGCGGTCGAACAAGGCGAAACCGGAGACAAAGTCCGCGCGCGAATCCACGTTCGCATTCGCGTTCGAGCCCGCCGCCGCCGAGGAGCCGAATTTTGGCGCGGGGTCGTCCTTGGTTCGCCATCGCTCGCGGACGACCTCGTCCGAGTCGTCGGCAGAGAAGTAGCAGTTTTGATGAAGCCCGAGGGCGTCGTCGAAGAACCCACCGCAGGTCCACGTGCCTTTCCCGTCGTGCACCGCGGCGTCTGCGGATGGGTAGTGCACTCGGAGCTTTCCGGCGCGACAGCGTGGGCACCCCGGGAGGGCTCCCCAGGTTTCCCCGTCCACGCAGCGCGCGACATTAAGCTCCTTAGTCCCGGAGTGTCGCATGTTGTTTGCCTTGAGCCACGACTTGACCTCGTCCGCTTTCATGGACGCGTATTTATCCCACGTACTCGAGTTTCCCAAGGTTCTATACGCATCCACGATGTCGACACCGTACTCCAGCACCTTCGCTGCTCTCTTCTTCTTCGCGGTCGGGGACGCGAGCGCGGGGGCTGCTTCCGTGACGAACGCGTCGTTTTTCTTCGCTCGCTTCGCGTTCGCGTTCGCGCTAGGCTTCTTCGCGCGCTCGACCATCAGCGCCGTGTACGTCGCCTCGAGGTCACTCCGTTCGATGACATCAAAGAGGTCGACGCCCGCGTCCTCGAGCGCGTTCTTCTTCTCCCGGACGGACGCCGCGGCGGGCGGAGAACGCGCGGAGATCTCACCGACGTCGGACGTCGCGACGTCCTCAGGCTCGCTCTTGGAGGCGGAGCGGGATGGCGCGTACTCACTCTCAGAGTCGCCGTCGGCGTCCGTTCGGTTTCGGTGACGCTTTATGACCGGCATCGCGCGGCTTTGATCTGACGCGTCGGCTGTCGACGCTCGTGCGCTGCGGCCTCACGTCATGCTGCTGTGGTGGTTATTTTTTTATGGCCATTTCAACAATACAGTAAGTTGTTACATGAAGTGCCCGTCGAGACTTCGTCTCGGTACACGTACTGTACAGTATGTGAGTATTTAGTCTGAAAAAATTCTATCCGACTTGCACACACGCGGGTATTTCTGTAATACGAAAGTAACTCGCGGTTTCTCTCTGACAGATTGCCCATACGTAACCTGGAGAGGGGCCCAAATTCTAATATGGGATATTTAGGTATCTATCTAGCTAGCTAGGGTGCCCCCTGAGAGACGCATTTTTTCAACTTTCATTTTTTCTGCATTTTTTTCTTCCTCTCGTTTAGAAAAGGAATTAGTCTAGGCAATGATTACACGTACGCATACACGTACTGTACAACGTTTATTTGTTGCCCTACTCTACGCGTACACGTACGTGTACGTGTACAGATAAATATCTATTTCCGGAAGTATGATATGTTGTTAGATACCTTCGAAGGTACGAAGGTAGCTTTCTAGAGGGCTACGTTGGACGTGTACGCTGTACATACAGTACAGTACACGTAAATTGCTATTTCCGGAAATAAAAAATACTTATTTCCTCTTCCGTGTACGTTCTACATTGGACAACGTACACGACTACACGTACAACGTACCGTGCTGTACTTCCGGAACATAAAAATATTCATGCATACAGCATGGCTATTGTAGTCTATGAAAGTTGTTTTATGGCTAATTGTTTATTATCATATTATTTAGGGATAGTAATGTAGGGCTATTATGACAACTAGACTATCATAATATCATAAAATACAAAGAACTTTAATAGTTAGCCCTACACGTGTACGTGTACGTGTACGCGCACAGTACACGTACTGAACTACTGATATCTTCATAAAAAATGAATATTCGTAATAGCATAAGGTACTGACGTAGCGCGTAGCGCTAGTCAGCGACGCGTAGCACTGCTAACCGCTGCTATCTGATGGCTGGAAGTTCTGCTGTCCCGGTCATGGATGGCTGCCGCTAGTGCTAGAGTGCTACTAGCGCTAGTGCTCGCGCGAGTCGCCGCTATTAACTGCTGCTAGCCGCTATTTTCTGCTAACCGCTGCTATCTGATGCTAGCTCTTGAGCTGGCAGCTGCTGCTGTCATCCAGCTAGCGCTAGAAACTGCTAGCTAGCACACTGTCGCTAGTCGCCGCCATTACGTACGCGCCGAGAGCTCGGACAAGACGCCCCACCCCCCGAGCACCCTAGTCGCGAGGGTGGCGAAACGGTGGCCGCGAGTTTTAGGATATTGAAAAACGTAGTTCCACCCGAGGTAGTAGTAGTAGGGTTGGTTTTAACGTTTAGGGTTTAAGGGCACGGCGACCGCGCGAATATCACGCGGGCGAAGCCCGCGTGGCTTTCGGTCAGATGTGATGATGCAAAACTTGAGCTCGTGGGGCGAAGAGCCGCCGAAGGCGTGCGTGAGTTCAATATTGCTATCAAATCACTTGTTTATACGATGAATATTCGAACCTCAGAGGCTAAATGTACTTTCAAAGATAGAACTTTTGAAACCTGGTCAGAAATAGTGACATAGTAACAATGTGGGGTAGTGGGCGAAGAAGCTAGCACTACACTACTGTAGTGCCGTACCTTCGAAGGTACTTTCGAAAGTACTTTCGTACGTGATATACTGGTAAACTCTCTTAAATTCACTTGAAAGGGGAGCACCTATTTTGAAAGCAAATCCGAGTTAAATCTCCTTTAAACACACAATCTCATCCGCACTCGTCTTCAGGTTGATAAATACCTCATCGGCGGGTCGATCTTTCGACTTATGGGTCAACCACAACGCGATTTGAAACAGAAACTGAGATCTGACTCCGATGAAACGCGGATTTGATAGGGAAGCGCCGCGTAAACAAACTTTAAAATGCTTACATACTAGCGCTTTCTAGCGCCTTCTAGCGCCTTTTAGCGATTTCTAGCGCCTTCTAGCGCCTTCTAGCGCTGTAGCGCTGTAGCGCTGTAGCGCACTAGCGCTTGAGTAGGAGCCTGGGACTACGCCCAGCTAGCACTGTAGCGCCGTACTAGCGCCTTTTAGCGCCTTCTAGCGCCATGTAGCGCCTTCTAGCGCCATGTAGCGCTCTAGCGCTCTAGCGCTCTAGCGCACTAGCGCACTAGCGATTGGTAGGAGCCCGGAGGCTGCGCACAGCGAGCACTGTAGCGCTGTACTAGCGCCTTCAAGCGATTTCTAGCGCCTTCTAGCGCTATGTAGCGCCATGTAGCGCAGTAGCGCTCTAGCACTGTAGCGCTCTAGCGCACTAGCGATTGGTAGGAGCCTGGAGGCTGCCCCAGCGAGCACTGTAGTGCCGTACTAGCGCCTTCTAGCGCCTTCTAGCGCCTTCTAGCGCCTTCTAGCGCTGTAGCGCTGTAGCGCTGTAGCGCACTAGCGCACTAGCGATTGAGTAGGAGCCCGGAGGCTGCGCCCAGCGAGCACTGTAGTGCCGTACTAGCGCCTTCTAGCGCCTTCTAGCGCCATGTAGCGCTGTAGCGCTGTAGCGCTGTAGCGCTGTAGCGCACTAGCGCACTAGCGATTGAGTAGGAGCCTCGAGGCTGCGCCCTACTAGCGCCCTGACGCAGCCCGGCCAGCACGCCTGTAGACGCCCAACAGGCCGATAGCGCCACTATAGTGCCAATAGCGCTATCGCCACTGTAGTGCCTGCTATCGCTACGTAGCGCTATGCTATCGGCGCAATATCCGTAATAGGGCTACACGTACAGAACGTGTACACGTGTACAACTCGTGTACACGCACGTGTACTGCAGGCCTACTTGAATCTTCCATACAAACAAATAGACTTGGCGTGACGCGAGAACAAGGTCTTGCATAGTAGTGCTGTCTTCGGCCTCAGGTACACGTCACCCACTGACCTGGACCAAGGCGGTAACCAAATCTGATGTCGCCGGCCACATCCTCTCTAAATGCTGAACATGCATTACGCGAACCCAGTGCCCAATATCAACCTCAATGCATACCCTCTTACGGCGCAAGAAACGGAACAGTGCCTCGACTCGCTGCCCATTTTTCGAGTGGTGGATCGTTTCCCGAAGTTCACGTAGCACAGTTTCCTCCTGGCCTGGATCTGGCGCTTTTGAACGCGTTGGACGCGCCTGATGCAGTATTGGAGTGTGCGCCCGACAACGTTGCCGAATCGCATGATACCCAGGCTTTAACGAAGCATTCGAAGCACACGACTTTCTTGCCTACACCACATGCAGTAAGTTCTTCTTTGGTTAGTTCATTTCTGTTTGAGATGCTTAGATACTCTTGTATGCAGGTATGCGCGCGTCCCACGATCGATGATACAAGTGCCGCGTTAATTAAGACCAGAGCTTCAATCCTTGGTAAGATTGCAAAGAAAGATATGCACTTGAAGGTCCATGCAAAGGCTCAGCCTGAGTTTGTAAAGTACACTCCCTCAATGCGGAGAGGAGATACCACTTCTGAAGCCTCCCATCGTGTGATAAAACTTCATGAAGTCCAGAGCGATCCTCTCGATCCACCAAAATTCCGACACAAAAAGGTAACATTACAGACTGTCTTTGAACAAGAACTTGTCTTACCCTTATTTTATTACAAGGTTCCACGTGGTCCTGGCTCACCTCCAGCTCCTATCATGCATAGCCCTCCCCGTTCGACAAACGCCAAAGAACAAGTTGATTGGAAGGTCCCTCCTTCTATTTCAAACTGGAAGGTGAATTTCTTTTGTACGCGAATTTGTATTGTTGGTATTTATATTCATATTTCACAGAACCCAAAAGGCTACACCATACCACTAGATAAACGTCTAGCAGCGGATGGCAGAGGTTTACAAGATGTGCATATAAATGATAATTTTGCCAAACTTTCTGAGGTATTAATACCTGGATGTCGTGGAAGAGTTCACAATCACAATCTGTATTTGTTTTCTCAACGACGAAAAAACTGATTTTCCTGCAAAAGGCACTATATCTAGCCGAAGAGAAAGCAAGAGAAGCCGTTGAAACTCGTGCAAGGTTACAGCATGAACTCCTCAATAAGCAGAAGCAGTTGAAGGAGGAAGATCTGAAATATTTAGCTCGGCAAGCTCGCGACGAACGACCTGGTGATGAAACACTTTCTAAAGGTGATCCCACTTCCGGATTTCTTTTTTTTAACTTGTCACATTTTTTCATTTGTTTCTGATTTTTTTTTTGTTTGAAGGCGTATCAGTTGGTCTGGATGCTCTTGTGAATATCCATTCTATCGAAAACAAGCGTCGCGAAGCTGAGGTCCGTCATAGATTTTCACTCATGCTTCAGATTTAAAAATTTGTTTTTGCGAAAAAAAGACGGAAAGAAGGCGCCGTGACGAAATCCGAGACGCTCGTCGGAGAGAAAGAGAAAGTGAAAGACGGATTGAGGTAAAACGCGCAGCGTTTCTTTTTCTTTATTATGTAGTCATGTATGCTGACAAGTGTTCAGGCAAATACGAATCATAGTGAAAAGAAGAGCAAGATATCTCGTGATAGAGAACGAGATGTTGGTGAACAAATCGCGCTCGGACAGTCAAAAGTTCCTTCAAGTGGTGAAAGGATCGCATTATTTGATCAACGCCTGTTTGACCAGGTACTTCACTCCGCTTGATTTGTTCGTAATCCTGTCTTTCTTCCAACCTAGAGCTTCTTTTCCAGGAGCGCGGCGTTGCCAGTGAATTTCGGGGAGATGATACTTATGATATATATGATGAACCTCTATTTCATGAAAAGGCACGATCATTTCACATGGAAACTTACAGTTTATTAGTTTTCGTTAATGTATTTTGTTCTGCAGACCAGTGCAGCGGTCTCAACGTGTATTCAGGAAGGTGTTGCTGGTGTTCGCAAGGTGACTTGATTTAACTTATCATAAATAGGCATACTTTAAGGGGCTGTAGAGGTTTTGGGAGGTCTTAAAAAATCCTCACGGTTTTCAAACCCTGAATTAATTAGTCAAAATCACCTACGCGAAGGTATCAAATAAAGTAGGTTTTGATAGGCAGGATGGCCTCTTTAAGCGCGAGTTTTTGCGTTATTGCGACAGCGTGTAGGGGGACTACACCCTTGAAGTACCGGCAATTCACTCTAATTCGCGGGCTTAAAAGGCTGTACACGTACCTTCATGTATTGTACACGAACTCTACGTACGTGTACAGTACGTATCTTTTTATTGGACTACGTATACCTTCGTGTTGATATGCGAGTTCAAAATTCAGGCTTTCATGTTTATACGATCACCATATTTCTAGGTATTGAGACTTCGTAGTTCGTATCTTCAGATATTGTGTAGGGCAATATTAATAGCATACAGTATCATCGTACTATACAACTAACGTTGTACCTTCGTACGAAAGTACAAATCGTACGAAAGTACGAAAGTACTTATTCGAAAATAGAATACGAAGGTACCTTCGTACCTTCGAAGGTACGCATACTGTACACGACACGGCTTGTACGAAGGTACGGAAATAGAATACTTCCGTGTTCTATTCAACAATAAAATGTAATGGGTCTATCTACTACCTTCGTACAACGTACACGTACATGCACGTGTAGGGCCCTACGGTATGTAGTACGAAAGAACTTTCGAAAATATTCCATACTTTCGAAAGTACGAAAATAGAATACTTTCGTACAGTACGGAAATACGAAGGCACTTCCTGAAGTAGGGCTACAAATATCGTAGCCCTAGTGTAGCTCTACAACCTTCCTCGTATCCTTTGCTCGCGTCCTCGTGTATTCGTGCGCACGGAGGTAGACTGTCTAGATAACTCCCTACCACAGCATAAGTACTTTAACATATCGCACAACATCAACGGTAGTTTGCACTTCATGCAGTTCACGAATTCCAGGGCGGACTCTCTTGTTTATCTACCAGAAGCCGCGAGGCTTTCGTGCAATATAATTCACGACTGCTTTGGTGACGATTCAGAACGTGTTTGCGACTCGCTGCTGCAGCAAGGGCAGCGCACTTTTTTTGAACTTGTCCGAATCACGGCACGTTTCTGTTCGATAGTGCATATGCTTATATTAACCAAGAATTCGAAACAAACCACGGGAGTCCAGAAATCTAATTTATTGACTTTCCAGGGGTTACGGCCTAGACGTTGTGAACATGCACTGCTAGTTCTTATCCAACACAACTGTATACAGCCTTGGTAAATCTTTGCCTTTTGGTTTTTATCCCCTCCACGCGTTTAACATACAAGTTTTATAGGCATTCAGATTCTTCGGGTTAGTACAGTATGATCGAAGAGCCAAAAGCTTCAAAACAACTGAGTTTTTGTGGCCAGTTTTTTATCACATAAGGCTACACAGCATTTTGCACCGGCTTCGGTATCCTCGCTTGCTCCTGCATATCAGGGTATGTAATAACTTTAATGTTCATTTTCATCTCAGCACAAAATAAGGAAATCAATGTACTTCAGGATTTCATGGGCAAAACTCACGAGCTCCTCTCAAAAGTATTGTTGGAGCATGGCAGACTGTCACTACGCCAGCTTGTAGAGCTCGTGAGTTTCAATCTCAGACAGCGCGAGATGAAGGAACTCTTTCTATTCGTTTCCGTGGTGCTGTATCGATTACTTATAGTTTCTAATTGCAGGACTTCAGATCTCTTCCAGATGTAGAGAAAGGTGTTTTGACACTCCTACTCTACGTTGTTGTTGCACACAAACACGCCTTTTTTCTCTACAGTTTTAAGCCAGCTTTTAGACGAACGCTGCATCGAAATTGTTCCGGTAATTCCCAAATCAACTGTTCTACGGCAATGATTCACGTGCATTCTCAACCCATAGGAACACCGCTTCGCAAAAAAATGTAAGGAAGACGATGATTATTTCTCTCCAAGTTATAGCTCTCCAGAGTCACGCAAGACACAATCCGGGGTACTTCATGTATTTTTCTGCTTCTTTCTACGAGCTAAATGCACATGTATTCATAGAGTCACTGTGGCAATATAGGTAAACTCTTTTTTCAGTATTCTCTCTAGCGTGAATCACCCCATCTTGTTGCCTATGATTATTCAGTAGCCCAAACACCTGCAAACTTGATCAGATTTGAAGACATGGTATTTTTTATTGAACACCAATGTTCCCCCTTCACACTTCCATGCTTTCTTTTTAGGCCACGCGTACTAGATGTCATTCCCTATGGTATGATAGTAATGATGCACGTATCGTTGGTTTAGCATTGCTTCTTTGTCCAGGCGTATAAATTTTGTGGAGTTCAATCGTCGCTTTCAGCACAAAGCTTGCTCAGCAACTGTGCGCACAAAGGCAGGGAAACTTTATGAACATGTTAAAACATTCAACTCTCATATTATGTACACCCAGGTTGACGATGAAACCAATCATCTTCTACTGGTATTCTCGCAGCTTCAAAAGCTCCTCCGTTTATGATTTTGTTCCTGCAGCTCCTCTTGGACATCCTCAGTCCGCGTGAAGTAAAAGATCGTGGCCAGGCTGCAAGTATTCACCAGGTTTTTTTTCTTGCTCAGGGTGATGGCGTCCCTTTTCTGATTCTCTTTGAAAAAGGCTGATATCTTACCGATGATCTGCAAGTCTAGAAAGTGTAGCAGTATAGTTGCCAAAGAAAGGCTGAAACAGCTCTGTGATAGCACAGGTGACTTAGTTTCGTGTTTTCGTGACGTTCAAGGAGGCAACAACTATAGTGTTGACGTGAATCGGACCATGCAGCTGATCCGAACCAAAGAGGCAAAGTGTGCAGAGCTTTACTTTTGTCCTATGCTAAGTTGTTTTGTGGACAGATTGAGGCGATCATTAGAGAACGGTTTGGAGTTCCTGCGTGCCGGATATTTAGACTTTTGCTTCTGAAATCCAATTTAGAACAGAAACAAGTTGCTGAGTTGGTAATCAGTCAATATATTCCGAATCTCAGAATATTCAGCGAAATATTTTCCGACATGACAGGCCATGATTCCCGTCAAGGATACAAGAGAGCTGTTGTATAAGCTCCTGAAAGCTGAATATGTGCAGATTCAAGAAGTTTCCAGAACTTCTGATCACGCACCGTCCAGGACATTCTTTTTGTGGCGTGTTGATTTGGCTCGTGCTATTGAAAATGTTGGTGAGATATATCAGTTCGCCTCTGAACTTTGCCAAGCTTCTCCCAAGTGCTTTGCCCAGACTAACTAGTTTTGGCACGATTTCTAGAGCGTGAGCTCTTTCGCACAACTTCCAATTTGCGGTCAAGGTTGCTACACGAATTAGCTCGAGAGCGGGAGGTGCTTTTTGTTTGCCTCTGAGTCTGTCCATCTATTTATGTCTTTCATTGTTGCAGACTCTTTCACTTCTTGAGTGTGCCGCAGACAAAGTGACTGTTGCCTTGACTCCAGGTCAAAGGTGTAATCTTGCGCGGATGAGAACAATAGGTACCAGACTTGAAAGTTCATTACAGCGACTTGACGAGCTTCTTCCGCTCTTCGATGTTATCTGAGGATGGGCGGCGTTTAGGTTGGCTTCTTATGATCCTCACAAATGCATTTGCGTTTTTGTTTCACTCTTCACGAGGACTTATCCCGGATACTCAAGGGTAAATGGAGGCAAAATATTCCCACATATTTCCACAACATGTGTCGAGCCGGTGAGCGAGTAGCCTGGGTGTTACTCCACAGCGTCATGGTCATGTATTCTATTCTTAAATATACCAGTCTACGATCAATGCTACGTTCGCAACCGCTTTGTCCTAGGATCGGCTGGCCGTAAAATACGGTCTATGACGAGAGGGTTCATAGGTGGAGAGCGTGACAGTTTCCAGGTTTTGAAACACTCTAAAATGCACCAAGCCCGTTCGTTCAACTCCCCTGAAATAAGCTCATCTGCCCCCTCATGGATGTTGCGTTAGTGCTAGCACAGTTACATGTCCTAGTACCTAGAGTGGCAAAGAGGGCACGCTAGACAGTTCTGTAACTCTCCAGCTATGCCTTGACGACCGCAGTGTGTGCAGAATGTCACGCTATCTGTAACTTCAATTTCCCTTTCGAAAAAGTACCCAAAAAAAAATGTAATGAAATTCCGGCAGTCAGAACTCATAAAGCACACAAAAAGTTTCTGCCTGCCTGCCACTAGCCACACAGATACTTGAGACCCTATTCCTCAACCCACGATACGTGGAGAAATCTATTGGAGGGTGCTAATTACAGGGTTGCAGCATAAAACGTTTGAAGAAAACGTCAGTAAAAGAGAGGTATAAATTCGCAAGACAGAGAAAAACATGACGAATAGATACCCGAAGAAAGACGGTGGTAGTGATGTCCACAAAAGAGTTAAATTTCTGCCGAGAGACTTTAATTATCGGACCAAGCTTAGTCATTGCTTTGCTACAATTTCCATAATGTCTTGTAAAATACGAAGACAATGCTATAAAAGAGTACAGGTCTGCTGAATCTAGTTGTTCTTTAGAGCCCTGAAGTGCAAGCGATGTCCGCGTTGCATATTCATATTGTCCAGAGTGAAGCTGTCGATGTGCTAGCAGCCAAAAGTGTTGTGCTTCAGCACATTGCCAGATGTCATCAAAAGGGCTGGTTTGCATCAGCGTATCTTCATAATCGATTGTTTGGGATTGATTTTGTGCAGCCTATTTCATATTACATTTTGTGAGAGCAGGCACTAAGATCGAAGAGGAAAGGATGGTAGTAAAAAGAAATAATACCTCATGAGCAATAAATACGTAAAGTTTCTTGACGAAAAGTGGATTTAATCTTCTAGAGCGTCTCGATCTCGCTAGCTGCCTCGTCAACAAGAAAAACTCTTTGTGTTTATTTGCTCTGCGATAGAATTGCATTGTATCAACAACCATTTCGTTTTGAAGAAGATGTTGAGCATAAACCTGAAACAGAAAATATTAAACGGTGCACATCGGCTTAAAAGAGTTGCTAAAGGAAATTTAAAAAAAGGGAGAGCACTTGCATCAATCTTTATAAAGTCATGATGCTTTGCCAATACTGCTGCTTGACCCCAATCACCAAGTAATGAGCAAACATTATTAGCTTTCTTAATGTTTTTACCCCTTGAAAAAGCGAAGACAGCATCTTTGCATAGACCTACGGAGCCCAGCAGAACTCCAATGTCGCTAAGTTCTCTGCAGCCTTCATGAAAATTAGGCAGAAGTCGCACAAATTCGACAAAATCTTCGACAGCATAAAAACACTTAAGTAGCTTTTCGAGATTGCCAGCACGTAAGTAGTACCCTGTTGCTTTAATCCATCTTCGGCGCTCAAAATAGTAATTTCCGATATTATGAAGAGCTTCTTTCGAGGTAATAGTACAACTGGTAGAATCGGGTATATACCTCTCTACTTTAAACCAATCCCCCAACTGTGCGCGTAATCCCACAGCAAGGTCACGGCGGTTGGCAACCAGGTAGAGCTTCTCAGCTTCGTCAAATTTTCTTAAGTATGCTGCTGTTCTTGCCTCCTTGATTCCGGCACCCAACAACTGGAAGTAGGGACCGCCCGCGGATGCTCGTTAAAATGTAAATTCATGAGAAAAATGAGCAGAACTACACGGCGTCACGCCTGCAACTGTTTTACGAGCTGAATGCCGTAAAAATCCGAGCACCGTGTGAACGCTTTATTGGCAATAAACATATTGCCTTGCAGTAAGGACTGCTCTGCTAATAAACGCCACAAGCGCGGATGCGTGTTATCATCGATAAACTGGAAGACATCCTGTTAAGTAAATATAGTGAATTACTTGAGGCGATGCGCAATAATACCGCGATAAAGGCTCATTTGGCTCACTAAAATCTTTCCTGAAGACTTGCAGACTTTAGGAGTTGTCTTGTGTCGCGGAGAGACTTAGTCTCATACTTGACAATGCTCTCTCGGCAAGGGTCGTAAGGACTTCTCATAATATCCTCCATGATAACAGCTTTTATCTCGAGGTCGGTGAAACTACATATGCAGCCCGAGAAAGTTACCTAAAAAATAAGCGCAAGTCAATGTAAGATTTCACTGGAAAAAAAGTAACTTACAGGTTCCTCGGGCTCACTTCCACGAAAAATGTACAAACGTGATCTTTCAACGAAAGCTAAAAGTGCAGGATCGTCCTTACTCCAAAACATTTCTAGTACACCTTGGCGCTTAAGATATTCTCTCGAGGAAGATGCAGACGAAATGTCGGGAGAGGCACCAGTAGGCAAAAAAATGTCATGCATTGTCAAAACTGCTTTCTTGTCTATTGCACTGAACTTTGTCCCGTCACAATTTAAAGCCAAAGCCAGAGAGTAGTTTCAACCAAAACAGAAGAAAGCATTTCAATTGAACGCATGCCGATCATGCAAAACCGATTGATCACCTGTGGCCGACTGCTAAGCATGTGCTTCCCTTCGAAAATAAGGGATGGTAGTTGATACCAGTATACGGAGCCGGACTCGCAACCAACAAGGATGACCTATTAGAGAAAGGACACGTGGGCAAACGCCAACAGATGCAACACCTGTAACAGATAAGACTGCACCTTTTCTGAAACTGCGAACGCGCACATTGACTCATTAGCTAGTTCTAATGGACACCTTCAATTACGGTCATCAAAGTCAATTATTCCCTTTATACTATTTTGTGAGTTCTCAAGTTTTTCAGCTTGTCTACGCACCAGAACTCAGAAATCTCTTTCGTTTGGTCGCAAAAATGATTTACTACTTCTCGCTCATGAGCCAGCTCATTTCGATGTTTAACTTCGCTACCTAGCTCCAGGGTATGTGGGTGCTTACGCAAGAACAGTATCGTTTTCTCGCTGGCAATTACAAGTTCTAGGGGAGTTTGTGCAGCACAGTGTGGCTTGAACTGCGAACGAAGGAAAATCACATTAGACAAAAAAAAATCCCAGGGACAACTCGTCATTAGACCATCAAATTAAGTGCATAAATGGGCGTAGTCAAAGAAACGGACCTCGATAATCTTATTCCATAATGTTACTCCAATAGCGTTGCAGATAGTGAGAATGCAATTTTTGGATTGGTCCTCGCCACTTGAGAGAAGACAGTGTTCCCCAAGCCCTCGGATTAACCCTAGATGTTTAACACGTTTTTTGTGCTTTTGATGACTCAGTTGATTCCAAAATATGACGCTGGACTCAACACTTTTCGTGTCCGCAAAGGCGTATACCAGCGTATTCGGTAAATAAGCCCATTTATAATCCGGTCTCAAACTTGCAAAATATATATGACTTTGTACTGCAAGTGCGATACGCAGACCGCTACCTTCCCATGAAACCGCATTTATAAGAGCTCCTGGCACTCGAAGTGTGTGCAGGTGAATCCCAACTGCGCTGTATAACTCGAGAACATTAAAATCCCTTCGTTCTTCGGTAAGAGACTGACCTGTATACGTACTTATTTTAAATCTGAGGGATATTGATGTTGTACTAGGTATAATAAAAAAAATCGATGGTATAACCAAGGCAGACCATAATTTGAAAGAGCGTGTGAAATTAAACAGACCAGCAATACAGAGCACTGTTCCCTGGGCGTTCCATCGTATCTATGATGCATAGATGATATCAGCGACACGTGCAATACAGATACACAAAAAAAATACCTGTGAAGGACAAAATCGTGTCTTAAATATGATTGGTTTTTCATCTGCTTCTGAACTCATCAACTGCACAGAACCATTTTGACAGCCAATAGCCTTATATAAATAATGCTATATATCAATCTTTTAACACGAGGACACCATATGTTATCATCTGAAATAATGTAAACGTACCAGTTTTGGGAATTGAAAGTTTTCATCGTGGCTCTCATTTCCTTTGCACCAATCAATCCCAACTGGCGGTAAACCACCACTTGCAGCAAGAAAGATTGTTGAGAGCGGGTTCCCCAAACTGTTGAATATAAGACACTGCCCCTTGCTCGTGCAGATCAAGATAGACTGTCCTCCCGGAGACCACTCAACTAAACGTAGATTCACGTGAAGTTCCATTCCCCATAGTCTTTTCCCATTGACCGAGCCAACAATTACAGCACCATCATCATATATGATACATACTTTTTCACCATCTTTAGACCACTTCATGTCACATACAAAAGAACTATTGCGATTGTTGATCATTTCCTCGAACCACAAACCCTAGATAAAACTATTAATATGTATTCGATTCATGCAGTAGAGGAGAAATCTTACCTTATGCAGCAACCACACTATTATCAAACCATTTTGGTCACTAGTTGTTAGTTTTTTATATTTTTCATTCCAGATTGCCACATTTACGGACCCTGGCGAAGAATAGTGGACGTGAATAAGCCCGCCTGGAGACTGTGTAATTGACGCGCAACAAAGTGACAGGTTCAAAATGAAAGAATGCGATATTGTGGACACACCAGAATGTCCTTCGAGCGACTGATTAATAGAAAGGTTGCTGCTGGGGAGTGCGGTCTGGAAAACGTATTTCTAACGAAGTCACGCGCAAATTCACAGATGTTAGAACAAGTGAGAACGCGCCTTTGAAGAAGACTCATCCAATTTTAAAATTTTTAAAAAGCCATTTTCTCCACCGCATGCAATCCAGCCCTTTTGAAACAATCCTCGTTAGAAAATAAACACGCTAGGAAATATACTTAAAAAAGAAGATAAGTAACTAGAATGGGTGGTTATAAGCAGGCGAGATGTACAGAGAAGATGGCAACCGTCGAAAGGTTTCCTGACGTGACAAACCTGCTCACAATTCCAAGATACACATCGAAGGGAAACGCAGTTCGGTATCTCGATTTTTTTACTGCGTTGCGACTGTCAGAATAACAAAACAAATCGCACGAGTGAAAATTATGCAAAAAACACCTCAGGTAAATATGCATCCTTTTCCGCAAAATAAAGCTTCAGACAGCGCTGTGTTGACTTTTTTTACCAAGGACGTCCGACGCACGGAACCTATGCGAATGCACTGCCTTTTCCTTCACAGGGAACGGTGCGAGCATAACAGTGTGCCGAATAACGGCACGGAAGTAGTACGTAGTAATAATTATGGAGTTCTCATTGCATATGATTAAGCCGGATCTACATGAAGGGCGGGGTGTCAAACAGACGTACTTCCGTCTCGTGTTTGAAAGAGATTACTTACGAAGGTTGATAAATACGAAAGTACGAAAGTACAAAGTACGAAAGTACCTTCGTAGGTACTTTCGTACTTTCGAAAGTACGAACGAAGGTATCTATCTGTACAGTACATGTACGTGTACGTAGCTAGTACGAAGGTACGAAAGTACCTTCGTACATTTTATAATGAATACGCGACTCGCACGCGCTTCTGAAGTAAGAGGCCTTCTCACTATGAGTCTCGCTGGTTCGTCCTTCGACTTCAGAGTACACCTACTGTTTCGTATCATCCAAGGTATTGATACAGTACATATCTGAGCCGTAGAAAAGAATCATTAAGATCGCAAGCGACAGAAAAGACCCAAGCTCTTTAATCTTCTGAGACAGCGTTTTAATCTCTGGGCATGAATATTTTTCGATTCGGTATGGACTTTCGCACCCTCCTTACATTCCGGCACGATTTGACGTCGGATAACATTTTCTTTTCGTTTGTTCTACGGACCCTTCGAGAAGCCGGTGACATGACACACTTATTCAGCATCATAGTAAGATTTTCTTCTGTCGACCTTTTTTTCGCTGATCTCAACCCGTGGTTTCCAGGTTTTATTGCTTAAAATCAACGCCACGAAATCGTGCTCAGGTTTTGTTTGATAGTTGTTCCGACACTCTGCTTGCCGATTTGCCCTCTTGTTTATCAATGAAAGTATCCATTTTTTTTGCAGGGGTTTCTTTAAAAACTCAGGAGCTGTACTTACTTGTATTTGTGACGCGATATTTGGACCTATTTCAAAGCTACATTTCCTTGTACGTGTATATACTTTCTCTGCAGGTTTCTTTCTTTTGGAGGCTGCCGCTTACCTTCTACTTCGTCACTAGGTACAACTCGTGCATGAAGTTTATATTCATCGTTTCTTCTGGGTGCATAATCGGTTACATGCGTAAGCATAAAGTGGTTAGTCAAACCTACGACGCTGAGCAGGATACGTTTCGTGTGGCGTTTCTCGTGTGGCCGAGTTTCCTCTTGGCAGCTGTAATTAACCAGAAATTATCAGTCATGGAGATTCTGTGGACGTTCTCGATTTATCTTGAATCAGTTGCTATACTTCCACAACTAGTCCTGCTGCAACGCACAAAAAATGTTGATAACTTGACCAGCAATTACGTATTTTTGCTCGGGAGCTATCGAGGTCTGTATCTTTTGAACTGGATATATCGATGTTTGACGGAGGAGGGCTATCGCCAATGGATTGTATGGATCTCTGGACTACTGCAGACAGCTATTTATTGTGATTTTTTCTACTATTACCTGAAGTCTTGGCGCAAAAATGAACGTCTCTCGCTACCTTCATGAGTTTAATTTGCCTTCATATGGTAGAAATTACGATAGTCGTTTTTGTAAATATTAAAAAATAGCGACTCGGGACTTCGGAGTCAAAAAGTCTTCTAGAACAAATGTTTTCACTCACTGCACCAATATGAAAAGAACCGCCGTACGTTGGCGCGCGGTCAGGATTCTTCGCACATGCAAAGAACACAACGCATGCTCAGGTTAACTTTCAAGGTGAAGATTGCAAAATAACTTGATTTACTAACGGGGAAAAAGGGTCGACTTCATTTCGTCGTTCTAAGCGAGGGCGTGACGCTCTAAGTCAAATTTGGTTGAGTAATCCTCATGTTACCATACACTGGGTCAGTATTTTCGCACGTCTCACTACTATATCTATTCGTCATGAAATGATATTTCTATAAGCTCAATGGTGCATTTACGCATGAACTGTGTGTGGTCGCTGTGGATCGCTTTCTGCATCGTTCCCTAGACCATACAGTACTCCGATATACTGTTCCAACCCACTCTCAATAAAATACGTTTGTTTCAGCTTGAAGAAAGCACAAGCTGTGAGGAGGCTGTCACTTCCTGCCTGATGCTGTGGACCTATGCGAGCTACATCAAGTTGTTCTGCGAGCTTGCTAAGACCACCGTGCAGATTATCTGTGAACTTCATGAGATATTTTATGTCAAAAATACAGGGAAAATAGATGCTCAGTACATAAAAGAAATCAGACTCAGCCTCTGGAAGTGGCTGGCAGGTCAAAATCTTGAGTAGATAACCGAAATCATGGCCGCTGTGAAACGTTAGCCATTTAACCTATGGAATCACGTAAATCAGCGCGGTATAGCAGATCTAAAAGTTTTGTATCTACAGAAAATTCGGAAAATTTACCTTGTCACTCAAGACAACACCACTGACCATGAGCATTTCACCAAATCTATGCACGTCTATTCCCCGTTCATGATTTGCCTGGAAATTTATTCCGGAATGCTTTAATAACTCAATCGAGTCTTGTGCATACAGGTCTTCTTTGAGATTGAACTCTCTAAAATTAAATTGCCACAGGCAGTAAAAGTTTCCTATCAGTGGAAGATTGCCCCTTGCATCCGTCAAAGTCAACCCTAACTGGATAATCTTGAGCATGTCAACGTTGCATCTGGGAATGATTTGTAACAATTCATAAAAACGAGAGTATTGCAGACGATACAAACTTGACATACAAGACAGTGTAACAAATTCCGCCACTTACCTGAGTGTTTGGTACTGATGTTCTGACTGCAACTTATAGTTGCCTACTGGCCGCGCTACCTAAGATCGCAGTTTCAAAAGTTGAAAATAATTTGAATGAGACGAAGTCTAGACAAGCATCTGTTTCATGCTACTATGCCTGACGCACCACGCCTGGAAATTCTGTATCCATAGCGACAAACGGGAAGTCGTCAATAATTTCTCTGATTACTGCCAACTCTTCATCCAAGTTTCCCTCCCAAACCTCACGTGTCAATAGGTTGTCGGATGTCATCTTCATGATACAAATACACCTGCAGCCCTTGAAAATATTAGGAGGTTGGCGTCGGAGACGGGCCTCAGATCTGCAAGGTGCTGCAACAGGCGACCAGGTGTTGAATTTGTGTCCTTATCATATCTTCGGAGATACTTCAAGTCCGGAAGTACTTTCGTACTTTCGAAAGTACTTTTCGTACGGAAGTACGGAAGTACTTGTACGTCCGTAGCTCCGTACTTTCGAGAAAGTACCATCGAAGGTATTCTACAGTATGTACAAAAGTACGAAAGTACGAAGGTACTTTCGTACTTTCGAAAGTACGAAAGTACGAAGGTACGAAGGTACGAAAGTACAACGTATGTTGAACATATGAAGGTATTTATTCGGATATCTACTGTAGGGCTATCTATCTTCGCAGTCGTACCTTCGTAGCGAGCCCTACGTGCACAACACGTCGTACTGTACTATCTTCAGTACGAAGGTACCTTCGAAGATAGAATATCCTATTTCACTTCTACGGTATTTCTAGGGCTATCTTCGTACCTTCGAACTACACGTGTAGGGCCTATCTACTGCCTATCTATTCTATCTATTCGTGCCATCGAAGATAGATTTATCAGTGATTTATCGATATGTACAACAGTACATGACTACATGTACAGAATGACTAGCTGTTCCAATTTTATATACATATTGGGACTTTACTTTTAATAAAAACACGACACAACGCCCACCGTATCCCCACCTCACGGTCGACAGACCCTGCAGGCCAACATCGGTTGTACACATACAACACGATATCAACGAGATATTTATCGGATAATCTTCATTCCATACATGTATCCGATACAGTATAAACGTCGTCGTGTATAAAATATGATATCTATGACAGTCGACTTCATAATAAAGAGGGCTACTATTTATACCTTCGTAGATATGATAGTAAAAGTTAATTATGATATGAAAGGTACGAGTACGTGTACACGTACACGTGTACGTGTACAGTCACGGAGGGCCAAGAACTTTTTTATTTTTATCCGACCGTACGTACACGTGTACAGCTGTACACGACTTGTACACGTACACTACGTGTACAGTACGAAAGTACGTTGTACGAAGGTACATATTTGATATGATTTGTATCATACAAATAGGGCTACGTGAGAGCTACGTGTACACGTACTGTACAGTACGTATCACCACGCGAATGTATTTTATGATATCATATGAATACTTCATGTACGTAGCCCAACAGTACAATACGTACCTTCGTACGAAAATACTTACGTAGTGTAGCCCTAGCCATATGTTTATTTCCGTATTTCACAACGTTGTAGCTGATGAAGATAGAATGCTTCCGTACTTTCGTAAGCCCAACAGTACAATACGTACTTACGTAGTGTAGCCCTAGCCATATGTTTATTTCCGTATTTCACAACGTTGTAGCTGATGAAGATAGAATGCTTCCGTACTTTCGTACAACGTTGTACGAAGGTAGTATGTGACTGTGCGTATTGCATAAAGTGCTTTTATGTACGAAAGTACTTTCGAAAGTACTTTCGAAAGTATGAAGGTACCTTCGTAGCTAGCTAGCTACTGTATGTCCATATGTACGAAGGTACTTTCAAAGTACCTTCGTACTTCCGGACGTACTCGTAGGGCTCTAGCTCTTTATGTACTGTACAAAAACTCGTGTGCAAAACAGTCACACTCAAAAAATATTTCGTACTTTCGTACTTGTTTCGTCGGGTTGAACCCGAGCTTGATCGGTCAGCCTCCACCTCGACCGCATCCCGTAGGGTAGTCGTAAGATGGTCTGTCAACTACCATCGGCATCCACGGGTCGGACTGGTCTGAGTCACCGCGACAGGAAGGGCTCGGCATCGGACTCGACCCAGCCGTCGTGAGTCACTCATCGGAGGAATCAGCAGGTTCAGGGTCGACATCGGAGTCGGATTCATCGCTGAACCCCTGCCACTCGGGTTTGAAACCCTGCTTGAGAAGCTCTAAAGGTATACCTTGAAGGTGATAACTTTTTAAGGAGCAACACCACTGCAACAACATTATGGTATACGTACTCGTAATAAAACCATCTAGTAGATCTATACCTTCGAAGGTACTAGATACTTTAAACCTAGGACTGTATTTTTAATGTTGAGAAGAAGGAATCTATATTGTGATAGTTTCCAGGCTGTAGAACGTTCCTCCACGCAGCAAGCACGCTCGCTAAACAGAGATTACAGAGATTATGACGAAATGATGGACAAATATACGACTATTGACTTTAAGTTGATTCGACCTGCTGCTCCAACGCTGTCGTCAACTGATTTTATTTAGGTGCACTTTACCACGTACGACCACAAATGAAAATTATTTCAACGAAGAAAACAGAAAATGCATATCACATACTTCCGTACTTTTCAGCTATTTTCATCGAATTATATAGTGATGGAATCCCTTCAACAGCCTGTGCATTAAATAAAGTGATCGTACTACTTACTCTCCGTGTGCTTATGTTATGACACTTGTGCGCCTATGTATGCTCGTGAACAACATTTACGGTACCGTCACTGCAGTTGAGTTGACAGACGATGCAACTGAGGCATTACTGAGTGCGCTTGCATTCAAGAGATTGAGTGCGCTTGCACTCAAGAGACCTATCAAAGATACTTATTATCTCTCAATATCAACATTTTCCTCAGATTTGTTGCTTTCTTAGGTTTCTTTGAAGTAAACCGAGACCAGGTCGGGCACCGCACATTAGCGTTACAGCGCCTTTTGTGGACAAACACGGTGAATCTACCGGTGATTAAAGTGCTATAGTCGACCACGGTTTGGAATATCCCTGTGCATGTGCAGTCTACAACGTGTCTGCAGTCGTTTGGCTATCTCCAGTGCGCTGGACGGTGGAAAAAACGTTTTAGATGAATTTCAAAGCCTTTTCGTGAGCCAGATGAAGCCACCTGTCCAGGGCAGTCAGTTACGCTGTCTCACAATGCTTCACAAAGTGAACTGTGTCTCGTAAAAGATCTGCTTAATGTTGGGACATCTTCCTTTAACTGAGATCAAAAGAAGCTAAAGTAGTTGTTTAGTTGTTCCATCCGACCAACCTCTTAGCCAGCTGTGACCTGCTTCAGCTCTTGCGCCTCTGTGGCTTTTCTGGTTCATGATAGTTATGACATGAACTTGCAGAGAGATGAAGGCCAGGTTGTTTGCCAGCCTTGATGGTGGATATTCCTGACCTGTGAGCCACTTAAAGAGCTCAGGATTTTCCTCGTCGAGAACCTCTGAAAACGAAGCCATGAATTCTTCACTCCGATTAATCAGATGGCGTTGTGCCCACTTGCCGACAAGTATATCAAGCTCAAGGAAGCCTCGTTGTTTTGCACGGTATAACAAGCGGTTGAAGAGCTGCGTGCACAGCGCCTAGGTTAAATCGAAACGCGCTAATTAAAAACACACTGGAATAAATGCGAGGCTTACTTACCTTCTTCGAGTGTTTTCTTTCTGCATAACTCGGAGTTACGCTGTCGGTATGAAGCTGTGATTTCTCACTATAAGAACAGAACAACGGTTTCTGCACGTCCGAGTTGCGCGATTGTAGACGATTATAACAGGACAGTGCTACTGACGCATGTCCTAATATGGGGGCAGCGGACCGAAAAATCAAAAGCATTGCAACGGACTCTGAAGTTGACTGCTCCGCGATGAAAATACCGGCCTTGAATAAGCTGTCTAGCAGGTCAAGCAGTACGCTGAACCTTCGAAGGTAGAGTCGTTATGGGGCCATAGTAGGGGAGGGGTAGCCCGATGAAAAGAGCCCTGATCCATGCTATCAGTCATACTATGTAGTCAATGTCATGCTATCAGTCATACTGTACGTGTACACGTACAGAACATGTAGCCTGTGGTTAAGTAGAACTAAAGATTTGCCTAAGTAGAACTAAAGATTTGCCTTTCAGCCGCGAATTAACGTTGATGCGACAGAGTTAAGGGTGAATTGAACCCGAAGGGTTCAACCCTTCAAGCTCCGTCAATTCACGTTAATTTACTCGTGATTCGATTCAAACTAAAAAACCATAGAGTATGAGTACACAAACTTTCGTATGGAATCTTAGTTTGATACAGCATTTTCGCGTACGTGTAGCGCGGGTCAGTTCTCCCGCGTCCGAGTAAAAAACCAAAATGTCTAAGGATCCAAGAACTGATCCGTGCTACTGTACACGTACACGTAGGGCCCTACATGTACGCGCTACGATTTTGGCAAAAAAAAATGCAGACTGGTCCCCTGACTACACGTGTAGGCCTACCTGAGGTCCCATACGTTCGCGAATTAGCGCAACTGGTCTATCGGTCGCGTTCGCGACGAACGAGCGTGCGTCGAGCGTCGGCGCTGACCGCCCCCTCCGGGAACGAGAGCGGGCGCGGGAGATCTGTTCACGCGTCTCGAGACTCTACCACGACGCTACGATGTACACGCGACGACGTCGCGAGACGACTTGAAGGCGCGCGTTGTCCTCCACAACACCCCGCCAGACCCACCGCCGCCGCTGCCGGCGAAGACACCGACAACGGGTGTTTTCCGCCCTCTCCCGCCCACCAGTCGACGATCGCGTCCGATGCGGATGCGAAGGCGCGCGGCGGCGAGGACGCGACGCTCGCGCGATCGCTCCCGCGCCGTCGCTTCCCCGCGCCGTCCGTCGCGTTCGACGACGACGACGACGACGACGAATCGCACCCCGACGCTCCCCCCGCGCCTCCCGCTCGACCGCACCTGTCTCCCCCGCCGTCGCGCGTCATCGCCCCCGCCTTCCCCGCGGCGCCCACTGCCCGTGCCGCGCCCGCCCGCGACGGCGCGCCCGCGACGCGCGCCGCGTCCGCGTCCGCTACAACGCGATCATCCGCCCGCCGTCGCATCAGCCACGTGAACTCCACGACCGCGAGCGCGGCGATCGCCGCGAGCGCGGCCCTCCGCGTCGGCGGTCGGCCGCCTCGCTTCGCGTACGCCGCGACGAGGGTCCCTAGCGCCATGGTCGCGCGACGACGCGCGGGGACGCGCCGCGCGGTCTGCCGGCGAGATTCGAAGTCCTTGTGAGGTTTTTCGACAGACTCGACACGCCAGAAGTAGTGTACACGTACACGTACACGTACACGTACAGCTGTGTAGATCTGATTACAAAAAGTGTACGAAAGTACGAAAGTACAGCTGTACACGTACACGTACACGTACTGTACTGTACGTGTACAGCTGTACACGTACGGAACGAAGTATCTACTGTAACGACTCTGTAACGCGATACTTCCGGACGGAAGTACAACGTTGTACGGAACGAAGTACGGAAGTAATAGTTGTTACCTCCGAAGATAGAATACTTCCTTTATTACTTCCGTACGAAAGTACGAAAGGACTTATTAAGACTTGTAGTCTAACGTTAGGGTGTTGTACATCCGGAAGTACTTCCGTACTTGATTGGAAGAAGTGTGTGTAGCTGTGTGCCACGCTGTATTTTCGTGTTTTCGTACGAATTATGGAAGTACTTCCGTCGGGAGGTACATCGAAGGTACGAAGGTCGCTAAGCGAACGATAAATTTCCCTGTTCCAAGTATGGTAAACGAAACACTTTCATCATTCTCATAGGCGTGCACTTCACCCGGAACGGGAGAGCATGCCTCTCTCATGTGTCACGCGTGGATGCGTATGGCAGCATCGATGCCGCCATCCCCGTGGGCCGGGATGACCCTTTCCCGTACCCGGGCACCGCCCCTGCGGCGGATCGGCCTTGGACAGTGAATTCGAAGTCGCCACCGTTGTCCGACCTCCCCGACACCGTGCCCCATCCTATCCCGCAGCCGTCGCTACCACCATCTCCACCGCCACTATCACTAGCCCCATATACACGAGCGCGCGCAGCGGCGTGAAAATTCCCCAATGCTTTACGCGACGGCGGGCGCGCGCCGTGACGAGGGACGAGTTGCGACGCGCCGAAAAACGCGCGTCGGCAACTGCCACCTCCGCTCGTGCTTGGCCTGCTTGCAAGCGCGACGCCACGAACTTCCCCCGCTTTCGCAACACGGGCGTCACCACTAAGCCGAATCATTTCGCTCGTTCCATCTCGGATCTTATCGGCAGGTATGTCACCGGTGATGAAACCCGGCCCCGGTCTTGACCCCGAAGTGGATGGGTCCGTGAACGGTTGGAACAAATTCAGCGACTCTGGCGGCGGGCGCTGACGGGACGGTGGGCGCTGTAAAAGCTCCCAATGTCTTGAAATTTCCTCGCGAGTTTGCGCCGCGCTTGCGGATGTTATTCGTGGTCGACGTCGTCCGGGCGATTTAACCAGCGAGATCGCCGCTGCATGCGCTGGTGCGGCGTCTCTGTCAAAGTCCACACAACACGCTCTCAGGCGACCACCACCAAACTCCGCAGCGCTCAATCCATCCCCAATCGCGCCTGCAACCTCGGCAGATTTCCCCCCTCGGGCTATGACTTCATGCACACCGTACGCATTGTCGTGTACATCCGAGGAACTGTTACTGCTGCCGCCACCGAGGTAGCTTTGAAGGAAACCGTTGCTGACAACACCGAGCGTGGCGTTGACTTTTTTCCGTTCCTCACCGCTGCTGTCGACGCTACGCCCGACACCTGTCGCCCCGGCGAGGACATTGACTCTTCTCCCGGATACGTCCATGGCGTGTTCTCCGATCCACAGCTCGTCGTCGCTGTCGTCCTCGTACAGCCCAGTGCCAGGTGAGAGCTCTGCAGCATCCGCGCCATCGGTGCCGAAAATATCTGCCGCGAAGCCGCTGTCCGTTTCAATTCCATAATCTATCTCACCGTATGCGTAATTAATGTCCGGATCGTCGTCGGCATCGTCGTGACCACATCTTCGGTCGCTATCGTCACTATTATCGCGTCGCACGGTATCGCGTCGCGCGGCATCCCCTGGTCTCGCGCAGTCAGCGTCTGAGAGCCCCCCAATTTGCGGCCGGTCGTATCCTGGGGTGGCGCCAAGTCGAAGGGCGCCGGCGGCAGGCTCGAATCCATCGCGACCTATCTCTCCGCTCCCTCCTCCGCGCGCGTAACCGGCGGCAGACCAGTTCCGTCGTCCTGCGCCTTGCCCAGGTGTCTCGCCTCTACCTTCACTGCCCGCCTCTCGCACTCTGCTAGCCGCTTCGAGAAGCTCAGCTTGAAACTTCCGCTCAAGCTCGATCATGTACTCGCTCAGGTTCACCTCGCCTGTTATCTCGCCTAAGACGACATCCGTTGTGTGGGCATACTCATCTTCCGAGCCGGAGACAGATGAATCGCTGTTGTCGTACTCGGGTGAAGGAGGGGCGTCTCCAACCGCATAGAACTTTCGATCGCGATCGTCGAAGCGCTCCGTCGGCGGCGGGGAAGTCGCTGCCACGCCCCCTCCTCCGACGCCACGTTCAGTTTTCGGTTTCGCTTTCGCGGGTCCGCGCCTGATTTGTCCGCCGTGAGCGCCTCCAGCAGTTCGTCTCTCCCCGTTCGCGACTTGAGGCTGAGGCATGTCATCGCTGCCGCTAATGCAGCAGTCCGTGTCCACCGCACATTCCTCACCCTTTTTGTACCCCTGAACTCTGAGACCGCCGTGCCAATTCCACTGCCAGTTCGCGTTCGCTTCTCCCGCGGCGACGGAGGGGGGCTCTGATGCACGAGATGGGCTGAGTCACAGAGTGAAATGTGATAGAGTGAGAGGGGAGCGTTCGTCAGCGAAGGGGACGTCGGACGGAAGCGGTGCGTGACGCGGCCGACGGCGAGGGCGAAGGGCAGACGGGATGATCGCAGAGGCAAACGCCCGGCGGTCAGAGCGTTTGGGAGGTGACACCTTGACATCGTGTGTGTGTCGCGTTCGTCCTCACGCGTATTCGCGAACTTGTCGTCCTCGGCGTCGGCTTGCCACGGGAGTCTGACAACAGGTCGCGACGCGATCTTTAGGATCGGACGGGAATCTGTCGACTGGACGAGTACTCCGACGCTCGCGCGTTCGATTCGCAGCTTGATGTCTTGGTCGAGATGACGATGGCTCGCGTATACGCGAGCGAGCCGTTCACTCGACGTTCTCTGCGCGAGGGCTTTGTCGCGGGTACGTGCGCCCGAAATGGTTTCTTTTTATACTCGTACAATGTACGAAAGTACGAAGGTACGAAAGTATAGAATATCTACAACTACACTATTTTCGTATGTCACAATAATGGGCTATTCTATCTACATACTGTACGTGTAGTACGTGTACAGTACGTGTACCTTACTTCGTACGAAAGTATGAAACACTGATGAAACCGCCCTCTAGAGGAGGAGGAGGAGGAGGAGGGGAAACCGCCCGCGCGGCGGCGGCGTCCGCGACGCGCCCCCCCCGCACCCCCGTCCCGTCGTAAACGGCGACGGCGCGCCGCCGCCGCCGCCGCCGCCCGCGCCGGGCGCGGCGATCACGACGGGCATCATCCCGGGGCCCAGCATCCCGCCGCCCGCCTTGCGCGCGGAGGCCCTGAAGTTATTTCGGAAGTTATTTTTAAATAAGTACGCTCGAGTTATTAACTACTTTGGCCTGCTCTGTCATACGAAAATAATACTTTCGAAAGTACGAAAGTACTTTCGTACTTTCGTACATAGCTACATACACTACAACGTACGTTGTACTCTATCTTTTCTGAGGAAATATGGATATCAATTCCGATAGAGGAAGTAGGGCTACGTGTACGTGTAGTGTACACACTTACGTGTAGCCCTACACTAGCCCTATCAAAAAATGTTGGGTTCCACATCAAGGAGGGCCGCGAGACTCCAACCAAGCTTTTCTGTAAAGTCCGGGGATAGTTCAACATGTGCACGGCCGCGCGTAACGCGAATTCGGCACGAATCGCGCGTCAACCTCTGCGCGTAAAGTATTTATTATTTATCAAAAGTATCTATTTCCGGAAGTACAAACTACCTTCGTAGAATAGCTAGCAGTAGCCCTACACGTAGTGTACAACGTACGTGTACGTGTACGCATGTATTTTATTTACGTGTACACTGTACACGTACAACGTTGTACACGTAGTGTCGAGATTTTAGATTTGTTTATCCCTGGTACCTTCGAAGGTAGCTAGCTACACGAGCTACTGTACACGTACGTGTACACTGTACAGTACGCGTACTAGTAGCTACCTTGTACTTTCGTACCTTCGTACGAAGGTAAATACATAGCTACCTCGAAGGTAGATAGCTACGAAGGTACTTTCGTACTTTCGTACACGTACTTTCGAGAGTACAACTTAGCTAGCTACAGTAGCCCAACTGTACACGTACGTGTACACGTACTTCCGGAAGTACTTCCTTGCCTTCGAAGATAAACGGTTGTACTCGTACCGTCCGGAACTGGTGCATTTCCGGAATTACCCTTAAGGTACTTCCGTACCTTCGAAGTATAGGACCTTCGTTCGTATTGGGCCCTAATACCTTCGAAGGTAGCTGTGATATGGCTACACTATTTCCTCATCACGTTCATTTTCGTTAAACTGTTCTGCTTCACGTACGGTTCCTGCTGGTTTCTTGCCAACAACGGTCGTTAACAAGTTATTCTCTGTACTTCATGTCATTACGTTCGTTACGTATAGTTGACGACCAGGTTTATCTGCACTCCCCCTTCGCTTTATGTCGTCTCACCTCACTTTTGGCTCAGGGTGTTTGTATGTTGAAGCACCAGTTACTTGATTCTTCAGAATCTCATTCATTAGGCTATCAAGTCAGAGTGCCAGAGAATACCACCAGAGAAGAATCAAGTAAAATGTTGTTTGGTCTGCTATATTCCTTGAATAAGTTTATTGCGAAATTGGAGCCACAACAGAGTAGAAGCAAGGGCTGCTCTTTCATAGTCATGCGCACAACGAACTACAAGCTGCACTCTTTGAAAGCGCCAACTGGCATACATTTACTCCTAACTACAGATGTTTCCCCACCGAGCTACAGAGTTGAGCTCCTGGAGTGCTTATGGTTCCTAAGTCACTTCTTGCCTAAAGCCGAAGAAACTCACTCGGTAGCGTTTCCTTCTGACATATGTTCACGCTTGGTGCACTTGCTCATCCGAAATTTTTAACGTGAGTCTAGTGGTTTATGCATATGATGAGACCAACGAATCCGAAACAACTACGCGATTTGCTTCTGGGCTTGCCAAGGTATTGCTGCTAAGTTGACTTCAGTATGCAAGAGGTCACGTATGCAATCGACATAATCAGAGTATTAAGTTTGTGATCGTATTTTTCTGGACAAAATAAAGGTGAGTTAATGCTTCACGTTACGCAAAGATAGCCCGCACCAGTAGAAAAGCACTTGACGAATTCAAAGCTTTCATGAAGTCAACGAGAATAACAGAAGCTAGCTTTATAACTTGTAATTTTTCATTTTGCCGGTCAGGTGTCTCTGTCAACCGGTAACATTGCATAGACATAATGTCACTGGAAAACGGTGTGTGCCCATTATGGCCCGTTGCAAATCCATGCAAACTCACAAGGATTTTGAGCGAGTGATACAAGCAATTTTTTCCCATTGTTTGTGCGTGACCGAGGTATATCATCATTGTTTTGTTCAGTTCTTGAGAATTCAAGTGCCAGAACGCGAGTAACCTGGTAGCACAGCAGTGAGGATGGAACACAAATGTCAAAATGATACCATAAATATCGTACTGGACATGTTTGTCTATGATTGACTGAACCATAAGTTCTGCTGGCAGAGTCACATCTGTCAGGTCAGTCTGTGTTGGGAGGTATGAGTCTGGTGTCCGAAACATATGTTGAGAAAAAAAAGCTGTATTTACCTGCTTCATGAGAGATACAACCGCGTGCAGCCCCTGATAGAAACAGGAAGTAAAACCAAGCTATTCGAACAGCTCAACGATCGCGTACCTCAAGTATGTTGGCCAAGTATACGAATGGCACGGAGTTGCTGTCATAGCGCTTCACAGCTGTCAAATAAAAATGCAGGTAGTTGTCTTTTGATTCAATTAATACAGCAGATGCTAGAGCCTGATTCAAATTTAGTAAGTGAACAATTAAGCTTATTGCACACATTCGTTACCTTGCTCGCAAACTGGTCAGCATGACCATATTTTCGTATTATATCATCAAGAAAGAGAAACATTTCCTTCACAAGCCCAGATATCCGGATTAATCCATGCACATCCTGCAGTGACGAGTAGTTTATTATCAAAGGAGTATTTTCATTTTTTTAATCACCTTTGCTTCCTCCAGAGAATGCCACGCATGAAGAAGCCAAAATAGAACGTTCTTGTCAAGGACGTTAGTAACTGCAGGTACAGCGAAATTGAATTATGTAAAAGAAACCTGCAGTGAGGTTATCAGTTCGGTAAAGTTACCTGGTTGCACGGCATCATCACCTGAATTGAAACGAATGCGAAAAAAATGGATAAAGAAGCTGGAGATGCCGAGGAATCCATGGAGTCGTGCAGAATATTCTTCACTATCAAGGTTGGACTGGTGGCGCAGCTGACTCAACTGCAAAGTTGCACAATACAACTGAGTTGATATCCTTGAACAAGACGCTGAATATATTTTTTGCCTATAGTTTCTCACCGCTGCTAAAATAAGTTCATTGAAACCACCTGAAGATAAATCGGCAGCAAGCTGAGCAAGCTGGTGTTGTACTAAAGGTTTGTGTGGCGAGCCTTCAGGCCAAGGAAAATTTGTTGCCTTTCCAAAATAGCTCCTCCTACATTTTTGTAAGAAGGTTTCTTTATCATTGCTAGATATGGAAAAAAATCCTATCCTGTCCAGAATTGGAATTTACCTAGTCAACAAAAAAGAGCGGAATCCAGTCCTTTTCGAGTTCACCGTATCTCCTGAACTTGCGCTTACCACTCTGCTTCCAAAACGACTGTGTCGCTTCAGGATAAATAAGAATATTTCAGATTAGAATAACGTATTTTTATGAGTACGTGTAGAAGATAACAGTTCCATACCACGTGTTTATGTCTGTCTTGTTGGCAAGTGGTCTGCAATATAAAAATCGTATAAGCCAGTCTTTTGTGGAACAAATTGACGCGATAGTTACTGACCCAAGATTGCGAATTTTTAGCTGCTTTGACCGATGGTGCCTCACCTACGGAATCACATTAAGTAAAAAATATCGAAACTTATTCTGAAAGAATTGAATACGTCGCTGTTGATCAAAAAATAAAGCGAGAAGAGACGGATTCTGGTCAAGAAATAAAAGATCAAAAATTTCGACAAGAAGTGCAGATTCTTCAGTAAATGGGTTTTTTCTAGCATCCTTTAGGATTGGGAGTCAGAACGCGACAGCCTTTAGAACAAATACAGAATTGAACCTTCGCCATTTGACTCAGAAGTGCAGGAAATTGTAAGTCGAAAAGAACTGTCAAAAGCTTTTCCTACAAAAACAATTCTAGTTTCCATAAGTAAAAAGATCTACAAGCTGTGTACCTTTAACACAACGTGATCTTGTCCGCGGCTTCCTGCAACGCGATAATCAGTCCCCGCCAAAAGATTGCGTATAAGTGTCAGGAACAGCTGGATGACTTTCGCATCTTCATCGTTCGAACGAAGCTGGTTAACTTCATATCGTTCAAGGGAAACCAAAAGAGCTGAAAACAATACTGGAATGATCTCCTGACTCTGCAGAAGTGCAGTGAGAGTATTTAGGATGCATCGACGCTGCTGAGCGTAACTCGATGATTCTTGGTCGGCAGGCAATGTAAGAAATACGAGCAGCTTAACTGCGCAATTCAGGCAATGATTAGTCGGCAAGTAAAGAACAAAGAAAAACATACTTACTCGAGTCCAGAAAAACACTTGCTTCGCCACGGTAGTTCAGCAAGAGAGGGATGAGATCCTTTTCAACTAAATTCCATCCATGGAGTAGCAACATGATAGACCTAGAACTCGTGGTGTCTCGGCGAAGGAAGCGCAAAATATCTTGAAGAGTTTCTGCGCGGATAAAGGTAATCAACTGCGTCAACTACTTTGATGAGCACGAAACTGTCGCACCGTGGCACTGCGGGTCCCTCACATATACACAATCCTCATTGTGTTTTTGTCGTTTTCCGAGGGATGTGGCCAAGCTTTGCAAATGAGCGATGTCGAAAACTTCTTTTTCCAGATGCATATTTCAGACGCAACGCGAGAACAGTGCAACACGTGTTTTTTTCAAATCACGATCGACAGCCCAACTATCTGCAAATTAAGCTGTACACGTACTGTACGTGTACACGTACGAATATCTGCAAATTAAAATATCATATGAGTACGAAGATAAGTTGTTTATTAATTATATATATATGTTGTACGTGTATAGTTAGATACAGTACACGCACGTATTCTATCTTCGTTCATAACAACTTACCTTCGAAGGTATTACTTTCGTACTTTCGTACGAAAGTACCTTCGAAGGTATTACGTATTTTCGAAAATACGAGTACGAAAGTACGAAAGTACAACTCTATTCTATCTTCGTACAGTACGTGTACACGTACGATTAACAACGCGCGTTAGTTGTAGACTCGTTGTAGTACACGTACGTGTAGCCTTTTCAACTTTGACTGTTTTCCGACGCGATGGCGGGCGGCGACGGGGTCAGCGTCGGCGCGGTACTCTTTCTCACAATCATAATGGCCATGGCTAGCGGCATTGGCGCAGTGCCCTTCTTCTTCGTCGGTCGTCTCTCGCCTAGATGGTCAGGAATAGCGAATGCACTTGCGTGCGGCGTCATGATTGCCGCGTCCTTTGACCTTGTTCACGAGGGAGAACCCTACGGCAGCTCCCTTGTCGTCGCGGGCGTGTGCGTTGGCGCTTTATTCATAGCGCGAATGCATTCCATTCTGCATGATCAAGAGGATATTCGGTTTTCGGGTTTCGACGGCGCGGACGCGAGAAAAACCTTCCTGATGATCGGCATCATGACCGCGCACGCCCTTGGAGAAGGTTGTGGTGTTGGAGTCTCCTTTAGCGGGGCGAAAGGTTGGGCGCAAGGCCAGCTCGTGGCGCTTGCCATCGGCGTACATAACGTTCCTGAAGGTATGGCTGTTGCGGCGGTTTTGCATTCGCGCGGCTCGACGCCCTGGACTTGCGCGAGTTGGGCGGTTGTGACTTCCCTTCCACAGCCATTGTTAGCTGTGCCCTCGTTCGCGTTCGTAGAGACGTTCCAAATGCTACTGCCGTTTGGATTAGGGTTTGCGGCCGGATGCATGGTGTGGATCGTGTTCGCAGAGTTGCTACCGGACGCAGCCAGAGGGGCAGGAGCTGAAACAACTGCAACTTTTGCGACGCTCGCAGCGGCAGCTCTGGAGGGGTTTAGAATGTTAATAAAGGCCTTCGATAATGAACACGGGTATTTTGAAGATACTGGGCATTCCTTGAATGTGAAGGTTAGCGGATTCGGTGGCGACCATGACCATATCTCGGTGGGACCTGCCGCTCATGTCTTCAATAACAGCGTGGTGGATAGCTTGTTGCCCCTGATAGCCCCCACGCGTGTTGCTGGTGTGGATGAACTTGTCACTGCTGCGCTTGCCCATATGGTGTTCCCTTTGCTCTTGTTTTCTGCAGCGGCTTTTCTGCCCTCCCTTCTTCCCTGGCTTGAACTTAAGAAGCTAACCCGTGAATACTTGAGGCGACTTGTTGATGTAGGAGACGTGATGAGGGTTGGAGGCAGTCTTATTCATCGACATCGGAGTTCATCAGAGTTCTTTAGTGTCGCGAAGACTCTAGGGGCATCTTCTGGTGCGTTAAGCATCACTAGCTTGGCGTGTCTAGTGTCAATTTGCCGTCGGTGTTCGATAGGCAGCGAACACTGTTTTGCTGCTTTCGTTGGCATCATCGTAGGTAGCAGTATCGTGCACCTGTACAAGGTAGTTTCTTTCGCAGGGTCCGCCACTTGGAGTATTGCACGTGGTAAGAAACGTGATGACGAAGATGACCAGCACAATATTGTTGGTTGGGCTGGCGGGGGAAGCGAAATTCACTGCCGTGACACTGTAGTTCTGAATAGCGCCGGCAGCGCTGCTGATGTTGCACAAGCTGGCATGCTCGCATGCGTCCTCCTCTTTGCGACTGATGGTGCCAATTTTGTCAGCGCGGTGACAGTTCCCGAAGCAAACCCTTTCCGCACCTCTTTGTTTCACAGTGCACCAAAAGTGGTCGCAGTCCTCGCCGCCGGGATTTCAGCTGGTTTCACGCCAAGTACTGCCGCCGGTACCGCGTGCGCGATTGCTGCAGTACATCCCATCACCATGTTCCTTGTTGCACGCGTTACTGGCGGCCAGGGTTTTGCTCTTGCCACGAACATTGGGCTTCAGGCTTTGTCGTCATCGGCGGCAGCTTCAGCGACGTTCCGGCTTCTCTTGCCGGCAGCGCTGAGGGCTGAGTTGAATCCTGGAAAGGCGCACGAAGGAATTGTGATGGGAGGTGTTTTTGCGTCAGCTGCCCTGATAATGTCGTGGTTGTCGTGCCGGCTAGCGCCGTAGTGCGTGATTGTACTACAGGGGGTTCGACCCTTAAGGTTTTGGCACGGGAAATTTGATTACCGGAGTGTGACCTTAAAGCTCCATTAATTATGCGAGATCCTTAGTCTAGTTTAGAGGGCATAGGGAAGTTCAGCGCTGTACAGCTAGAACACATCCAGTGCTGATGGTCTTCCTTACCAAGTTTATCGTTGAATGATATTTTGTTAGACAGGCTTACGAGTACATTGTTTTCCCTTCGAAGGTACAGTACTTTCGAAAGAATTTAAGTACGAAAGTACCTTCGTACTTTCGTACGAAAGTACTTTCGAAAGTACTTTCGAAAGTAGCTACGAAGGCTACATGTACACGTGTACAGCTGTACGTGTACACGTAGTCTTACAAATATCTTCGGAAGTACTTTCGTACTTTCGAAAGTACTTTAGTACGGAAGTACTTTATTAGTACCTTCGGATAGAATACTTTCGTACTTTCGTACGAAATAAATAATAGTACTTTGAAAGTAGTTGTACTTCCGTACCTTCGAAGGTACTTGACTACGTGTACATATGTACGAAGGTACCTTCGTAAGACTGTTTTAGCGTTCTATAATTTCGAAGAAAGGTTTATCTAGCTAGCTAGGGCCTACCGAAGGTACTAGCTAGCTGCTTCCGGAAGTAGGTCTTATTGGTCAGCTATGAAGGTATCTTGCTATTTAACTTTGAAGGTGTACAGTAGATAGCTAGATACTTTCCTTAACCTTAAGGTCACGCTCTGGTGAAAAAAAAATCCACTGCCAAAAGTAACAAGCAACTTACGATTACTTCCGTACCTTACAAAATTTGTATGCGTATTTTTCCTGAATCGCAAAAGCGTACTTTTGTGCGCGCCCACGCGCCGTCGCTGCGTCGATCGATTCGAACCTTCGGCACGTTGTTGCTTATCATGCCACCGATGCCCTCCTCGAGTTTCGCGATTTTAGGAGGTCGGGCTAGCGGTTTTCTGACCCCTCGGCGACTTTTTTTGAAAGGCTCCTACGAGTCGGCTTCCCGTCCTTCGAAGGTCAATGCAAATACTGTAGGCCCTATGTAGTTCTAGTTCTACCTTCGTACGAAAGTATATATGATACTTTCGAAAGTACTTCCGAAGTACTTCCGGAAGTACAACTACATAATATATATTGTACCTTCGAAGGTATCCTATCTAGATATCTACCTTCGTATTAGCTATCTCTAGCTAGGGCTCGTGTACAAAGTTATCAATACTTCCGGAAGTGAGTTGTACACGTGTACACGTACATAAGTTGTTACACCTTACGAAGATAAATACCTTGGAAGATAAAGATAGATACAGTATGTAGCAAAATACGAGTAGAAGATGGTGTAATTTTGTATGTGTACGTGACCCGAGAACTGCATATCGAGCCGGTTCGGGGCTTAAAGGGACATCACATGCCTGCAGATGCAAACGTACATGTCAATCGCCCTCGACTTTGAACTCTGAACCTTCGCAGTTGATTCAACCGGAGGTTCCTTTTCCCTGCGGAGCCCTTTTTGCGAGATACATGCAGCTGAAGTTCAATTCACGGGTCTTCACGATTCTTCTGGTGGTGCTAACGTTCGTTCCGCGCCCCGCGGCCGAGCAAACCTACTTCTTCTGTCCCCGTGGTTGCAACAGCGAAAATGCTTACGGTCGGTGTGAGGTAAGATCCAACACGTGCAAGCTCAACAAAGTGCACGCCAGTACGTATTCTCGCTTTGAGCCAGCTGAACCCCGACTAAATATACGAACAAGCCTGTATTCTCAAATGCATCCGTGCCCTCATCACAGGCCGACGGCTCGTGCACGTGCGCGACTGGTCGTGCAGGAGTAGACTGCTCACTTGTCAGTTTGAACACATCTTTATTTCTTTAAAACAGTTGCTTACCTGTTTGCTGCTTTTTTTCGTTTTAAAGACTACAAAACTCTCAGTCACTTTGAACCTGCTTCCAATGTTTATGTGATACAGGTGAGAGCAGGCTTATCTCTGCAAAAGAGACGCGATGACACCTATGGATATAAGTATACGACCTCGTCTGAAATTGAAGGGGATCAGCTCGCAGCAGACGCCGTGTATGATACTAAGAAAACTGGCACCGTGTACGTCAGAGTTTATGACGCGACAGGAGTTGACGCCGCTGTCGAACTCACTTCAATTACAGACGCTATGCCTGGGCATTCTGGCTGGGATGTATCTGGACCAAAGCGACCCGCATCATCTCACCAGCCGCTCGCGATGTCTCCCGATGACAGCACCTGGTGTGGAACTGGTGTTACGGGCGTTGGCTCGTGCACTCAAGGCCATCCTGGTGGTTTGTCTGTTCCTGGTTGGACCTCTGCTGACCAAAGCGCACATGGTTGGCAAGGTCCAGGGGGGTACCGCGATGTCGTGCTGGATTCCACGGGTACGTTTTCTCACGTTTACTCAGCTCTCAACATGTGGAAACCTCAGGCTCAAATTACCACGCCTTCTGACCCGTATGATTACCAGTTTCGAGTTTTTCGTTGGGATGGTACGCAAGGGACACTTGCGTCAAATAATGCCCTCGCTTACAGCCACAGCTACCTCCAGGGCGGAACAGAAGGCTGGATACTGGACGCGATGGCGGTTAACGAAGCAGAGGGGACGCTGGTGTACAAGGCAACACCAAAGGACATTGCTACAAAGTCTCGGGTTGGAATTCTTAAGGTTCAAGGTGGTTCTCTTGTATCTATTGTGACGAAGCAGATTGTTCCGAGCTACCTGCAGACTACGTGCAGTAGCTGCGTTGATCGCCGAGATGCATTTCGTTTCAATGCCGCGACGTATGCAAGTGTGAACGACGAGGGGACGATAATTTTTGCTGGGTCATCACGGCTGGAGCCTTCTGATACTGCTTATTTTCCTTCCCTGTTTAAAATAAAGGCGAGTACGACAGGTTTTAGTGGTGATGGTGACGAAATGTATTTTGATGGGGGTCGCGTCACGAGAGAATGTGAGGGCGTGGTTTCGGAAGACTCGAGAACACAAGGGCGCTTCACCACGTTTAAATCAGTGATTTCAAATGGGGAATTTGGGTATGTTGGCTCGGCAGCTGCAGGTTGCAAGTTGTCAGAATGTGCTTTGCGTGCTGGTTGTATTTGGATGTTCAGCCTGGACTTCACCGATTCAAATCAAGAGACACTAGAGAAAGTCGTTTTATCAGGGGGCGAACCAGGTGGACTCGGTGAGTTGGACGTTCATCGCATGGCAGTAATGTCAGATGGTTCATTAAATGGAGGCTTCCTATACGCGACTACTGGAACCTCTGGTACGCGGATAGTAAAGATTGAAATCGGAGGTGCTGATACCTCGGCTGCTTGCTTGACTGGTTGTTTTCGCCGCCTCGCTTCATACGCGACCACTGAACCGGTGCGAGCGTTATTATATGCTCCTGATTTAATGGCAATTTTCACTGCGTCGATGACAAATAGCTCGACAACTTACACACGATTTTCTACAGCTGAAGTTGTTTCTTTGACACCAGAGTATGGTCCAACTTCCGGCGCAGAAACCGAAGTGACAATTCACGGTTCTGGGTTTCCTACCGCAGTTATCGGAGGCGGAGGGAAAAGCCATGCTGCGGCGTGTCGATTTGGTGTATCGAGTACATCAGATTATCGTTTTCCGTTTGATGGTTGGGTGCCGGCTGTAGCTGTGAGTAGCACACGGATTATTTGCACGGCTCCACCATCTTTGCGAGCCTCGTTGACAGAGCGTGAAGGTCCTTCTATCAACGGTGTAGCGGAGATCGAGATATCTTTTGATGGTTACCCATCGAATAACCTGACTGATAGTGATGGATTGTTTCAAAGTTCACTGTGGTCCAAAGACCACGTTGTCTTCCGGTATTATGCCGTGCCTGATACTGTAAGTGTCCTCTCAGACGGAAAATATCCCGCTGATGTGATGGTTACAGGGGAGGCTCCTGATCAAACTGCTTCAATCTTAACCTTCATTGGTGGAAGTTTCATTGATTCAGGAATGATCACCTGCCGCTTCAATCTGGATACAAGCTCTGACCAGAGTGCTTCATATATTTCTGTGACGCGGTTTACTTGTCCGGTGTGCCAAACTCACCTAATTCTTGGCAAAGTGAGGTGCTACCCTCACGGACTTGTGAGCACTGACATGTATCATCCTATGCCGTGGTTGTCAGATAATAATCCAAGAACTGCGAAGCTATCGTTCTCTTTGAATGGCAGGGACTTTCACGTTTCAGTCAGAACTCTTAAGATATTTGGCCAGCCACATCACCTTAAGTTTTTACACCAACGTGCGCCTTCGCAACTTCAATATGGTTCTGCGGAGAACTCTGTGGGACGCATGACCCTCGATCCACTCGAACTGGTGACTGCTGACCTGAGCGGGCACACCGTTCAAAACGACTTTGGCCTCGGTGGAACTCGAGGGTTTACGGCGAGTGTGGCACTTAACACCTCAGCGTCTTCTGTGAACAGTCATCCGATAAACCTGATTGAATATACCGCGATAGGATCCACGGTTGATGGAGCTTTAACACTAGCACCCCAGTTTAGTCGTGCACCTTTTTTTGGCGATTACCATGTTAACTTTGAACTACAAGATTGCACACTTGCTGGAGAATGTGTCGACATGCCCGGTACCAGTACTTTGATCGTGTCTGTGATGCCTGGTGTCGCCACGCAAATATTATCCCACCCAGGACATGTTTCATCTTCTGAACTAACTTCACTCTGGATTCCTGATGACGCGAGCATTAAGTATGCATCCGCCTTCGTAAAGCTGGATGCGTATTATGTTGATGTCAGGGATGCAGGTGCGAACTTTGTCGGTGACCTTGACAGCCTAAGTCACTTCATCAGCGTCAGCAGTACGACCAGCCAGCTGAAACACAACGGTGGGGGTTTATTGGAGGAGCGACTGACGGGAGCCGAACTCGTCGGGAAGAGGACTTCGGGGTCATTAAGTGGTACAGCAGAGTTTCATGATCTCAGTTTAACTAGCCAGAAACCAAGTGGAGATCGTATTCCTGGAGTAGCGAGCACACTCAGGTTCGGGACAGCCTCTCGTGGCAACTCAGGGACTGATGAAATATACATCTTACAATTTTTTGCTGAGTTGCCAAGTCTCGCTAGCGGTGCAATAGCCACATCTGCTTCAAAGTTAAAGTTAGTTCCAGGCGAGGCGTCTTACCTGAACATTTCAGATTATGCGGACGTCACCATTATTTGCAACACGCCTGAAGTTCCTATTTCGGAATTAATTACAGTCAACCTTTTTGATGGTGGCAATAACAAGCTCACCACTGTTGACACTCTACATCAAACCGTCACAGTACGTCCTCACGGTTTAACTGCTCTTGATTTCACTGGAAACGTAGCTGTAACAGACCTGACTGGGCAAGGGGAGTGGCACTTTCCTGCATCTTCCATCTATCTTGTGTGCGAATTCGCAGGATCATATGGCCTACAGTTCGTTTCACATACTGTCACACCAACTGTTCAAGTGATAAACATGATCAAAGGCACGTACGGATTTCAATGGCACGCTGTCCAAATTGGAAGGTGGGCCAACCTATCTGCCTCCAACTCAGTCCCCATAGGTTCGTTCAAGTTGGAGGTGCTCGATGGAGCGGGTAATTTGATGGGAATTGATGATCGTTACATCGCGAACATGCAGTTCCCGGTGAACCGGCTCGTGCATTGTTCATCAACGACAGTAAATCTAACGGGCGTGAACGAAGCAAACACGGCTGGATCTGGCGTTGCAGCATTTTCAGGACTGAACATGGTCCGGCCAACTGCTGGTTCCCATGTGATCAGTTGCACTGAGCATGCAATCATCATACATCAAATTCCGCTTACAATATCGGCTTCTGAAGCTGATTTCGTATTTTTAGAGGGTGGTAATTTCACTGTCTCTGTTGTTCCAGGAGATCCTGATGCGTTGCAGGTGCTGGCGGCCAGCGCACTTCCGAACCCACTGGTCGATTATTCCATATCCCTAGGAAACGTAAACAGTTACAGCTTTCGGCATTATGCATCTGCTGATCTTATTGTTCCTTTGGACGTTTTCCGCATCAGGCCAATCGATTCTGGAGCAAATTTGCTTTCAGGAGTTTTGCCTGCGTTCAACGTGACAACGTCAGATCTGATAAGCGAACCAGTAAAAAGTGGGATGACTGTGATATCGAGGGTGCAAGAAGGAGAGCCACAGGTAAGCACGCACGTTGTTTTCCCCCCGAAACAGTTGGGCGCTACAACGATGCCTACTCCCAGTTCTTACTTGACAATCTTTGCCAACGTCTCGCGTTGGACTATCGTAAATCATACTCACATAACTGAATACAACCTGACGAACGAGTATGCGGTGAACACCGTAACTCATACTCGACGCTTCGTGTTAGCGTCTTTACCTAGCTCTGCGAAGAGTGGATTATACCCATACGTCACGAGGCAAAATGCGATACTTGCATATGATGATGTATTGATTCACGATAATGAACCCGTGAACAGCGTTTACGGTACCATCACTGCAGTTGAGTTGACAGGCGATGCGAATGAGGCATTATTGAGTGCGCTTGCACTCAAGAGACCTACCAAAGGAACTTATTATCTCTCGATATCAACATTTCCCTCAGATCCGTTGCTTTCTTCGGTTTCTTTGAAGTTAACCGTGAGACCAGGTCGGGCACACCATATTGGCGTTACAGCGCCTTGTGTGGACATACACGGTCTATCTACCTGTGACGATAGTGCTATAGTCGACCACGCTGCAGAATATCCCTGTGCATGTGCAGTCTACAACGTCTCTGCAATCGTCGGGCTATCTCCTGTGCGCACTTTCATTTTGGACGGTGGAGAAAACATTTTAGATGGAATTCAAAACCCTTTTTGTGAGCCAGATGAAGCCACCTGTCCAGGGCAGTCAGTTACGCTGTATCACAATACTTCACAAAGTGGACTGTGTCTCGTAAACGATCTGCATAAAATTGGGACATCTTCATCAGAAAATGAAGTGATCGAGTGTGCTGCAATACAACCATCAGCATTTCGAGGATCAACTAGTAATGGAACGTACGTGTTCTCGCAACTTGCTCTCATAGCGCCAGCGCAAGCTGGGCCAAGTGACCCATTACTTCTGTCGTTCCGCTCCCCTGGATTACTCGGGGTCAGCTTTGGACTAGAGATTCGACCTGGTTTAGCTGTTAAATTGGGACTGGTGTTGCCGCCTGATTTCCCCTTCTTCTTCCCAAGCAGCTTTGAAACACTGATATCTACACCGGTAGATCCAATTATCGCTCAAATATTGGACGCTGGCGATTCACCTCTTGGCGACCACGATACACACACGCGAAAAGTCCGAATAACATGTCCAAGTGCAACGCTTGGACCATATCCTGGAGGTGTTGGAATCGGGGAATCAGATTCAGTGTTCACCCAACGTGACATCGCATATTTTGGCTCAGTTCAACTGCTGTCACCCGCAAAAGCAACTCATGTGGTTTATTTCTCAACTCCCGACATTATTTCTGCGTCACTTCCCGTAGTAGTCTTAGAAGGCGAACCTGTACGATTAAAAGTGATTGCAACCAGTCAAGTGAAATATTCTGCAAAGCCGCTGGTTACCATCGAGCCCATCACGCTGGGCGTATACGACGCAGGGTTTAACTATGTTGGTTCAGCAAACTACATGACTAAGGTTGTACACGGCAACATCACTGGCGGCCCTGCAAATACTGACGGAGTCCCAATGTACTTGCAATTGACCGAGAACGGCACAAACACGGAGATATTGCAGCTTGGTGTTGGCACCGTGACTTTCAGTAATATCGCGGTAGAGGCCCCTGGAGTTGGTACCTATAACATTACTTTTGGAGGAGATAATATCATAGGCGATATCTCGTCATTCACGATCGAAGTTGGGACACCCTACAAGCTTGGTGTCCCCTCGGTACATACCATGGTAATAAGTCATCTAGTCCTTCTTGCACAATTTTTCGTGCCCTAGATTTCAAATCAATCTTGCATTCGTCTTGCATCAACGTGATTTCTCCGAGGGCTACAGTACGAGTACACGTGTACGCGTACAGTACGAGTACATGTACACTACTCCATGTGCATGCTTCCAAATTTTATCTCACTTTTTTTTCTTTTTCTTTCTGTCCTTGAAATAAGTTCAACAATAAAGTATACAGCCTGCGTACATCATATCCTTCAAAGCGCACACTAATCATCGATCCGTTTGTCGCTTTAGTGATGGATGGGGGCAATAATTTCATTGGGCAACTCGATGTCGACCAACTTGGGGCAAGCTTACGGCGCGATATAAGCACAACTGTTTCGGGCTTCCCAAACAGTGAAGCTCTTGGTAGCGGTAGTTCTACTCTCGTGCCAGCACTTGACGGAACCGCTACTTTTGAAACGGGCGTAACCTCTGATTCATTTTCTGTGAGTGTCCGGCGCAGTTCATTAGGAGAAACACTGATCGATGATTTGATATTGGTCCAGTCAGCAGTCGGGGAGTACACTGTCACAGTTTCATCCCCTGGGCTTCTTTCATCCTCGTTTATCCTCACGGTCTCACCTGGCTACCCTTCCAGTCTGGATGCGTGTGGCTGCTCCACATGCACTCGCCGTATAACAGATGGTGTTTGCACCGACACTGCTCCCTATTTTGCAGATGCCATAGTGTCATTGCGCGATGTTCTTGTTGTCACGCGAGATGCTGGTGGTGCGCTTACGGGAACTGGTTTGGAAGCTGAACAAGAACGGAATATCTCTGTTGAGCTGATCTTCAGTAAAGACCAGTCAACGGGTATAGAAACACCATACTCGGGAAATGTAAGTGCTCTCTCAAGTTCTAGTCAGCGAAGCCTCGTCGCCAAAGAGGGCATGGTTGCCTGGTGCGCCAACGGCACGATAGAACGCCCCGCGCCCCGCTTTTGTCGCCCCGCTGATCAATTATCAGAGCAGAATCTCACTGCCGCAACACAGCAATATTTAAACATGCTACAAATTACGGACGTGGGGTCCTTAACTGATAACGTGACCGGAACTACAGGAGATGGGCTAGAATACTATGGCATACGTTCGTCTCCTCGTTGGATTGGGCACACAAGTGGACTGCATTTCAACTTTCCGTCAACAGGAGTTTACAAATTGCAATTTTCGAGCTTTTGCCCAACTTCTAATTGTGCCTCTGCACTCTATCGCGAGCTTCGCGACGACCATCTCGAAATTGTGGTAATTTCTGGCACACCACATCGTCTCCATCTATTCAGAGCACCTCCAACTCGTTTTGAAAATGATTTGACCATCAGTCCTGCTGTTCAAGTTCAGACACTGGATATTGCAAGCAACCTTTGCACCAATTTTGACGCATTTGCAATATCCTCAGTGACACCAACGGTATCTCGATTGGAAGGAGATGTGACCCCTTTAGTAAGTGGCGTGGCGACGTTTGATCGCCTGAAGATTAATGGACTTCGGGGTAATGTGTACACGTTGCACTTTTCTGTGTCTTCGTTTGGACTAAGCGTTAGTCACACTCCATTTCTCGTAATACCCTGCGAGGAAGTTAAATCTAATTCCCAAAGTGATGGTAACGGTGATTGCGAATGTATGCCCGGCTATACTGAGGACATCAGGCTGCCAATATCAGGAGGTACTGCCCTTACAAACTTAGCACCTAGTGTCACTTCATATCCTGACTTATACAAGAAGGCGTCAAGTGCACCGCAGAGGTACTTAAGTGCACTGAATCCCTACGGTGTATGTGTACCTTGTGCCAATGGCTTCTACAAGCCACTTCCTGGTCCTCAAGCGTGCACCAGTTGTCCACTTCAAATGGATACCATGTGGAGAAGCGGTAAAATTAAGGGTGAGTGGACAACTTTATCTGGTGAAAAGATTCCTGGTCACCTTGGAAACTATCGAAAGAATCAATGTCACTGCATTGTCCGACGTTCGGGAACAAGTAGTGACAGCTCGCTAGAGACGTACCGTCTGCTTCCAGAGGACGAATTTCGTTGCCAGAAATGTCCCTTTGGTGGAGTCTGTAACGGTTTGCCAAAGCGGCAGATTATAGTTGACTTTGGGCGTTGGCGCGCTCACCCCGACGTGACAGTAGTATACGACTGTTTGAAAAAAAGTGCTTGCCTTGGTGGTGAGTCAAGTACATGTGCAGCAGGCTATACGGGTAACTTGTGTGCTGTATGCGCAGACGGGTATGCAAATCCTTCCATTGATGGTCGGAATCCACCAGTGTGCAGCAAGTGTCCCCCAAACATTGCTGGTGGCATGATAATCGTTGTTCACCTGCTCCTGCATGGGATCATCGTGGTGACCTTATTCAGGATTGCCACTCACAATCACGGTGGGTCTATTGGGCTTTGCAAAACCCTCCTTTCACACTTTCAAATGATGACCGTGTTGAAGGACGTTGACTTGGGCTGGACATCAACACAGTACCTCCTGTTCGAAATCGCGGCCAGGATATCAACACCCACGATCCACTCATTTGAAATTGACTGCTTCTTGCGTTGGAACCACTATCAGTACACTGGCTACTCATCGGCACTACCCACAGTCATTGCCATTCTCGCTGTTTTTTGTTATGTCGTGATCCGTATTGTTGAAATCAAACGTCACAGGAAAACGTTCTTCCTTAACAAATTCAAATTGCAAGAACAAGTTGCTTTTAATCGGAGGCTAGGAAAAAATGTCACGGATCTCCAAGAAGCACTCGATAAAATGAGCATCCAACCTGATGACACTTCACCTCATGGTGTCATGGATGTTGCATTGACACCTCGAATGACAAGTCCTGCAGAGGACGAAGATAAGGACATCATTCGTTCTCGAGACATAGAGGTCGCAGAGTTGCCTGCCACTGCGTATGATACCGCTGTCTGCTTATCACTTGTCATGCTTTACTTTTCGTGGACTATAATTTTGAGGCACCTGTTGCAGCTCATTCGGTCAAGGTCGTTTGTTGACAAGGGATCGTTTCTCTTCGTAGACCTTGATATCAGCACTGGTACCACGTTATACACCAGTTGGATTTGTGCCTTGATTGCTTTCCTGAGTGTTTATCTCGTCGTATTGCCTTGCATATTGCTACAGGCACTGAGCAGCGAGAAAACTCGCCTCCACTGGCGTTCCGTGAAAATGCGACTAGGTTTCATGTTCTTGGGATTCATGCCTGAGTACTGGTGGTGGGAGTTTGTGGTCATGATTCGAAAGTTTGGCCTCCTGGTAAGGATATGCTCCGCATAAACATGGTTTTTCCCTTACTTTTAGCCGTTGAGCGTACTGTATTTCATGGCCAACACATCATTTGCTTCGAAATGAATGTTCTGTTTTTCCTATGAAAAGGCTACTGCTGTTCTTCTTCCAGATGAACCTTTAATCGCTGCCTACATATCACTTTTCATCGTCCAGGGTTAGTTCTCAACAATCTGTTTCTGTGGGGACACGGGAGTTCTCATACTCATAAAATCTGAACATTTCTTTCTCTTTTTGCAGTGAGATATTTTGCTTGATTGAAAACCACTTGCGCAATGTCGTAACACGTGCACGGCCTATCGTACACGTACTGCGAGCACGTATCTTTTGAATGAGAGCGCAAACACCGTGTGCTTTCCTGTCAATATGTCACATACTGGCAGATTTGTTTTCCCCTTCACGAGTTTGTCGTTCTCTCTGAAAACAATATATATCTTGTTTTGCTCCTGAAAATTTCTGATGATTGAATATCGCATGCTTCAACTTTCAGGCTTCCATCGCTGCTCATCTGGTATGCAACCCGGTGGACTCCAGTGCGCAACAGTCACTTGAGTCCTTGACGCTTACTGTCACGCTTGTGACATACCACCTTGGCGTGCTTATCAAAGTGGGAGAAAATAACTTGCCAGACAGTGTCCAGATTTTATTTACTTCATTTCTTGTTGTACTTAACGCATATGTGATCTGGTGCTTCTCCAGCTGCATGTATCGTGACGTGATGTTGGTAATGAAGTGTCCCGAATAATTATGTTTCTGGTTTTTTACACGCTGGATACTTTACTGCCTCACTGCAATTATTCATTTATCGGTCCGTTTGTTTTCGCTGTATCTGTCCCTCGATAAAGGACCTGGTGAATTCTAAGGTATTGGGTTCTAGAGAGGCAGTAGACGCTGAAGCCAAACTCCAGAGAGATGTAGTTCATAACGAACTCGGAACGCTGCACCCTCAAATTCAAACCCTACATCCTCACATGGCCAAGGGCCTGAAAAGCTCCGCTGGCGTGAATCGGTTACGTGCTACTATCACGCAATCGAATGCCCCGGATCTCTGGATGAAGCATGTGCAATTAAGCATGAATCTTGAAATGTTGCGCAACAGTTGGCAGCAAGTAAAAACCAAGTCTCGAAGGTTGTCACAAAAAAAAAGGTCTCCAGGAGAGGCTGTATTAAGGTAGGGTTGTGCAAGCTCATAGAATTATCGTTTTGTAACTACCTGCGTCTCTGACCGGAAACTTTGAAATGCTTTAAGCGACATGCTTTATCGAACGCACTCTGCTGGTCAGGCGCAGGGGTTCTGCTGTGACTGAGGAAGGACGACAGAAACAATCAGAACTATTTCTTGAAGGAAAACAGGAGTCTATCAACATTTCTGATGAAATAGGAATCAGGGAGCCTGAAAATAAATCTAAATCGGGAAGCATTTTAGAGTCCTTCAACGCGCACGATTCAAAAAAATTGAAACGGTTGGGTGGAGGTAACGATAGTCTAGGATCCCTGGCCTCAAAAAGTGGAACTAAAAACGATTCGTGGCGTGATCGAATGGAAGATTCTGAATGGCGCGTTACTCAGCGCACACGTTACCGACTCTTATCTCGTAGTCAAGGGGGTACAAATATATAATCTTTTTCAGTATCGCAACATTCTATTCGAGATACTTCAAGATATCATGGTATTATTTGTTTTTGTTTACGGGTATTATATGTATGTGTAATTTGAAAGTGAATAAGACCTGGGCCTATTATTGCAAAGTAGACTATCATACTTTGTGTTCGTCCAGAGTTCGTCACGGAATTCTCGTACCTCGGAGGTACCTTACTTATTACAGTACTTCTTCGTAGCCCTACGGAACGAACGAAGTACACGTACGTTGTAAACGAAGTACCTCCGGAAGATAGATACGCATGTATTCTATATATACCTTCGGTACCTTCGAAGGTACTTTCGAAAGTATAGAATACTGTACCTTCGTACCTTCGTATACATCCCTATTGTACAAGTACAACGTTTCGTTGTACCTTCGTACTTCCGCACCTTCGTTCGTTCACTATGATACCTTCGTTCGTATACTTCTGGAAGTACCTCCGAAACTCCTCCGAAGGCACGCATACACCACAACACATGTATGTACGGAAGCAGTACATATATATGGTAGTACATATATATACATATGTAAAACGCTACGGTTGATACCGAGTGGAGGGAAATGAACCTAAAGGGTTCAACCCATGAACTGCAGTCATTTCAAGCACATTCGCGGGATAAGGGGGCTGTACAATACACGTATCTTCATACTTACGTACCTTCGAGGTACATTTTTTCTGTCAAAATGCTCATTGCAAGGACTCAAAAATTTATAAAAGGTACCGAAGGTACGTATACAGTACGAAACCCTTCGAATAGTATAAATAGTTTCTTTTTTTTCACTCTTTGGCTTAGCGAACTCAGTTGAGTTCTCCTCTGAATACCGCTGCCTCGCGCCGCAGTTCATATACCACTGTCACCAACGCTTCAGAGTTTATCTCATTCTCGCATAGCGCAACGAGTATGGATAGACATTCCTTGTCAAGTCCACATTCGAGCAACTGCGAAATTTCAAACGCGGCTGTGAAATCAGAGAGCATTTAAAAAAAATCGCGTTATCAGCGCACCCAATTCAAGAAAGAGGGAGAGATCAGGTGATTTGGCGCACCGTCAAGAGCAACTTCGACTTCCATCATGTCGGTTGTTTTGATTGTCGACAATTTGCGGCGAATGACTTACTGGTACACGTACATACACGTACGTACATAGCTGTACACGTACACGCACGTGTACAGCTGTACAGTATTTCCGAAAATACTAATAAATGCACTCTACTTAATACCTTCGAAGGTAATAGTTAACTTACTGTATTACCTTCGTACGAAAGTACGAAAGTACGAAAGTACGAAAGTACGAAAGTACGAAATAAAGTACTGCAGGGCTACAACTAATCTACGAAGGTATCTATCTATCTAGCTAGGTACACGACCTTCACGTGTAACGTGTACGTGTACGTGTACAACTACTGTCTGTGACGAAGGAAGACTTCCGAAGTTATACTCTCAGTCACTTGTAAGGACTTCGCAGTTCGCACGCTTTTATGCGAACAAAGATGACGGAGGCTTCTTCACCCATCATGGACACCGAAGATCCTGAGTTCCGCAGGGAGTTGCGTAAGCAGTACCGCGCACTTCACCAGGAGGCTCGAGGTACGCTCTCCCCTTGCGCGTTCGCGAGACCTCGCGGACGAATTATCATTTCAGCGCTCCGCTCAACTCATTTGCTTCTGCGTAACTCGTTTGCAGGACGAAAGGATGCATACATCCAGCCTAATAGTTCTTCTTTGCTTGAGATGGTAAAGAAGGCGGACGCTCTCCACAAAAATGGTACTTCGTTGCTTTTTGGTCCCACGGTGTTGCTTCGGAAGAAGCGTGTCGTTCAAATCTACACGTTTTTTGTCGAAGCCACTCTCACCGACTTTCCGTCCTTTCGTCAAATATACGGACAAGAATTGCCGTCTTGACGATGTGCATGCTGCCGCGCGTATCTTCATAGGTAATCTAATCTCCTCGTACTGAGCAATTATTCTGCCCACCACTGACCGACTGTAGTAAAGCGAACAAGAGAGCAAGCCGTTGACGCGGAGCTCATGTGCACGCTTGTTGACTATGGCGTCGAAATGTCCAAGAAACTAGGCCATCAAGGCGCAGCTTCTTTCACACCATCGGATTTTATCACACGCGTTTGCGCGATGTATGTGCGAGGGTGGGATCCGCAATTTCAGGCTACGTTAGACCACGGTTCGTTAGATTGGCGGGTGTTCGGTTCTTCAGTGTCCAAACGATTCAAGACTCCGCAACTACCACCGTTTATGAACGGTGTTCTAGACACCGAGTTGAAGAAGCGCAAAAAAAATGCGAAGAAACGAATATGCGCGCCGAACGGCCCCGTTGTAAACCCCGAAGAGTTGGATAACACTTTAAATGAACAACAGACAGACCACGCCATGAAACAAATGTTGAAACTTGTTAAGAAACGGCGGGAGCGGAATCCGGAGGAACCCTTCCGCGTGGACGAGCTCGTGGCGAATCCAAAGTCATTTTCGCAGTTTGTAGAGAATGTTTTTACGCTCTCTTTCTCTGTGAAGGATGGAGAGCTTGGGTTTGAGCACCGAGGCGACGACGCAGATGAGTGCCCGGTGGTAGTAAAAAGGGGGAAGCCGGAGGGGGGACTGGTTGGGCGATCAACTTTCGTGATGCACTTAGACCTTAAAGGTTGGCGGCAGATGGCGAAAACGAACAAGATGATGGTAGGCGCGGTGCCTCACAGAGACGAACTTGTAGGTGAAGAGAAAGAGAAGCCAGGCTCCATTTCCACCACTGTGGGAAGAGGAGTTGGAGGAGGCAAGGTTGGTGGTGTGGAAAACGTGCAAAATAGTTAAATTGCTAGCGCTGGTGAGGTTGTTTCGAACTCAGTAGAACTGGAGGAGGCACCATCTGAGCTTCGAATCAACTCGGAATGCGCGCGATCTTTTTTAAAGTGACGCAGGGGTTTTGTAATTCCACTTTTCGAACAAAAACTATAATCGAAGGTACCAAATTTGTATTAGTATTTCACTGAATCTAATGAACGAACTCTCGTACGCGCCCAAGCGTCGTCACCCGCACGCATCGACTCGAAACTTCGTGGCGGACGTCTTCAGCACGACGCAGATAAAAAAATTAGGTAGGGTTACGTGTACTGTAGCCCTACGTGATTCTGGAAAAACAATTAAAAATAAGTTTTACTTTTGCAGAGGAGGACGTAAAAGGGCCATCTCGATCCCATCCCTTTTCTGGTTTCTGCAAGACTCACTGGAGCTGATTGCTGCCATTCAGAACTTCAAAGTCACCATCGCGTAGCCGCTTCGTTGCCTTTGACCTCCGCACAAAAAGATGCACAGCACAACCGCCAGCACCTGCACGTCGGAAATCGGGATGAAGCGTTGTCAATGGTGCTTCACTTCTTTTGAAATCCAAAGCCGTTGCATCTTCAAAGAATTTAGACTCTGCCATCGGATGATGAAGCGGATAACGCCGCACGTTGGCAATCACAATGAGTGTGTTGGGGCCACACAGTTGACACAAAGTACTAACTAGTGCCTGCCACTTCGTGGGGTCGTTGCCGTACACCACATCACTGGCGATTACAAGGTCAGGGTGCATTTTTAACCCGAGCGTTCGAAGTGGATCAACGCTTCCCCATGCCAGCTGCCGTACACGTGGCAAAGGTGTCGAAGTTGGTGGTGGATTTGCGGCAATATTTTCGGCAAGAAGTTTCAGAACATCAGTGTTTCCTGTTTGCGAAAATGGTATAAAGAATTTCTTTTCTGAGAGACAACAACATTTATAAAGAGAAGGTAAGCCGAAAAAAAACGCAAACTCCATGAGTTCTCGGAATCATATATACGTCTGATGTGCGAGTTACGCCTGATCGCGAAGTTTGGGAATTTGTCGTCACACTCAGCGAAAAAGAAAACCTCGTCGCAATCTGAGAAGGGGTGACGTACCATCAGTTGAGACCATTTCCAATCCAAGTTTTGCTGCAACGATAGAAGGGAGCCCCAAACCGGCTCCGAGCTCCACTCCGACGCGTCCCTCCCATGTGTCAGAGGCTAGATGGCTCCAGTGGCCGCTCATGGCTGCAGAAATTTCATTAGAGTGTCTCGGATTCAGCGCCCGAGATAGCCACTCAGCAAGCACGAAACTGCCCTCCCATAATGTAACGCCAGTATCTCCACGTCCCCAGCCATGGCAACTATCGTCAACGCGTTCGACTGTAGCATTACCATAATGCATCGGGATACGGGAGGTAAGAGTGACGATTGAGCAGCTATCGCGTGACCCCAACGAAGGAAAGTCGTAACTTCGTTTGCGTTGAGCGCTTACTGCAGCATTTAACTTTTTGTCATAGCCTCCTAAACGCCCGTGTGCGCCCAAAAACTTGAGTAATTCCTGTGAATTGAAATCTGCAAGTCGGCGGCGTGCGGCGCGGCCGATTTTGCGTATCAGCCTGTCTTCACCCAAAGATTTAACACCGAGTGAATCTAGTGCCCACGCTGTATTAGTTAAGTCACGCGGGTTGAATTCATGCGCTCTAGCTTTTATCATGGGTATTGCTGCAGTCAGCAGTGTTTGATGTTGTATATCAAGCGTTGCGAATGCCCAAAGTATCATTGATACTTGTTTTGGCGAGTACGCGGTTACCTTCACGTCAATTACCGCTTGAGCAGCAAAAACCTCTGATAGGTAATTGAACATCAGTTGCTTCTTACGCCCAAGCTTAGCAAATGCCCACGCAAGATTTGCCACGTCTTGGGGCTTCAGCTCATACTTTATGGGGTCTGGAAAGGAAATGACTGCGTCCGCAACGGCATCAAACAGAGTACCATATCCGTCACCACCTTCACCTAGTTTAGCAAGTGCCGCCACAGTTGTCGCTAGCTGTCGTGGTGTAGCCTTGTTGGCTTGTGAAGCAAAAGCTTCTGCCACAGCAAACGTGCCATCGACAACACCAAACGCAGCCAGTGCCCATGCGCACATCGACAGCTCTTGCGTGTTCATGTGAGATGCAACGCGGACCACAGCCATAGCCAACGCTGAAAATACAGTCTCAATGCTACCTCCACGAAGATCATCGCCCCTGCCAGTTTCAATATCGAGGCCGAGCTTCGCGCAAGCCCATGCGATGTTTGCTACGTGCCGTGGTTCAAACCTTTGCCTTGCAATGAACGTACTATCAATTCGCGATACTATTACACTCGTGGCCGAAATAACGGCAGCTCGGGTCTTCATTACCATTTTCTTTCTGTGATTATCCGTTTCGTTTGTATCTTTCTCGTTCTTGTCTCTCGCACCTGTGGTAACAGTCTTCGCAGCAGCCCACAAAACATTTGCCAACTCTTGTGGATTAAATCGAGTCGCGAGTGCACTTACTGCCGTAAACGTTGCGATCAAAATCTCGGCATGATGTGCATTGTCCACACTGAAGCCTAATGTAGCCAGACTCCACGCGACATTGCTCACGCCTTGCTCTGTCCAACCTACAGACCGCGATAGCCACACATGTTCATCGTGCAGGACCGTACGTTTCAAACTTCGGAGCTCATCACTGAGAGATGTAGAAATCGCTTCGCCTAAAAGCAACACGATATCACTCTCGTGATCGAAACCCAGCTTTGCAACCCCCCAAAGGGAGTTTGACAACTCCTGTGGGTTGAACCTCGAGGCACGCACATTAACTGACTTCTCAATTTCGTTCACCAGTGTTCCAACGCGTCTACTGAGGCCAATCCCCAGCTTGCCGCACGCGTGTAGCAGGCTTGCGGACGTCCTGCTCTCTACTTCATGGGGCTGCTGCTGCCGAATGCGTGTCACCGCCGCGTCAAGTAATCCGTTGAGGACGGCAAGGGCGCTGCTGTCGCCGCCGTACTGGAGCAGCCGGCGCCCGTCGGTCGATCTGGCCAAGCGCTGCAGCGCAGTCGTGCAGTTTACCAGGTTGAAGTCGGCAACGTGACTTGACACTACGACAAGTATATCAGAGGCTGAGGTCTTCCTTGTTAGGTCCTGGTTGATTGCCACCTGCCAGCTGCTCATCCTGCGACCATCGAGCGGCAACTCAGAAACTGAGTGCACTTGTATTCTGCCTTCGAAGGGCCATTTCGATCATTTCGTACTCGTACTTCCGGAGTACTTCAAGTACGTGTACACGTACTGCACTAACGTGTACCTTCGTCCTTAGAAAGTACGAAAGTACGAAAATAGAATACCTTCGAAGATAGTAAAAGTTTTTACGTACAGTATGCGTATGTAGCACTTGTGTGTACCTTCGTACGAACTACCTTAGGTACGAAGGTACATACAGTACTGTAACTGCTACGTAACGCGTTGTAAAACAACTTATCATATTTTGTGTACTAAAAGGTAACCGTTCATCGTTTCCGAACAGCAGTTCTTCAACTTCAACAATTTGTCCCCTCTACTTGCTGTCGTGAATATTCTTCAAGCGAACCTAAGCGTACGCAGCAGTATCTCCACAGGCAATTCCACAATCAGGCGAAATGGGCGCTCGTGCACTTCGAAGTTCCCACCCGTCTTTGTCTCCCACGACGAAGGCAAATAATGGGATAAAATCTGTTTCAAACACCGAATCGTCAGAACTCAACTCTCGTTTTCCTCACGCGACACTTGGGACGCGTTGCAAGTTGAGAAACGAAAATGAAGCATGTCCTGATTCTCGCGCTATATCTGTTGATAATGAAAAATCCAGATTCATTGGTGGTCTTTCTCGGAAGCAAAGTAATCAAGGATATTCGAACGATACACAACGCAGAACTGATGTTTGTTTTCCCACCCAGCCGGCTAACTGCCGGGATCCAAGGCCTTTGGGCGAGAAATCATACACAAACAACAACATCCAATACCTGATGTCTTACTTAAGCTGTCATGGACATACTTCACTCTCTCCGAAGACTTTTACCTCTCCTACTGCTAAAGAATTCGCAACTCTTTCTCTATTTCTTTTTTGTAAAGTTGACAAAAAATTCAAATTTGGTTTGAGAGCTGAAGACGACATATCTCTGATTTTCAAGCAACTGCGATATCCGATTCAAGTCAGCAAAAATGCGCTTTACGCAGTTGGAAGTCCGCACACCTGGCCCTCGTTACTCGCTGCCCTGACGTGGTTGGTGCAATTGTTCGTATACGCGGAAAAAGCTCAACAGAACCCAGAGAAGGTGAATACTTCTCACAAGTCCTCTTAGTTTCCTCTTATCTGAACAGTTTTCTTAAGCAGCAACTCGGCCAATTTAAACCTGATGCTGCATTCTTTGGATATATCAAATCCGCGTATGGGGTACTGCACTATTTTCCCTCCTTGCGGAGTTAAAATAAACTAATAAACTTCTTCTCAGTTTTTTTTAGCGGGTAACGATGAAGGCTGTGATGTCGTCCAACATAATTATTTTTCAGAGAAGTTCACGTCTAAATCACACTTCTTCAAAGCTACACGTGGGATTGAAAAGGCAAATCATTTCGTATCCCCGTCACCCGTTGCTGTCCTGAAGTTTGCCTTCGTTTCAGAACAACTACGAGCTTGAAGTTGTCCTCGCCTCACTGATGAGCAAAACTCCGAACACAATCGGATTACAGAAGGAGAAGGTCATGGTTAAACTTACCATATAAGATAAACAAGACAGTTTCTGAAACTGAAAACCTCTCTCTTTTCAGGTCATCCGTGCCAGTGCAATTAAGAAGTTGTCAGAGGACACGATAAAGGTGCTGTGTATAGTAGAAGGCGCTGATATACACGTGGAGTTTACGAAGCAGGAAACACGACTGAGTGAGGTATATCTGATTTGGACGTAATTATTTCATGAAGTGAAGTGTGAATGCAATCTTGCAGAGAAGAATGGATGTGTGCCTCAGAAATATCAGTGCCCTCAAACAAAGTGAAATCTTGAACTCAAAATACAAATCTTTTACAAGATCAAAAACTAACTCTGTGGGTCTATCGTATTTCTATATCGAAGACCTTCATATAATTTGCACTTCCCTGGCTTCAACATTATTTCTTCAGGGTGATCAAGTTCGTGACAAAGAAATTCATGCAATTATACAGTCACAGCGTTCAGTAGTTGATTCTTGCACAGTTACTGATATAGCCATGACTGAAAGTGCACTAGACCTGTTGAAGGGTAAAGCAGAGGTTTATTGCAGCAGTGCACGAAGTATCCAGCTGTTACCGCATTCGTCGCTGAACGCAGTTGCAGTTGGAAAATATTCTTATAATTGTCTTCAGGTGCCAGCGCAAACATGTTCTCTTGCAAACCCCCTTTTTATAAGTTGCTAACAAGGACAAATATTTGGTAGGATATGGATAACTTCAAAAACTCGGTTTGGAGGACTATAAAAATCAAGCGGCGTGATCTTGCACTGCTTAAAAGGTCGCCCAATTTTTCCCGCTCGTATTTTTGGTGTCGCTTACCAGAGATTTTCAGGACTGCTGAACGTGAGCTTGAGGACATCGCTGAAGAACTGCACTTCTGCAGTGAAACGTGCATCAAGAGGTATCAAGCATATTTTTTTAGTGATATTTTTCAGCTCTGATAGCACATCTTCTTCGAAATACAGGCGCGTCGAGGAACACGAACTTACACTGAACGGATTTCTGTGTGACAGTAGTTATGAAAAGGAACGCTCCCGACTTCACTGCCTGCTAGAAGCTACACTCAGGGAGCTTGCTCACGCTGAAAATGAGGTAGATCAGTACATCTGAACGTACTGATTTAGTTTACTCACAGCTCCGTTTTTCAGGTATTAAATCTCAGGGAGAATTGTAAGTTGAACGTTTCTCGGACAGATTCCTCATTGATTGCCCTCCAGGTATTCTTTTTTTCTTTCTGTCCTTCTTTTATGATAATTCTGAACTCATGAAAGGCGATCTATGATACTGACATCAACCGATATGGTCAAGAGAGACTTGCTGTTCAAAACATGATGTTGGCTGCTCTTGACGCACTCATGGGTCATAAACAACAAGTACAAGATGCCATGAACCTCGAAAGTCCTTTGACTGATTTCAATTGGGGGGAAACTACAACTTTATTATGACCACAACTTTTATTGGTTTTTGGTTTTTTACATCAGACAGAATTACTGTACAGCACGTGTACGTGTACAGCTGTACACGTGTATGTAGCATTGTACGAAGGTACTGTGTAGATCTGAGTACAAAAAAGTACTTTCGAAAGTACTTACGAAAGTACGAAAGTACTTTCGAAAGTACACGTACAGTACAACGTTGTACGTGTACAACGTACACATAGAATACTTTCGAAAGTACGAAAGTACTTTCGAAAGTACTTTCGTACTTTCGTACGAAAGTACTTTCGTATCAATACTTTCTTAGTGTGTACGAAGGTACTATTTTGAAAGTACTTTCGTACTTTGTACGAAAGTACGAAAGTACGAAAGTACCAATAATCTTCGAAGATACTTTCGTACGTACTTTCACGTACTGTACACGTACATAGCTACATACAGTACAATACCTTCGTAATATTAAACTTGTACGAAAGTACGAAAGTACCTTCGAAGGTACGAAAGTACAACTTGTACTGTATGTACAGCGTCGTACGAAAGTATCTATTTCCGTATTCTTTCTTCGTTCAGTACACGTAGTGTACGTAGCTACGTACATGCAACATTATGTACAATAGTGTTTCTTCAAAGGTAAGTTGTTACACTTACAGTAATAACTCTATCTTCGTACCTTCGAAGGTACTTCCGGGAGTACATTCGTAGTACGTGCAGTATGTAGCTACGTTACGGAAGTAACGTTACCTTCGTAGTACGAAAGCACTTTCGTGTAGTACGAAAGTACTTTCATAAACGTTTGTGCGGAAGTAAAACAACTTAAGGTACGAAAGTACTTCCGTAGCTACGTATGGAAGTACCTTCGAAGGTACGAAAATATTATCTCCGAAGATAAAAATACTTCCGGAAGTACAGTACACGTACACGTACGGAAGTATCATACTGTACTTCATTCCGTACTTTCGAAAATATTTTCGTACTACGTTGTAGTTCCGAAAGTACGGATGTACGTGTACACGTACCTTCGAAGGTAATAACGCGTTGTACAGTAAGTACAACGTACTTTCGGAAGAACACTATCGCTATCTACTATCAGAGCCCGCCTAGGAATTACTTTCGTATTTCCGTACGAAGGTATGAATATGTAGCTATTGTACTTGGGCTACCGCTACAATAGTTCTACAATGAAAGATAGGGCAGTTGTAGGGCTACAGTACAGTAGCACTAGCTAGCTAGCTCGTACAACGTTGTAGCTGCTACCTTCGTAGACTAATACGAGGATAAATAGGCTAGGTACTAGGGCTAGGTAGGGCTTGTACGAAGATTGGAAGATATCAACAAATAGTACGGAAATAGACTACTGTATCGCTAGCTGTAGTGTACACGTACACGTACACGTAGCCCCTGCCGCCTACAACGCGTTGATATGTACTGTACATTGCCAATACTGTACCTTACGAAGGTACACTTGTATGATATCATTGTAGACATATTCTATCTTCGAAGGCATGTAATAGCTAGCTACGAAGGTAAGCTTACTTTCACAGTACGAAAGTACTTTCGTACCTTCAAGCAAGTACCTTCGGAGGCACCTTCGTAAAAGGTAAGTTGACTTACGTGTACTGTACCTTCGAAGTAGCTAGCTACGACTCGTAGCTAGCTCTAGCTACCTTCGTGTAGTCTAGACACCTTTTATACGCAATGTACTTCCGGAGGTACGTGAAGTCGTGCACCCGTGCCTGTTTGTTCAGCATCGAACTTGAGAAGTTGCAGCTCACGTGCCAAAGAATGCCTCATTAGGTACATTGCACTGTCACAGCGCCATTGGAGAGCTCTTTATCTGGAGAACGACCCGGCTGAGTGTCAGAAACAACCCACATTTCTAAGTTCAAACGGACTTGACATGGAGTCGGGGGAGATATTGCGCCACATGTTATCTGGAGCCTTCGCCGGAGTAGTTGTTGAAGCCGCGTTATACCCTCTGGACACGATTAAGACACGCTTACAGGTGGCCAAGGGAGGTGTGCGTGTGAGTTGGAAAAGTCTTTACAGGGGCCTCGGGAACAATCTTCTTGGCGTCGTTCCAGCCAGCGCTATTTTCTTCGCTGTTTACGAGCCGTTGAAATATTCTTTGCTCCGCGAGGGTGACCTCCCAAAATCTGGGGCGCACTTGCTGGCCGCCTCATCGGGTGGTTTGGCAGCATCATTGATACGTGTCCCAACGGAAGTGATTAAGACTAGAATGCAGGCTGGTCATTTTATAGATGCACGCAGTGCTGCTTGGTGCATTGTAACAAAAGAAGGTTTTTTAAGTGGGTTGTTTGCTGGTTTTGGGTCCTTTCTTCTTAGGGATTTGCCATTCGACGCCATTGAATTCACTTCTTACGAATATTTGAAGCTTTCTTGGAAATCCATTACTAAGGAAAATGAACTGAAACAACACGAGGCTGCGGTTTTCGGAGCTTTTGCTGGGATGCTTACTGGCGCCGTCACCACACCACTTGACGTGGTGAAAGCAAGGCTCATGACACAAGGTGGCCGTATTAGTAGAACTAGCACTAAAAAGGAGCGATGCCAATCGTTTGGGACGTCTCGATATAGTGGCATATCGGACTGTTTCTCTCGAGTTGTATCTGAGGAGGGCTGGCGGGCGCTTTTTAAAGGAGTCGGACCTCGGGTGACATGGATTGGAGTAGGCGGTGGGATTTTTTTCTTCACTTTAGAAACAAGTCGACGTTGTCTCGAGCAGATTTGTAGATGAAATGCTTGTCAAAGCCAGAGGGCACTTATATGAAGGTTGTATGGTCACCTGCCACTCTACTCCTCCAGTCATTTTCATGTTACTAGGACCCTGTTTTCACTTCATCAGAGAATGTTACAGAACAAATAAGTGCGGCATTAAAATCTAATTGGCAGTCAACTTTGTGTAACGCGATGTAACGTGATTCTTTTTGGACTGTACCTCGGGTTCCGATCTTTACAATATTTACAATTAGCGACGTCGGAACCCCAGAAAGTAATATTTATCAGGACAAGGTTTTAAAACCATTCTAGCTAGGATTTAACATTGACCGGTAGCCAGTGTCGACCTCATAAATCGTATACAATACTTTATAAACGAACATCCGGCGTCATTCCCATGTATCGGCAATACAGAACTCATGCACGCATGTGTGCACTGTATTGAAGTGAAACTAATCAGTCACCGACAAGAATGCCCGGGATTCGGGCTGGCAAAGTTTTAAACAGGACATGTTGTACTTCCGAAAGCATTTCCGAAGGCACTACTAAAAAGCATACCTCCGAAGGTACACCATGGAAACCATGTAACGTTTGTGAGCTCGTATGAAAAATTGTGCAAGTGATCAAAAGTTAGTAGGTTGTGGACATTCCTGTGCACACAAGTATTAATGGTAAATAGGCTTCGTACTTGACTTACTCACCAGCAAGATCACGAACAATGTTGAAAGTGGCTTCAGGTCTACCAAGTGATTTCGCTTTCGAAGACATGGAATTTAACTCGATACCATCACTTTTGAACCAGCGAGAAATGATTTGAGATATTTCCACTGGATCTTCACTGAAAGCACCTACACCATTTTCTAGAACAAATGAAACGTTCCCTTCTTCCTGGCATGGGATAAATCCTGTGTCCCATGATACATCAGAGTTAGGATGAGGACAAAAAAATCTAATAGAAGTGCTTGTGAAGAGCGCTCAGCAATCACATGAAACCTCTCTTTTTCAGGCCCTTAGCAGAAAGACCATGCGCACCGTTAAGTAGAATCGGCAGGCCGCAAATGAGGGCTTCTGCAATTGTTCCCGGGCCAGCTTTTGTTATGATACAGTCACATGCGGACATATATTCTGACATATTGTTTACGAAGCCCTAGTGTAGCCAAACTAAGAAAAAAAAAAGGTTTCTCTTTATATTTGTTACGAACTTGCCTTGATTACCATTTTCAGTGGCCATGTCCTCGCAGCAAGCGTTCTCGCAAGCTTCTCATTGCGTCCACATATCACTACAATTTGATGCCCAGGGGACAACCGAAGAACAGAATCCAACCGAAAAAGAAACAAATTACTTTTAAAAAAAGTGTGTTCACGTGTAGTAAGATGCTCATATCATAAAACAGCTGAACCCGACGTTTGTGAGAGAGCTTCAGCAGTGGCTTCGAGTTTACCCATGCCTTCTCCACCGCCTACAAGCATGACAGTTGAAGCAGTCAAGTCAAGCTGAAGAAGTCTTCGAAGTTCAACTTTGGGAAGAGACTCAGCGTTGAAAGCTGGCCTGATCGGTAGACCATGACATGCAAGCTGATTGGCTACCAATCCATAACTCATGGCCTGCGCTGCAACGAGCTGGGTGGCTACAAAACATTTATCAACGTGCTGACAAAAACAAAGCGTAGTGAGGAGAAGTCTGTTTGATGAAGGAGTTACATACCCTGTGAAACCAGGTCCTGTGGCAACGGGTGAGATCCGTCACAACAGTCGTAAATGGAACTCTGGCAGCAACAAAGCTGGATTCTGCTTTCATACGTGCTAACACTTTTAGCTGGAGCCAGTGTCTCGGAAACAGAAAAAGAGTAAAATAAATATTGCGAGCTGTATTGCGTTTTTTTCCTTGCCAGAGAGAATCCCTACCGGCACATGCTGCATCAGTGGATGAACACTCACTATCAAACTTGGCTCATTCTCATGGAACGCCTTTGCAAAGCGTCTACCGACAAGAGCAGTGTACCCCTAGATGGTGCGAACTTCGATGAAAAAGAGCTTGAAAGTATATAAGTAGATGGAAAGTAAACCGTGAAGAGTGCTTCATGAAGAATCTCTGGTTCTGAACATCTGAAGCTCAAACGCCAAAGCCATGGGTTTTTAACCAAGAAAAAGTAACTCTTCGGCATATTACATAGCGGCCAAGGCGAGCTACTACTCCATAGATCAACTACATGTATGGCAAAAGAATCACCTGAAAGGAAAATTGCAAAAGAAACATAAATTTGAACACAATCACCAGAGAAGAACGTCAATACACACCAAACATGATTTCGAAACCATCTTTAAGAGCCTGCGCGCTTGCTCGATGACCGCCTCCGGTATCACTCATCAAACACATAACGTGCTTTTTAATAGCAAGTGAAGACACGGGTGCAGGTTCACGTGTAAATTCTAATGACCCTTCGGAAGAAGACCACGATCCGGTCCCGCCGGTGTTCTGCACAAAAAGAAGCTGAGCCAGTGCGCCGAATATGAATTGACAAACATACCCCCGTGAACACAGTGGCTACCTCATCGCTAGCGAACATCCCATGTTCAAGTCCGAAAAAACAGGCGTTACCACCAAACAACAAAGTTCTGACATGTATCTACTTCAAATTTAATGAAAATATGAAATAATGGAACCTGTCACGCACGCGCTATGCGTCAACTGCTCTCGCGCCTTGGCTCTTGCTCTTAACGATCGTCCGGCGATGGCGCCGACCAAATACGCATGCTGATATGCGACGATGCTCGGCTGAGTATTCACAACACGCCCAGCTGAGTAGACACCAGAGCTACCCGGAAAGAAGCAGACTGAGGAAGAGTCCATGTTGAGGACGATACGAAAAGACTTTGAATAATTTCTGATGGTAAGCTTCACAGAAATATGCAGCACGACAACTTTGCGCTGAACCAACAACCTCTTGATGACTTCCTGTCTCAACTGCAACGCTTCCGGGACTGCTTTCGTACACGTCGGTCCTACAGCTTTTTTGTTATCTACTTTCGAAAGCTCGAAGGCTGCATGCAGTACGTGTACGTGTACGTGTATTGTAGTGCAGTACTTTCGTACTGTACTGTATCCCTAAAGATTTACAAGTCACCTATTAAATTAGGTTTTGATAGGGAAGGCCTACACGTGTACAGCTGTACACGTACACGTACAGTACGTGTATACGTACAGTACACGTACACGTGCTATTTAAAAATAAAATAAAGTTTATCAATAGTTGTTTATCATACGAAGGTACGTTGTACTTTCGTACTTTACACGTGTATGTAGCTATGTACTATGTACGAAAGTACAACGTTGTAGTGAACGTGTAGTACTGTATTGTATCTATTTCCGGAAGTAGACCGTTACGAAAGTACTTTCGTACTGTACACGTGTACTTTCGAAAGTACTTTCGTACTTTCGTACTTTCGTACTTTTTCGTACGCGGAAGTACCTTCGAGGATAGGACACTCACGTCTCTCCACCGCTGCACAACCAACGTGGAAGCTTTCTTTCGTTTCCGCAATACGGAATATAAAATGCTTCACTCACCAACGCTTCTTTATTCCTCTGAGTCGACACCTTTAGTTGTGCTTGCTGCGGCCCAGATCGGCGGCGTGAGTTTAACAACTTTTCCTGATAAGGGCATCTCTGGCGACGTCGAACCAACCCTTCTTCTCGAAGATGGCACTAAAATAGCGGGAACATCTTCACTCTTACGATTTATTGCCCGTGCATCAGCTAATGCATGTGGGCTCTATGCCGGCGATATAATGTCGTCCACTATGGTGATTTCCGTCCCTCCCGAAAGCTGCGTTGTGCTTGCCACTGAAAAAATATACCTGACCTAGTTCCTCATCTATTTTTTTAAGATAAGAGATCGTGTTGCTCCCGAAATTTCTGACTGAAAGTTTCAACATCGCACAGGTAGATTTTTGGATCGACCAGGCCTCGGCAGCTGTGCGTGGCGGTAGCTTTCAGGAGATCTGTGAGAGAGTCGCCGCATATCTTTCAAGTCATACTTATTTGGTTGGATGTACACTGACAATCGCAGACCTGGCTTTTTTTCATCAACTGCTGAATTCACGTCAGTGGGAAGCTATAAAAACGAGACCCTCGCTCGGCCATTTGCTGCGTTGGTTTAATTCGTGTATGATGAACGGTACACTTCGCGACGTGGCCACTGCTCATGGGGCATCGTTTTTTCTAACACTCAAAACTTTAAGATTCCAAGGTATTATTGAGAGCTGTGTGTCTACCTCGGGTGGTTCCTTCAAAATAAATCTTGATAACGCAACTGAAGGCTGCGTAGTTACTCGCTTTCCCCCTGAACCCTCGGGTTATTTGCACATTGGGCATGCCAAAGCTGCACTTTTAAACCAGTATTTTGCTCGCCTTTACAAAGGTAAGCTTATCATTCGATTTGATGACACCAACCCATCCAAAGAAAGGGATGAGTTCGTCGAAAATATCTTGCAGGACTGCGAGACACTAGGACTTAAACCAGATGCTGTGACATATACGTCAGACTCTTTTTCTCAAATTTTAGAGATGGGATCAAAATTGATTCGAGAGGGAAACATGTACATAGATGATACTCCGTTAGATCTAATGCGTCACGAAAGAATCAATCGTATAGAGTCTGCTGCCCGTGGGAACACTGTTGAAGATAATCTTCGTTTATGGGGAGATATGATTGCCGGTAATGAAAAAGGCTTAGAGTGTGCTGCTCGTTTTCGCATGGACATGCAAAGTGATAATGGTTCTCTACGGGATCCTGTTGCTTTTCGCTGCAACCTATCTCCGCATCACCGCACGGGCACAACACACAAAGTTTATCCTACGTATGACTGTGCCTGTCCTTTTGTTGATGCACTCGAGGCAGGGAACCCATCTCGAAAGTTTTTTTCCTTCACTACTGTCTTTCCTCTTTGTTTCAAAACCATACATTTTTTTTTGGTCCTACACACTGGGAGTCACTCATGCCCTGCGAACTTCTGAATATCGTGACCGCGAGGATCAATATCACTGGGTGCAGAATATGATGGGCTTGCGGAAAGTGCACATATGGGACTATTCACGGTTGAATTTCGTGTACACAACTTTGTCAAAGCGAAAATTACAGTGGTTTGTAGACCATGGATATGCGGAAAGCTGGAATGATCCTCGTTTTCCCACTGTTCAGGGGTTGAAACGTAGAGGTTTGCAGATCGAGGCTCTTAAAGAATTTATCCTGATGCAAGGTGCAAGCCGAAATGTAAATTTGATGGAATGGGAGAAGTTATGGACGTTGAACAAACGCATCATAGACCCAGTTTGCCCTCGACACACTGCCGTTGAAGACGAGGGCCGAGTTGCAGTTACTTTGCTAAATGGACCTGTAAATACAGAGTCCGTGTCAGTTCCGCGCAACAAGAAATATCCTTCAGCTGGTACAAAGGTATCGAGCCGCATGTCTCGCATTTGGCTGGATTTAGCAGATGCGGAATTGCTTGAAGAAGGTGTTGAAGTTACTCTGATGGACTGGGGAAACTGTATAATTAAAAAGATATTTAAGGATGGTCCCTCAGGTGCAACTGTTAGCATGGAAGCTGAGCTTAACTTAAAAGGTTGCGTAAAGTCCACTAAAATGAAACTCACCTGGCTACCAAACATGAATGAGCTAGTTCCTCTGAAACTTTTGGATTTCGATTATCTCATTACGAAGAAAAAAGTTGAAGAGGAAGACAATCTTGCTGACGTTGTAAACAAGCAGAGTAAAGTAGAAATCCGAGCCCATGGTGACGCGGACTTGGGCAAATTGAGAAAGGGAGATGTGCTTCAACTGGAGCGCAAAGGATATTACGTTGTTGACGCTGGGTTTGAGCCAGGTGTCCAACCCATGGTGCTTCTTTGCATCCCAGATGGCCGTACTAGGAGCTGGGGTGTTTCTCGGAATAAATAGCGTGTCTAGCTGGTTCTTGCTTGGGTGTAGGATCCTCTAGGAGTCGACATTTCTAGTCATGACGAAGATTGGAAGTTGTTATTCCTTGCACCGAGTTGCTAAGAAGGGCACACAAATATCGTTGGTATTATTGAGGATACAAGAGTCAGTGGTCAACATCTGGTACTGATATTTTCATCAATATTTTCGGTGCCGGGAAGTTTAGCCTTCAAGTGCAGATGCACCAGAGATGATTTCTATGAGTTCTGTTGTGATAGATGCCTGCCGAGTACGGTTGTAGAGAAGTGTAAGCTTGCCGAGCATGTCTTTGGCATTTTTCGTCGAATTTTCCATCGACTGCATGCGAGAACCAAGCTCTGAGGTAGAGTTTTCAAGCAATGCGTTGTACACAACAACACCCATATTGAACTCTGATAGGTCAAGAAGAAATTCTGAACGCTCAGGTCCCTCAAGCTCATAAGCATCAAAGTTATTCATGCCGCTCTCTGCTGCCTTCTCATATTCCCCAGAAGAGTATACGGTAGCAACAGTTGGCTTGAACGAGATCACTGACTGAAAACGGTTGTAGACGATCTGATGTTTTCCGGCGCCCTGGTTCAAGATAGTATCACTAACAAGTGAGGCAGTCGCAAACGTCAGTGGAACTTTTGACAGATCTACTATAGCTCCCGTAAGTGTCTCAGCATACGCCTTAGAAAGTTGTCCTCGAGCTTTCTCACCAATTATAGTCAACAACGGCACTTGAGCCCCAGAAAGTCCAGCGACTACCTTCGAATACTTGACAACAGTCGAGTTAATACCACCACAAAGACCTTTGTCAGACGAAACTGGTACAAGCAGTGTCCTCTCGGCGTCCACACCTAAAAATAAAGAGCGTCTGAGTCTCCCAGAAAATGTGTAAATTTCGTGACTGCTCACCTGGTTGATCACCAAGTAATCGTACCATTGGCTCTACAAGGCCACGTGATTTCTCCATTTTGGTTTGAGCTCCTTTCAAACGTGAAGCAGCCACCATCTTCATGGCTGCAGTTATTTTTTGTATGTTTCCAACAGACTTCATGCGCTGGGCAACCACCTGCAGCGAAATGAGTCGAGAGCCGTGCGGAACGGCAGGGCTGACAAGTGGAAATAAATTAAAGTTAGGCATTCGATATAGTGCGGGTAAATCCGTGCGGGCTAAATAATTTCGTAAACCCTATTTTCCCGGACAGTTCACGGGAGTGTCATCGAATGCGCCCGCTAGCGCAAGAACACGGCGAGCAAAACAGAGTTACTGGCATGGTGTTTGTTTGACGAAGCGGCCTAGAGCCAGCTTAGCAGGCAAGGGAGTGCTCACCATGAAGCTCCGGGGAAACGAAAACCAAACGTGTTATCATTTTTGAGAGAAGGATGTCCACGAAGTCGGGTCGTATTCTTTCGAACTTCGTTCAGCACCGCAACCAAACAACGAAACCCATTGGCCGACATGGCGTATGGAATGCTAGGGAGGGATGTGTTTGCAGTACTTGACTCGGTTGTTATGGGCTGGATAGTGTTAGACCGCGTTTGGTGCACAGAGCACAGGCAACAAGGTGCCCAAAAGCAAAAAAAAACAATCATTATTCTATCGCTGTAAAATCGAAGTCGTACTGTACATGTACAGTACAGTACGTGTAGTTGTACAGTAGCTCTTTTATAAATTTGGTACGGAATTACTTTCGTATGTACTAAAACTCGTGTACAACGTACAGTACACGTACAGTACACGTGTGCAAAACAGTCTCACTCAAAAATAAACATGCATTGCTTGCTTGATACGCGTTGCGTACGTGTACAATGCTACGAAGGTACTTTCGTACTTTCGTACGAACGAAGGTAGGAAGTACATGCGGAAGTACACGTAGCCCTACGGAAGTACTTTCGTACTTCCGTACTTCCGTACTTTTAATTAACTACCTTACTTAGGTACGAAAGTACTTTCTAATTTCTTTTTACTTTTTCAAAACGCATTTACAGACTTACAGTACTGTAGACTTTTTACATGCATTTCAATCATATCAACAAGTACGAAAGTACAAGCAAGTCTACGGAAATAATAGATATCTTCATACTATGGAAGTACTTCCGGAAGTACTTCCGTACTACATAGACTACGTATGCAGCTTTATTTGTACGTGTGGCTCACTCGGGATAGCCCAGCCACGAAGTACAAACCGTACGCTGTATGTACGTGTCGCCTTATTTCAACGGGACGCGAATTTGTAGCCAAACGCTCAGGCTCTGCTGTGCTAGGGCTAGGCCCTACATGTACGTGTACAGCTTTATGTACACGGCTACACGCAGGGCACAGATTTAACATTGTATTTAGGCTATTCTTCTGTTCGACACCACCCAGCTGCTGTCAGAGTCTAAACATATTTGTTAATGTACAGTATAAATATAGTCACGTGATGGCTGTCTAGTTCAACCGACCCGCTCGCGCGCAGCATAAATGGTTTGAATCCCCAGGCAAGTTGCACCTTTTCAGGGCAATTTATTTTGATTGAAAAGCACATACTGATCGTGACTTTGAAGGCAATCATTGACAAAATTACTCGAACGAAAGTATATGAATCGCCATTCTGGAAAGAACGTTGCTTTGGAGTGAGTGTCCCTACTCTTGTCGATCTTGCGATGAATTACTCTTTATAGTGTAGAGCTGTAGACGTACACGCGTACACGTACAGTACACGCAGTGCTATTTAAAGTAGCTACGGAAGTACTTTCGTACAATGTACGAAAGTACTTTCGTACATCCGGAAGAACTTCATTCTGTACATAGGGCTACGTACAATGCATATCGTACTTCCGTACATATCACTTAACACATATCTACATACCTATTTCACCTACATAGACTATCCACGTATCTAGTACGAAAGTACATATGTGTAATACACACCTTAGCTTAATACTTCATGAGGAAGTAGTTCCGTACGAAGATAGATAGAATAAGATATGATACGTGTACCTCCGAGATAATATCTAGGCCCATACTGGCCCTATCATAGACTATCGATCTTTCCGTCCGAAAATAGTGTACGGAAGTACAGTACACGTACACTATCCCTATTATTACGTACGGAAGTAAACTTACTTTCGTACTTTCGTACTTCATTCCGTACGAAATTTATGAAGGTACTGTACGTGTACAACGTACTGTACTGTACATTAAGGTCACGCTCCGCTAATTAAATTTCCCGTGCCAAAAGTACGAAATTTATTATGAATACGCATACAAATTGGCACGGGAAATTTAATTAGCGGAGCGTGACCTTAATAATAATGCTACACGTACAATTTTATAGTAGGGATAATCATTCATAGATAGAATGAACAACTTTATTATCCCTACATACAGTGCACGTGCATACAGTACGTGTACCGCCTAATACCTTCGCGTAAATAATAAGTTCTACAAAAATGTACACTTGTATTTGTACGTTGTAGATAGGGCCTAGAGTACACGTAATAAAAAAAAAAAAAATTCTTTAAAAATATGCCCTCCATACCGCACAACGAAATAATACAGATTTACACCAACAGCGTGAAACTCGGTCGTGAAGCAGAAAAACACGGCGATAAGGAACAGGCTATGAAGGCGAAAATGACGGCAGGAATGATGGAGTTTAAGATGATTATCCCTCCTCCGTGAATATTAAACTATAAATTATGGAAGTACTTCCGTATCTTCTTATATTTTTTACAGTAATATTACAACATATACGAAGGTACGTTTATACGTTATTATCCCTGCTGCATACTATGCGGTATGCGCTACCTTCGAAGGTACACTACTATTATCTTCGTACTTCCGTTAAATAAAACAACTTATTTATTACACGTACATGTACATGTACATACATGTACAGTTCAACTCTACGCAAGTGTCAAACCACACTCGTTCGGGCGAAGGTATGATAATATACGTAAATAGGGCATCAAGAAGATGTATTTAGGATTCGAATTTCATGTTTTCTGTGTACCCAACTCACCGTGTTGGTTCGTCTTGAAAAGCTTCATCACTTTCGTGTTGGGAAGCTTTGCCGGCTTTCTCTTTGGAATCTTCTTCAGATTTGTTTCAGGAAGCTTCAACTTCTTCTTGAGAATCTTCATTAGCAGCATCCTCACTCAATGCTCCGCCGCCTTCACTATTTCGCTCAGGAAGGTCAAACGTTGGCAGCTCCGGTTCTAGATCAACATCTTTACTGGAAACTCCATTATCACTGCAAGCTGCAGATTCCACTAAACGTTTCGTGCCGCCCGCGTCAAGCTCTGCAATGTAGTCCACACCTGCAACTTTGAACCCAGAATTGTTCAGGGGAGGCTCGCCGTCATCGTTGAACATCTTGCGATTAAGCATATCAGCTTGGAGCGCATAATCGAAGTTGGGGAACATGTTCTTGTACTCAGTAGGATCGGCAAGCGCCTCAGCCGCCTTCTTATTCACTCGAGCGAGGTCATTCTTCCACAGAGCCACGATATCCGATACCTTGGATGGGGCATACGTCCTTGCCATAAAAGCAGCCTCGGGTAAGCGCCCCGTGCTGCACAAGAGATCTATGCAAGAGTCAACTTTATTCAGTAAAAAGAGGCAGACGAACGCCACATTGTGTTTGCCTTTTTTTACTGCCGCAGTAGAAATTCGGTCCAAGAACTCGGGAGAAGCATAGGCTGACGAAAGAAGCAGCTGGCCAGAAAGATCGCCACAAGCTGCGAGGCACGTCGACGCAAGATATATATCTCCAGTTGATAAGGAAAGCTCCCCAAGCAGTTTCCACTTTTTTTCAGCATTTACTGGGTTCACTTCGTCAACCAAATTACGAGCGATATGAAGTTCTCCCAGCTGCACAGCGAGATCGAACTTGTAGTCAGGATCAGTGGCCACGCGCAAAGCATCCGCGACAAAACTACGGGACTCGAGAAACCGCGCAATAGTGTTGTGTTGGTCAGTGGGAATTGTAGGAAGGATATCTTCGGCAGCTTCAAGTTCCTCGCGCAAGACTAACGTTTTGTATTCAAGGAGACTGAGAAGCAAAGTATACGACACAACATTGAACTCCTTGTCAATAAGATATACACGGTTCTGCGCAGCAAGATATCCAAGGATATACATTGGCCGATCAAGGTGAAAGATGGTCGTGACCTCAGTGCCGACACAGTAGTTCAGGCGCCACTCTGAGTTATTATATATGAAGCAGTCTCCAACCCAAACACCAGTGCGTACAGACTCACCAATTTCTGCAACAAGCTCAAAAGCATCTTCCACACCCTCTTCATCCAGTACATCTTTCGCGAAGGCGTCTAGTGTGGCCGCCGCATTATATTTAAGAACAAAAAAAGACGACTCGCTGGAAATGGCGACAAACTCTCCGCTGTCTGACCACCACAGATTTCTAACAGAAACGTCGATGCGGCGTATCACGCGTGACTCCGCCCAATCGTAAAAACATATGAAATCCGTTGATCGCAAGCCCAACAAGAAGCCACCAAAGAGACCCTCGACAGCAAAATGAGGTCGAAAGCTGATCTTTTCTTTAAATTGGTTGAAGACTTTAATCCTTGATGGGGACTCGCGCACGGCGAACTCTGAGGAGTCTACTGACCAACCGAAGTCAAGTGCAGTGCCAAAAGATTTGTTACGCCATGCCAGGGCAGTATAAATTATATATTCACCGTCGCCACATGCTGTAACAAAACGTCCATTGGGTCCATGCACGAGACTCTGAGGATAGAGATCACAGCTACCAAGATCTTTGACCATGAGGGGGAGCCTGTCACCATCATGAAAGTCATAGTCAGTTGGCAGTGACTTAACATTGACAGTCTGGATGTCATTGTGCTTCGACCAAATTATCTTGCCGCTAGAGTCCATAGAAGCGACAGGATCCTCACGACCAATTTTGAACATTACAGTTCCTTCGTCGTAACCTATCGATACAGCATTAGATCCCTTCATCACACCGATCGCCCAGACGCGCTCCAAACCATAATTCAGCGTATTTTCTAAGCGATACGTGGTACTGTGCCAGATGCGAAGGGTTCCATCCTCAGACCCAGAGATTATCACAGGGAGCTCAGGGTGGAAACATACTGTCGAAACATTATGAGCATGTCCCTCAAGTGTTTGCACACACGATTTTGTTTGGTAATCCCATATTTTCACAAACTTATCATCGGCGCCAGATATGAGATACGGTCGGTCTCCTCCGCCAAAGTACTCAACGCAATTCACACCCTTTTCGTGGCCTTCCAAAGTGAAATTTGGCGAGCTCTGGCCAATGGACCAAACTTTTATTGTACGATCCAATGAAGCAGACGCAAACGTATTTGTGTCCTTAGGATTAAATGCTGCCTGCATAACATAATGAGAGTGTCCTTCGAAAACCTGAGTGCAAGCCCAGCCCTTGTCCCAGTCCCAGAGTTTGATGAGCATGTCATCAGAACACGTTAAAATATATGGAAAGGTAGGGTGAACTGATATGCAGCGAATGTAATCAGTATGTGCCTCAAAGGCTTTCACAAGTTCGGTGGTGTTATAGTTGTAGACACGCACAAACATGTCATCAGAACCGCAAATAATCCACAACTTCCTCAACACCCACTTTGCAGTACGAACGGGTAGCTCTGTCACCTCAAAAGATTTGACCAGACAGTTGGTCATATGGTTCCAGATATAGACGTTACCGCTGTAAAGGTTTGCAAGGATCCAAGGTTCCGTCGGATGAAGTTCGACACCTTTGACTCTATCAGAACGCTGCACAAGCTTACGTTTGATATCAAGTCTAAGCGGCATGCTGGACGTGTTTTCACTACTAAGAGGCAGAAAAAAGGTGAAGTAAAGAAGCCCGTCGGAATTCGAAAAGTTTCCACTGACAAAAATCTCACAAGGAATAAACAGAAACCCTGAAGCTTAGAGAGAAAGAACGAATAAAGTTAATAATGCCAGGGGGAACATCCGAATTCGGCCATCGGATCGGTGTGAACTAGTTTGATTTAAACATCACGGTAGGGGCAGGTTTCTTGTTCACGGTAGGGGCAGGTTTCTTGTTCCGCGAATAAAGAGACCTGGTTTAAGACCTCCACGAGAACAGGAATGTCGGTGATGGTAAGGAAGCGTACCGTTTGCGACCAGGAACACCTCGATTACAGATGTTCAGACAATTGGTCGAAATCTCCGCCGCAACAGAGGTATCACGGAGTTCTGAAACTTTCTGACTCGTTGTACGATACGAAAGTACTTTCGAAAGTACTTTCGGAAGTACTTTGTACTTTCGTACCTTCGTACTTTCGTACCTACCTTCGTATATAATAGATACTTTCGAAAGTACCTTCGTACGAAAGTACTTTCGTACTTTCGTACAAAGTACTTTCGTACTTTCGTACGGAGTACTTTCGTACGGAGTACGTCTACGGAAGTACTTTCGTAGGGCATTAACGGAACGATGCACGGAAATTACTCATTCAGTACGTGTACGTAGGGCTACAAGTAAGTGGGCTACAGTACGTTGTACACGTACACGTGTACGGAAGTACTTTCGTACTTTCGAAAGTACTTTCGAAAGTAACAACTTACTTTCGAAAGTACTTTCGTACTTTCGTACGAAAGTACGAAGGTACGTACTGTATACGTGTAATCTATCTTCGTGTCTGTTTCCGTACACGTGTACGTGTACGTACAATGGTGTACATACAGTACTCATACAGTTTCATAGATAGATGGCTTGGTCTACAGTAGTTGTACAGTGAGATGTACTTTCGTACTTATCTTCGAAGATAAAATCATATTTTATGGAAGTACTTTCGTACGAAATACCTTCGTAAGTAGCTTAGCTAAGTACTACATACATGTACACGTACTTTATCAATTTCCTGGCACTGTTATAATTTCGGGCACGATCTGCGCTTTCTTCGCGACGCTCGCGAACGTCGAAAAAAACCCACGTAGCGCGGTGCGCATGCCTTAGAACTGTCATCACGCAAAGTTTCGCGCGCAAACGTGCATTACACGCGGAGGAGTAGTGTTTCGCGCGCGGGTAAACTATGTACGAAGGTAAGTATGTATCATACAATAATGTAGCTATAATATACAGTACACGTACTACTGTAAGCTCTACAACTACTGTACTGTACACGTATGGAAGTGTAGGGCTAAGTTTTGTTTTACTTAGGAAGTACGAAAGTATTTTATTTGTGTACGTGTACGTGTACAAGTACGTTGTACGTGTACGACTCGTGTAACGTTGTACACGTACTCGTGTACACGTGCACTGTACCTTCGAAGGTAGTCTGTAGCTACGAAGATAGAATATTATGAAGGTAGCTAGCTAGCTAGCTACACGTACAGTACTGTACAACGTAGTACTTTCGTACTTTCGAAAGTACGAAAGTACTTCCGTAAAACTCTTCCGTACAATAAACGTACAGTAAGTCAACTTACAGTACCTTCGTATGTAACTAGCCACGAAAGTGCTACGAAGGTACGAAAGAGTACTGTACTTTCGAAAGTAATTCCGGAAGTAGCTAACAACTTAGCTAGCTAGCTACGAACGAAAGTACTTTCGAAAGCACCTTCGAAGGTACAGTACGTGTACACGTACTGTAGATATCTACTAAGTCTAGCTAGATATCTACAGTACGTGTACCTTCGAAGGTACAGTATAAGTTGTTTTAGGAAACTGTACACGTACAGTACTCTCGAAAGTACTTCCGGAAGTACACGTACAAGCAAGCAATCAAATAAAGCTATCATAGTACATACAACTACTGTACGTGTAGCCCCATTTATAATAGAACGACTTGCCATACAACGTTGTACAGATGTACAGGTTACACATACAGTCTAGATTTACACGTACACGACTCGTACACGTACACGTACTGTACGTTGTACGGATGTACCTTGCTTGGGTATTGCGGAAGTACTGTACGAAAGTACTGTACATAGAATAGCTACGTACGTACGTGTACCGTTAGGTACGTACGAAGGTAATACGAAGGTAACCTTGAGAGTGAGTACAGAGAGGTACTACAATAAGTACTTCTGACTAGTACAGTACACCAGTAGTGTACTATCTCCGTAAAGACATAGATAGATAAAAGACTGTCGGGGTTTCCCCGACAGCATCACTCTTGAATAGAGACAACACGCACAAGGAACTCATCGACGTATCCTCGATAGACCACTGTCCATCAGGAACAGTAGTCAGGGAAAAGTACTACAAACCAAACAGTACATAGCCCACTTTAAGGGGTAATACCTTCGTACCTTCGAAGGTACTTTCGTACGAAGGTAGCTAGCTAGCTACGTACCTTCGTGCGTACGAAAGTACGAAAGTACTTTCGTACGAAAGTACGAAAGTATCTTCGAAGGTACAGTACCTCCAGGTACAACACACAATAAGATTTACTGTACACGTGTACGAAGGTACCTTCGTACGTTGTACGAAAGTAACACCTTACTTCCGGAAGAATGTAAATGAACACTGTTTACAAAGTTCGAGTATCGCGGCAAGAAGGACCAGCGGTTACGGAGTTCAGGACTTTCTATATCTTGCGCTCACTGTTCTGAGTTCTGGATCTGGTTCTCTAAAGTAAAACAGGTTGAAATCCCTCTACGCCGAGATGAACGCGACTTCGCCCAACAAACTGAAGAGGGAGACAGCATTTCTTTGCCCTGCCGAATTCAGGAACGACTTGCCTCTCGTTCCATCTGATTGGAAGTTTCTCCACCGCCCCAACCTCTGCGAGTCAATTTCGGATTATCATCATGTTTCGCTTATCGGCGAGGCAAGAGACGCTGTCCTACCTGCAGACCTCGGCCTTACAGTCGACCCACTGCTATCGAGTAGTTACCGCGAAAAACAGTTTAGACCTCCACTGGAACACGTTGACAATAAACTTTTGGAAGAGGAGAAGGATAGAGAGATGGTCGCTGACAATCATAAGATAAGAAACAAAAGACCCGATATGTCTAAGGCGCTCTGGCTGATGAACACGCAGTACATCTCGTCTATGCCGCTGCCCGAGCATCTTGGTCGAAGTGAGAAGGATTGGGCCAAGCACAAGCAAATTCGCGATCAAGACGCTGCACCCAACGACTCTCATATTCAACAGATCAAGAGCATTGATCGCTCTTTCACCGCAGTTAAACATCGCCTTAGTAAAGATTCAAGCCAAGATGTCTTTCCAATAATGGAGTTGCCAGTCCTTCCTGATTTTGCTCACTCGTCTTCTAGCTTTGTCCACTTCATTTATGATGAAGATCCTAGTGATGATGCACGCCCTGAAAATGGTTCGTGTCTCACACGCATGCACACAGCTCTTGAGAACTCATTTGTAAAGCCGTACTCAGTGAATTGCCTACGAGGAGATACTGGTGCAGAAAAACTCGTCGCTCTGATGCTCCCAAGTCTGTCTAATCACGACACTGGTGCACGGAAAGTCAACCTCGATAAACTGAACTATGAGGAGTACAACTGGATTCGAGAATATCAGTATCGTCTACATCGAGAACGCGCTAACAGTCACAAATCCATGTGCTTCTTTTTTGATAAAGAACACAATACAAGATACATGGAGTTGAGCGCAAGAATACTACTAAGCAAGAGGAGTAAGCACTCAAAGGGTACTAGAGACGGTGCAAATTTCAGGCCATCAAAGATTACTATCAAGAAGCCTTTGAGAAACCAAGGGGCTGGCCATGAGCGTATGAAAACGTAGCGTCGCTTACGACTATGCTACGTTTTCAGTATGAAGAATTAGGTGACTCTTCTCATCCCTGAGCTGATACCGGTTTTCATATTGGTTGGCTTTCACAGGCAAAAAAGCTAGTTTGAAGACAGTGCTTTAACTTTGGCTGACATGCTTTATAATCTGAACAATCTGAGTCAATAGCCCTACACGTGTAGTGTCAACATTTTTTCTGTTTCTACGTCGAATTATTCTTAATTTTACTGATCATCAGCTTCAGCAACTCCTCTAGGACATCAGCGCCACATCGACCGCTTCCTTGAGCGAGCCGTCCTTGTAGGCACCTGAACAGAACATACGAGTTATTTTGTCACGTCAGCGGAATTTCGGTTCAATTCCAGTTCGTCATACGGGCACAAAAATATCTTAAGAGTAAAAGTTCATTTTGCAAAAGTTGAAGGAGGGATACCTATGCAGATGTCACAACCACCATAGAAATTGCCATCAATGTAGACCTGAGGGAATGTCGGCCAGTTTGAATAGATCTTCATTCCGGCCCGCAAACCATCGTCATCAAGGATGTCTACGGTCTCGAATGGGACGTTCATAGAAGTAAATATTTGCACGACTGTGCTGCTGAATCCACACCGCGGTGCATCTTTAGAGCCCTTCATGAAAACTACGATTTTGTTTTCGGCGATGAATTTATCAACGGCGACCTTTAACTCAGGACCGATATCTGAGGACGAAAGCGTGACAAAATATCCTCGGTTTGCGGTGGTAGAGCGAAATGAACGAGTGTAAGATCGTTTCCCGGGACCACGAAATTCCGGAAGATGAATGCGAGAGGTCAAGGTTGGCGCGTTGTTTTTTTTTTCCTTAAAACACATATCTTGCTTCGTACCTTCGTACGAAGGTACTATGCGTTATGTACTTCCGGAAATAGATACACGCACGCACAATCACGTATTCTATACTGTACGTGTACTGTTCTCAGTGTGAGCATAGAATATCATAGTGTACAGACCACAGACTGACTACTGTACAATAGTACAACGTAGATATCCGTCTGCTGCATATTTATCTTTTACGGAAGTAAACATACACGTACAACGTATGTTATACAGTACGTGTACTGTACACGTACAGTACATGAAAAAAGTGATTCTGATACAGACTCGTAAAAAGAATAAACAACTTAAATCGCTAAAAAACGCGAGTATCTTCGTAGGAAGTCTGAAATCGGGCTTGACGGACGAGCCTCTCGACTAGAAACGTGCCGGTCTAAGATATTTCATTCTGCTCCGCGCAGTTCTCGAATAAAATGCATCTCCGGAAACGTTGTGCCGTTCACGGCGTCTCCAGCTCTCTCATGGATCCTGCTTGAAGCAATGCTCGGCCACGGCCTCTTAGACGACAGGGTGTGCACGGAGGATGGGTCACTATGTCAGAAACGCGATGTATTATTAGTTTCCAGTACACAAAGCGGGAATCCCGTTCTACGAAACATCTACAATGTTCGATGGTCTTTCTCTTCCGTTGTCCCTGATTTTTCGTTGTCTGCCAGTTCCTGCGTTATATTCCTGTCTGCTAGATTCCACGTTCTGCATCCTGAATACCTCCACAGCCGAATACAACAGATGCGGAATAATTTGAACTTCTGTTTTGTGCTATGTATCGTTGACATGGAGGACAGTGTGAACGTTTTGTGTGACATAAATAAAACGTCAACGGTACAAGACTGTACCCTAGTATGTTCTTGGAGCCTGGAAGAGTCTGCGCGATACCTTGAGACACTAAAAGAATACGAGAGTTACTCAACGAATGATATCGAGGGAACAGAGAAAATTGATTTTGTCAGTCGAGTTCAAGGAGCGATCACTAGTCTTCGCAGCTTGAATAAACTTGACGCAATAACCTTGTGTGACAGCTTTGGAACACTTGCCTCACTCATATGTGCATCTCACACACGTTTGGTGACCCCAGGCTTCGGTCCAACGAAAATCAGATTCATTCTCGACACTTTCCACCGACCTTTGCGCTACCCAAAGTTTCAATCTTGATATCAAAATGGCTGAAAGACTTTAACTTCAAGTGTTGTTCGCAGCGTGCTTATGCACGTGACTGTTCCGAGTCAGTGCAGCAAGACACAGTTGCGATGGCTATCAAGTGACACCAAATATCATCAGTACTCATCACAAGGCTATCTATCGAGATTATTTGCCTGAATAATATATCAATATCACGGTTAATCAATATCATCGTGCAAATTAGCAATGCCAGCTATGTGTATCCCCTTTCGCTCTGCTATTGTCCAGGCTTCCTCCGCTTCCTCCTTGTGGCGCTGACGCATACTGGCTGCCATTTTTTTTGAATCATTTGACGGCATTGTTGCTGGACAAAATGAGTAGCAGTATCCGAATTGCAGTCGGAAAATGAAAGGCAATATAGGGCCGATGGAGAGGGGAAATACCCATTTCAAACCTCAGAATTGCTTAAAATAAAAGAGTTGGGTCAGGGCACTCCAAACAAAGCAAAGAACTCCGAGCTCACCAATTACATACTCTACAAGCGGGCGTATAGGAAGCAATGGAGTTAAGATTTTAATTGCCTCGGAATTTATTCTTCCTAGTCCCTGCACTGCTGCAGTACGGAAAATACGTCTGTAGTAAAAACGGTTGAGCGTTCGCGGTATCTGTGAACGCTTGCGAACTGATGCCAGCATTCGAGCCAAGATGCAGGGTATCAGGAAAGATTGACGGTCGTCACGAAGGCGAAGGCTTTAAACTAAACAAGTATGATACAGTCAAAGATTGACAAGGTCAGACTTCACCAATTCATAGCCATCTTCAAAGGCAAGTCCTGCACCTTGCCCTATATTAGGCATGGTGGCATGACAAGAATCGCCTAGGAGCGTCGCATGACCATCAGACCAGGGACGCATGATTGATGGAAATCGATCCCAGAGATCACGAACTTCTATTTCCAACGGTTCAGTTGCTTCGACCAATTCAAGAACCTCAGGGGCCCAGCCCTTCAAAAAAATACTGAGTGTTTTTGGGTACACAGCAATTAGATGGACTTGCCTTCAGCTTTTCTAAAAGATACTCCTTAGGCTTCCTGGCATCTGGCGTGTTGGGTTCAACTGCCTTAATAAATCCATACCACTGAACACGTCCAGCACGGTCTGGACACACGACAAAATAGTGATCTGGTCCGATAAAAGCCAGGAGAAATGGTCGCAGTCACACAATAACAGTATCAGAAATACATAATTTCGAAAGTACAGGAGATTCTATTCAGGGCATATCTAAAACTGTAAAACCTACCGAATACCCAACATCTGCGTAGTAGTAGGGTTTGAATATGGGCAATCCTGAGTACAGCTTAAATCCAGTAAAATTTGCAGTGCTACTTGCTCCTTTCCTGCCAGGTGGCTCGCCAAACATCTGAGCCCGAACTTGGCTCCATATGCCATCAGCTCCGATAAGGACGTCAGCTTGCAACTCCCTGCCATCTTCTAAAATGGCCGTGATGCCACCGCCGTCTTCACTATTGTTATTGCGGTAACGAACAATGTTTGAGCCAAGAAGTACAGTGTCGTTGCTGCCGATTTCTTCGAGGAGGACGCCCTGTAGTTCACAGCGGTCAACACAAATTGAAAAAGGGAGGTTACGTTCAACTGGTAGCTCGGTGATGGCTTCGAATTTGAACATCCACTTTCCACTAAGACCATCACGAATTCCACTGGCTGTGTCCCAGAAAGGACGGCTGACCTCGTGCACGCGCTCGAATAATCTTTCGCTTGTTGCTTTTATAGTGCTGACGCCGTTAGATGCAAGCTGTATTGGTCCGCCTAAAGTGCGATAATTGGCTGTGCGCTCTAAGACAGTCACATCAGCTCCAGCTTTTCGAAGTGCAATAGCCGCGAACAAACCGCCCAGACCACCACCCGCAATCAGTACGCGCAGGGGAGCTTCCGACGAAATAAAATCCGTTTTAAAAACGGGATCCTCCGTGCGACCGGAAGCTAACAGAGCAGATCCAGGGAGCTTCGGGGCAGCAGAGACATGTTTTCTACCAATTATCAGGCGTAAATTTGAGGATCTCGCGGCTTCATTATTTCGAAAAAAAAATGATCTACGTGAAGCCGTTGAAAAACATGACATCATACGAAGATCGCCCTCAGCCGCGCACCTAGCCATCGAGCCCAGCGCTAGCTCGCGGGGCCTTCAAGACTTTTTGAGCTAGCTGGTAGCTCGAGGTAGCTACTGCCTTCTAGCTAGCTAGCTAGCCTTCGGAGGTTGTCAGCTACAACGCGATAGCCTAGCTAGTAGCTACGTGTGTGTTATTTCAAGTCTCCGTGACGTGCAGCCCTAGAAATCTGCTCGCTAAGGCAAAAAACAACTACCTGTACACGGTCACGCCGCCCAAATCGGGATCCTCCCCAAGACCTTCAGTCTCGTCGTTCTCACGTACACCCCGGTCATTGCCCCCTTCCTTCGCGAATAAGAAATCAACCCCTCCGCCCAGCAGCCGGCATCCCACGCTTCGCATGAGCGCCACCGAGATCCGCCTCTCCCAGCTACTATTCGTATGGAATCTTAGCCTGATACGAGTACAGCATTTTGGCGGACGGAATGGGCCTGACAGTGAAAGATTATCCTTTCAGTACGCGAGTACGAGTACGTGTCATACTAGATTACATACGCGTTTTCGGAGAAAAAAGCGGAAGGAGATCCGACTCGCATTCGTATGGGCATTTCTGTCAGAAAGGGGCCTTCCGTGGTTTCCGTGTACTGTATAAAATAATTTTGAGTACAGTACGTACACGTGAAGTACTATTAGAGCAATAGTATCCGATATCATAGTCTATGTTGTACGGAAGTGCTTTCGTACTTCCGTACTAAGGTAGAATTCCAACTTGTATGTGCAGTTGTGTACGCGAAGGTACTTCCAGAAGGAAGTACGGAAGTACGTTCCGGAAGTACTTTCGTACACGTACGTGCCTTATCTTCGAAGGTACAAGTACACGTGTACAACTGTTATCTTCGAAGATAGATTAGCTCTACAGCGTACTGTACGTGTAGCTAGCTAGTCTAGCTACCTTCGAAGGTACATGTAGTATCTAAGGAGCCCTGTCTAGCTAGCTACGAAGGTACTTCCGGAAATAAAGTTGTAGCTAGCTGGCTACCTTCGTACGAATACTTTCGAGAGTACCTTCGTAGCTACCTTCGTACTAGCTAGTACGTGTAGTCGTGTACTGTAGGCTACCTTCGAAGGTACTTCCGTACTTCCGGAATTACGAAGGTAGCTAGCAACGTAGCTACTAGATCGGCTATCTCGGAGGTATCTATTTACTTCCATACCTTCGAAGGTACGGAAGTACGGAAGTACGGAAGTTCCGTACTACCGGAAGTACAACGTACACGTAGGGCTAGCAGTGGGCTTGCTAGGCTACAGTACTTTCGAAGATAGAATACTTTCGAAAGTACTTTCTGTACAGTAGTTGTACTGTACAACTAGTTGTACGGAAGTACTACTTTCGTACTTTCACTTTCGAAGTACGAAAGTATTCTATCTACAATACACGTACCTTCAAGGTACTTTCGTACTTTCGAAAGTAATCATACAAAGTACTTTCGTACGAAATAAAGTACTTTCGTACTTTCGTACGAAAGAAGTACGAAGGTACCTTCGGAGGTACTTTCGTACTACGCATACGATACCTTCGAAGGTAATAGATTTACTTCTCGAAAGTACGAAAGTATTTCCGTACCTTAGTACGAAAGTAGTTCGTACCCCGTAGACTAAATTGACGCAATATATATAATTACTTTTCTTGCAATTTGTTGCACCGGAAGTAAGTCTTGTGAAAGTCAAACCAATGCACTATGTGTTCGCGGGTTCGAACCCCGCCGGATTCAGGGTTCTCGAGGGAGGCAGTGAATCTGTGCCCGAGTGGTCTAAGGGGTTGGTCTTAAGAATAAATTCCTTTTTATCATGAGGGTGAGTTTCGGCGCAAGTACAAGTATGTACAGTACGTGAAGTACAATCAGAAATATCAGTGTTTTCGTTCGACTACAGTACAGAAGTTTGCCGATTTGTACTGGAGAGATCTGGCAACTTTGGCCTAGCTTATTTTAGACTGACGGCTAGTACTACGTGTACACACCCTACGAAGGCTCTTTCGGAGGTAAGACATTTGAGGAGAATGTACTGCACTGACTCAGTGGCGGTGAAATGCAGACAATTATCTGTATGTAGCGACAGAGCACTACTGGTGTCACATTTTATTGTTTCAGCCGGAAACTCGACGCAAATAAAGTATACTCTAACGTGGACCTTGACCCTGCCACCAAAGCACGTGCACGCGAGGGTTAGAATGACATAATACTATCGGCTGACTTCGCCTCAGTTGGCTGCGTAAACATGTTCACTGCCAAAAGGACGTGTGAAAACTGCAGTGTTTCGACCAGAAAAAACACTCCCCTGCCTTCGCGCTCCTCCTGCAGCTAGAACAACATTTCCGTGACCCTTACATGTTGACTATAAATCGTAACATCTGAACGAAATAGGAACATTTGATCGAAAAAAAGGTGACACTCACTATTCAGTATTTGTTCGCCGGACCATCACTCGTTCCGCTTATTGTTTTCGTCCGATCCTTTTCTTTATTGCACAAGTTTTTTTTCGTGGGACAAGTCGAGTACAGTACGTATCAGTGCGAAATGGGGGTAAAGCACGTCACTGCTGTCTGAACTGTAACAGCGTCTAGAGGGGAAAAAAGATAATCAACATGATCCCTTTCTTCAAAAGAAATAATATCGCCATCAAGTGCTAGCAAGCCTCTACAGTGGCGTATGCACATCGGCCTATAGACTTGCTTCCGAGTCACAGGGTTAGATATCAAAGTAAGTTCGTGAAGCTGGGGATGAACTGCCAACTTTTCGACCTCTGAAAGCTCCGCAACGCGATTACCATTCAGGTGAAGTGAGGAAAGCCTAACCAAAGGCGACAGGTGAGATAATGACTTCAATCCATTTTGATTGATGTGGAGCTCACGAAGGTGAACTAAACCTGTCAAGCTTTGCGGGTCCAGTACCTTGATGCGGTTACGATCCAATACCAATTTTTCAAGATTGGTTATCACATTTATACCGTGAAGCCGACTAATGGCATTGTCTTCAATAAACAATTCCCGAAGAGTTAAACTGATGACGTCAAGTCGAAGGTAAAGCAACGACTTGATAGAATTTGAGCCAAGATAAATGGTGTTCAGACTCGGAAATGGTCGTCGCATGCTTACCTCTGATAATTGAATAAAATCCCCCTTTGAGACACTGGCATCACATCTTGGTAAACCTAAAACTACCTGTTTTCTCAAGTGATTGGATATTTCAGTTTGGAGCCCTTGTGAAGTCCTATTCTTGAAAAGAGTGCTCCAAAGTGGACGGTCCTCAAGACGATTCCTCTTCAGGCGAAGGACAGTCAGGTTGGGCAGCTCAGCTAGCATACATATGTCCTCTACCTGGTTAGAATCCAGATTAATTTCTCTGAGGCAGTCAAATTCAGATGTTATGAAAGTCGATCCGATATTTCTAATACGCATATTGAATAAATCCAAATGGTGAAGACCATAGAAATTCTGACGCCCAGACTTGTGTTCTAAAACATCCCGTGTCAACATTCCGGCATAGCGATCCTTTGCTACAGACCTTTCAGCAGGATCCACAACTATGCCGTCAAAAACCTTGATGTGAGGTAGGTTATATACAACATAACAGCGATAATCCAATTCCTCGCTAACAGGATTTCCTCCAAGATCCAAAACGACAAGTTTTTGCAGGTGCCTGAGTTGTTGTACTTCTCTTAGTTCTTCGATCATATTATTACTCAAGTAGAGTTCAATAATCGAATTGAGCCCAGAGAGACCCCGTAGGTTGGTAATGGCGTTACCTTCAAGTGATAATTGGGTGAGTTGGGGCACATATGGTGACAAGTTCTCGATCTGTGAGATGCGGTTGTTGCTCAGGTTGAGTACTTTTAGGGAAAAAAGATACTGTAAACCATCTATGGTTGTAATGTCATTTTCTTCGAGAGAGAGCTCCTCCAGCGCAGTGCAATGCCTGAGCCCTTCTATGCAAGATATTGCGTTGTCACGAAAACTAGCTCTACGCATCGATGTGAGTTGCTCCAGGTTCTGAATACGGCGTAGGCACTGATGCTCTAAAACGACCTCTTGCACTTCCCCACCCCAGTCTTTCATATCCTCTAAAATTAAATTTCGGGAGTTTTTACATTGAGTTCCTGTTTGAAGGTCAAACTCGCTTGTTCCTGCATAATCTTGCGTAGAACTACGGACGGCATCGAGTACTGCGCTTCGGGAACACCATGATCCAGTCTTAGACGCAACTCGATGGTGGAATTTGGCATTTTGAAGAATCAGCAAAGGAGTAAGCACTGAGGTACTTTTTAATGCCGAAAGCAAGTCGATATCCATGACCGGGAGTCCATCAAGGTGATGAAGTGCTCGTAGTCGTCGTAGAACTAACCCATTGTATGCTTTATTTTCACATATCGCGTTGCAGCGCAAGTTCAGAGTGTCGAGCCGAGGAGTGCATTTCCTTAAAGTGTTTAGATCCTCCAAACGAAATAATAAATTGTTATTCAGTTCCAGTACTTTTAAGTTTGGGATCCCGTTCAATCCATCAATACGTTTGATTAAATTGTGACCAAGATCTAGCAGTCTCAGATGTTTAAGATTATCTATGCCTTCTATTTTGCTTAGCTCATTGAAAGGCATCACAAGTGCCTCTAGGAATGGACATGTATGAAGGCCTTCGATCTTTTGAATTCGATTGCTGGAGAGGTTGATATGCGTCACATTGACCGAAGACCTCCGAGCACCAAGATAAGTCAGAATTACACTTTCTGTCATATTTATCATGCCGGAGTTCGAGGTGTCCAGCTTGTGAAGTATTCCAGTCGCATTCAAAGTACGAGGGAAAACCCATTGAGAAAGCAAGTTGTCACGAGTGTCACAGTGTAGTGGAGCTTGTAAAATGGAACTCTCACGCGCGCAAGCCTCTAAAAATAGCATGATTGGTCGTGTGACCAGACGTACATTGCCCCGAAGTTCAGTGAGCGTTTTTTTAATCAAAGAAAGACATGTTCCGGACTGTCTACCCAACTGACCTATCTCCGAGTAGTTTCCAAACTTTCCGAGGTGATGCTTGACAATTGTATCCTTGTATGTCACTTTGTATTCGAATTTAACCAGGAATTCGGGTAGGATTAAGGACTGATCAAAGATGTACCAAGCCCGGTTATTGTTCCTTTTTGATTGACACCAGTATACAGAATCGTAACCCGGATAAGCTCCTGGCAATGAATTCAGCAAGTTTTGTCGAACACCAGATAATCTGATTTGTCTTCCCAAATATACTTTGGCAATGAGCACTTCACTCTGGGAAATATCAGACCAAATATCAGCGAAACGGTCTCCGTAAGTAAAAGAAACTCCTGAGACGCATGAACCGCATGTGACCTGAAGATCTCCGGAAGTTCCACTGCAACTAGTGGGTTTGACAGCCAGAAGTCTTGGCAAATCAGCCAGGCTCAACGAGTCACATAGGGTAAGCAATCCAGCACGCTCAAGGGTGTGCTCGATGGGCGACCTGAAACCGTGCTCCATGCAGTTGTGCAATTCTCCAGGAAGCTCAGGACACTCTCCAATCATAACATATTCTAGTGTGTCATCTAGGTCAACCTTATCTTGCAGAGGAGGCAATCGAAGTTCAAAGCGATTCCTAAGGTAGCGGTTGTGGACACGCAATACGCCATTTACTTGTATTCCGCTTATATAAACATCAGTCGGTAAGATATCGACAGGAACATTCGAGTAGTCTTCGACAAAAAAACGGCTGTAGACAAAGTCAGCACAAGGTGCGTACCAAGAGTCTGTTGGTGTACATACTTCAATTCTGACGTTTCCTCCACTTGCGAGCTCAACCTTCGTTCGCTTTGCATGCGAATCATATTCTGCACATACTTTCGACCTGCATCTGTTGTATTGTGTTCTTATGACACCCACCTTTCGTACGAGACGATTTATTGCGTTGGTTAGGCGAAAGTGCATTTCTGTCAACAAGTCAACACCTGGGAAGTATGATGAAGTGTTCGACGTATGGCGACACCTCTGAAGCACCTTCTCAGTCTCTTTCGATTGCCTAAGCAAAACACCGATCATGTGCTCAATGATATTAATCAGTGACTCTCGACCTTCACTGCCAACCTTCAAGACATCGTTAACGTTACGATAAAAGGTCTGTGTTTTCACATTGTAGTACAGCTCCTTCTCCCTGTATGTTGATGCGGCCCTTGACTTCATTTCTTTCGAAAGAGGAATAGAATCGAGTGATTTTAATGCAGGAACCATGAATATCACATACGTCTGGTAGTTTCCCAGACAGTTAATTGGATTATCTCCCCAATGTGGATCTGAATAGTACAAGTCTTCAAGCTTGGGAAGTTTTGCGAGGGTTGCAACGTCATTAAAGTTTGCTATGAGATTATCTGAAAGATTGATACTGGTGAGACATGTATTGGCAAGTAGACTGTCGCCAACATGTGTAATAGCGTTCCGAGCCAAGTTGAGCTCTTCCAAGTTAAATAGCGCCTGAAGATTGTCAACAACTGTGATCTCGTTGTCACAAAGCCAGAGCACCCGGAGAGCAGTTAGCGATTCAAGATTTTCTACACGTTGAATGCGATTACTGTAGAGAAACAGTTGCTCGAGTTTGGTACATTTATTAAGTCCTTGTATCCTGTAAATCTGAGAAGATTCATGTGTTATGAATGTTGGCAGTGTGTGAAGCTAACAAGGAAGATAAAGTGGGGGGAATCACCCGTGTCATGTTTGCTGCAGAAGTAAAGCTAGCAGAGAGCACCACATACCTTACATTCGATTACCCACAGCGAATTCAAGTGAATGCAATCCACAAGACCCTCCAGCGTATTAATGGACTGCTGAACAACAGACAAGCTCGATAAGCACGTAAACATTCGAAGGCCACATATTCGCGGGAAATTGTAAAGAAACATTTCAAGGACTTGCACTTGATCTGAGTTGCTCAAGATATCCTGCTCTCTGTTCACACCGTTTGCCGAATAAACGGATTTCAAAGCTGTTAACACAAGAACAAGAAGTTTGAGTGGGTCTACAAACTTGAACTTTTATGAAAAAAATCACGGTGCGTTTTACCCGCATAGTCGGCTTGAGAAAGTCCCCACGTGGTGACCTCTTGACGCTTTGAATCTAAACTCGATTCCGTACTAGGGCAACACGTACTCCCAGTTGACATTTTGCCTAATTATATCGCACGAATGTGTAATACAAAATTTCTTAGTTGGCTGCACAGCAGTGACCTACACTGATTATAAAGTTGAATACCTTCGTAAATCCAAGAAAAAAGTCTTCTCACAGCGAAACGCGCGGGCGGATACGGCCGCTCTAGTTCGCGGACACGCCGGTGCGACAGGTGCGTTGACGCCGTAACATCGGTAGTCCGAGCATTGATAAGTGGGGTGAAACAACCCTGTTTGTCTGACTTGTGCACGCTCGTAGTTCAATAAATTGCACGCGTTCGCTCTTTTACCTTCGTACTTCTGGAAGTGTTTCATACGCGTATGGGCAATTCCGCGTGCTCGTATGGGCAATGCAATAATGGAAATTCAAACCACCGATGGAAGGAAAAGCTTCGCCTGAAAGCTCAGAAAAGGTCCCTAGGGGTCCGAAAACAATCTTCCCTCCATTTTTATCTGCCGCTCAAACGCATATATCTGTTGTCTAAAATCGCAACTGGCTGCTGTGCAAAGTTTCAGGTCAATCCAAGCTGCGGCGGCACATGGGGAAGCGCGGCCGTGAGCGGGCGCGTCTGACTGACGCTCATACGAATTTGGAATAAAAAATCGCAAATTAATTTGGCGTTAATTTGGCCGATACGAGTAGAGTACGCGGCTGACTGGGCGTCATACGATTTTCACTTAGGGCAACTCGTCTATTTTCATCTGGGTTCTTTTGTAGGATCACCCTGATGGGATTCGCCGCAGGTTGCATTGCCTGGACATACTATGGAACTCTTTTGCGTTTGAAAGCATATGAATCTTCACACAGAAAACGCTTGTTGGCTTTATTTCCAGAACTAAATAGTGTTGAAGTTTTGAGTACAACTATTATGTGTACACGTACACTAGCTAGCTAGCTACTCGTAGTACGGAAGTACTTTCGTACTTTCGTACGAAAGTACCTTGGTACGAAAGTACTTCCGTACACGCGCGTGTACGGAACGAAGTACGGAAGTACATCCGGAAGTACCTTCGAAGGTACTTTCGGAAGTAGCTAGCTAGCTACACGACTGCTACACGTACAGAATGTAAAAATGTTGATTCTACATACAATCTAAACTTACCTTCGAAGGTACTTTCAAAGTACTTTCGTACTTTCGAAAGTATTATACCTTCATGCGTACAATACTGTACTGTACGTGTACAGCTGTACACTGCACGTACCTTCGTACGGAAGTTCTCAATCTCAATATCTAGAAATCATGTGATCGTATACATGAAAGCCTGAGTTTTGAACTCGCACTACTTATCAACACTGAATATCTATCTCGGAATAGTAGTATTATCATATGATATGAAGATAGTATGATATCTATTCAGTGCTGTACGTAGTTGTTGTGTCGTACACGTACTTTATGAAGGTACATTGTGTATGTAGCATTTTTTTTGTACTTACGGGTACACGTGTACAGTACACGTACAGTATCATATCATATCTTCGTATCTTCTCGAAGGTATTTTAAACCATTACTGTACAGTACACTACGTGTACGTGTACGTGCACGTGTAAGTGTACTTCCGTAATAAATAATTTGACGACGACACTTCATCGACTACTTGTACGTGTACAGTAGTACGTAGGGCTACACGTACTACGCCCTTTAAGCCCTGAATTAGCGTGAATTGACGGTGCTTTATGGTACAGTACGTGTACGTGTACAACTACATACCTGTAGAGGTCTGTCTACCTGTACCTTAAAGGTTCTGTACTCGTACGTGTACACGTACGTGTACAGCTGTACACATACACGTACTTTGTACTTTCGTACGAAAGTACTTTCGTACTATTTATTCTTATGTTGTTAGCTAAAAGTAACTTACCTTCGTACTTTCGTACCTTCGTAGCTAGCTAGCTAGCTAGCTAGCTAGCTACTTTCGTACTTTCGAAAGTACTTTGAGGTACCTTCGAAGGGCAAAAAATTTTATCTGGCTCTTTTTTCGGTTCTATCCAGCTCTTCTCGCGTGCTTCCGGTTGACCGGCTTGACCGATCAGCTTTGACCGAGGGCCGCGTCTTCACCGGTCTGACGATTCAGTCGCTCTTTCGTCTACGATCAGAGTTCTGACAGTTTTACACCTCTCCGCGAGGTCTGCGTGTTCGCGCGCCCATAGCGTCGGACTATGGCCGTAACAATCTCCGGTACAGTGAGATGAGTTCTTCGTCACATCGCGGGGCATCGATTTAATCAAAAATATTGTGCCACTTCTCGTAAAGAAAACGACGTCAGCGGCGCTTATATGTCAAGGGTGACTCTGCAAAATCTTTCTTGAAGGAGGAGAACTTTTTTTCCACCTTGCCCCGAAAACGCGATGTTGAAAGTTGCGTCCGGCCCTGTTCGAGCGCTGATTACGTCGTTATCTTCACAGCGAGCGGTGTGATATTTTTGAATGGATCGACTCATCATGGTCGTTTGAGTAAATTCTTTGCTTGCGACGTCGGCGTTCGTGACGCTCCCGCGACTCCAGCAGCGCGCGAACGCCCGCGGGTACCCCTTTCAAACGACTGAAGTTTGAAACCAGGGAGTACGGGACGCAGTACGAGGGCTGTATCGTATGGGTATTTGCATCGAAAAGCGAGATGAGCTGGATCGAACCAAAAAAAGAGCTGGATAGTATTTTTTTCCTTCGAAGGTAACGTTACTTTCGAAAGTACTTTCGTACGAAGGTAGCTACTGTACCTTCGAAGATAGAATAGCTAGCTAGCTAGTAGGCCCTATTTATACTACGTTGTACGGCTACATACTGTACGTGTACAGTACAGGTCTACAGGCACACGCACATAGATAGATTACTTCCGGAAGTACGAAAGTACAAATAAATCGTACGAAAGTACTTTCGTATGATACTTTCGAAAGTACTTTCGTACGAAGGTACTTTCGAAAGTACTTTGTACGAAAGTACTTTCGTATGATACGAAATAAAGTACTGCTGTAGTGTACAACGTACTTTCGTACGAAAGTACTTTCGACTGAAAGTAACAACTTACTGTACCATTATTGTACTTTCGTACGTTGTTCGGAAGCATTTCGTTGTACACGCGTTTGATGCGGTGGCACGCGTCCACCGCGCTCGTGGCGACGATCCCCACGCGCATTCACCGCGCTCGCCCCTCCCTCCGCACGATGGCTTCTTGCTTCTCACCCGAGTCAGACGCGTCGAACGTGAACGCGTACCTCGATGCGCGAGTGAACACGGTCGTCACCCCCGCGTGGCTCGCTTCAAACACGGATCGCGACGATGTCAAAGTCTTAGACTGCTCGTGGTACCTCCCCAACGCCGGGCGGGACGGCGTCGCGGAGCACGCGAGCGGCCCAAGGGTCTCGAACGCGCGATACTTCGACGTGGATGAGATATCGGATAGGTCCTCACCTCTACCGCACATGATGCCGTCGTCCACGCAATTCGCAGCCGCGTGCGACGCGCTCGGGATAAAGAACTCCGATGTTGTGGTGTGCTATGACGGCGCAGGGCTGTTCAGCGCCGCGCGGGGATGGTTCATGTTCCGGGCTTTCGGGCACGAAAATGTCGCCGTTCTTGACGGCGGCGCCCCTGCATACGAAAAAGCGGGATATCCTATGGATGTTGACGTCATTGAGGACATGGCTTTCGTCAGTGCGGCGACGATTGCGTCGGACGCCGTCGCGAACGCGGGAACGACCGTCACGAGCACCGCGTATAAACCGTCACAAACGCCAGTCGCCGCGGGGTTCGTGTTCACGAAAGATGATGTCCTAACGCGGTGCATCCCACGCTCGGATGCGTTCTCGTCGGAACCAGCAGAATTCACGCTCGTGGACGCGCGTCCTAGGGCACGGTGGGCGGGGGAAAAGCCGGAACCGAGGCCAGGGGTTAGAAAAGGGCGCGTCCCGTCGTCGAAGTGCGTCCCGTTCGTTTCACTTTTGAACGACGATGGAACGTTCAAATCAAAGAAATCGATCATCAATATGTTCGGCGCCTCGGGCGTGGACATATTAAACGAGCCTGTTGTTTTTAGCTGTGGAACGGGCGTGACAGCGTGTGTCTTAGCTCTTGGTGCCGCCATTGCCGGTCGGTCTAGGGACATGGTGACCCCCTTGTACGACGGGTCGTGGTCCGAATGGGGTTCGGAAGGAAGTGGATGTCCGGTGGACGCGTCCCCGCCGTTGGACTGTTAATTACAGACGCTTCGTGCGACGGTTTCGTGTCAGGGAACCTTGCAACATTCAGCACGTGTCGTGCGCGTTGTCTACCTACATTAATCACCTGTTGTCAGTGCTTGTCGCCCTCGCCGCCGCCTTTGACGCACAACATAACCGTCCTATCGAAGTCGTCCGCGTGGTTCAAGTCTGCCGCTCGCAATGTTCTCGCGGACGCGAACCTGCGGAGGTGTCGTGCGCATCAGTCTGCCAGTGTCAGTCGTGAAACGGGAAACAGTGGACGTCGAGCGCCAAAACAAAAACGCACCCGCACTCAGGCCCTACGAGCCATCCCGCATATTGACTCGGCCGGAGTGTTATCGCGCGGTAGTGCGCCCTCGTTTCCTCCGGCATCTTCTGTTTCCGAAAAGCCTGTCGGTATGACTTCCACGGCTGCGGCTCGAGGACGAACACCCCCCCCGGTGCGAGCGAGTCATACACGTATTTGAACATTTTTTTCACCCCCACATCTCCCCAATTTAATTGGATCCACTTCGTGACGGAGAGACACAATACGACGTCGAACGAGTTTGGGGTGTTCGCCTCATGGAGAATGTTCCCATGCCGAAACGTGACGCCGCCAAGAGAGGGAGCGGCGTCCGTGAGGTCAACGCGCGACTGCGGAAACCCCGGGGCGTAGTCATTGACCACTTCCTCGTCGTCTGCGCTCGCGGTCCTGATTCCGCCCGCCGTGCGCGTCTCGTCTGCCCTAATCCCGACAGAGACTTCACCGACGCTATCACTGCTTGACCCTGCGAGCGCGTCCACGATCGATGTCCTCTCCGCGCCAAGGTGTTCGCCTGCTGCCACCGCCATGGCTTTCTCCAGTCTCCTCGCAGCCGCCGCCGCGGCTCGACGCAACCTCTGCAGCTTCCTCTGCGCCTGGTCGACGAGGTGAGGATCGATGTCGATCCCAATAACGCTGTTCGGTTTAAAGTTCACCGCGACGGACAGCGAGACGAGCCCTTCGTTGCAGCCGATGTCGAGGACTCGTTTTCCTTCAAACCACTTCGCGTCGAGGTGGGAGACGCGGTGGTCCTCAAGTGACGCGCCGACGCGGTAGCCGTAGTACCGGTGGTAGTTCCCGTATCTGAAACACACGTGCCGCTTACGTCCGGGTTTAGAGGGCGCATTAGACGTGCGTCCCGCGTCCAACGTCGTCGCGCCGTCACCGTCGTCTTCCGCGCGACTGGAGACGGCGCCCTCTGATGCCCACGCGTCCAATCCCGACGCCAAACGTTTCGCCGTGCTGGATTTCCCATACTGCTCACCTGGCGCACGCTTGCCCCGAGCATTTAAAGACGTCGCGATCGTGTGGGGAGGGGGATCCTCGTTCGGGACCGCCGCCATCAGCTCGAAGATCCCAGCATCAGGTAAAGTACTTTCGTACCTTCGTACGAAGGTACTTTCGTACCGAAGGTAATGATGTTTACATGTACACCTGACTTACACCTGTACGTGTACAGTACTGTACGAGTATTGTACGAAAGTACGAAAGTACGAAAATAAAATAAGATTGTGATTTTATTTCCGGACTACTTTCGTACTTTCGTACAACGTACAAAGTACGAAAGTACCTCGAAAGTACTTTCGTACTTTCGAAAGTACAACGTACTTTCGTAATAAGCAAGTTGTTACTTACTAATGTACTTTCGTACGAAAGTACTTTCGAAAGCAACTTACACGTACACATTTATTCGGGATTTATTTACAGTACACGTACTGTACAACTACGTGTACGTGTACAAGAATTGGCCGTCGAGACCTCGTCTCGGTATGTGAGTATTTAGTATGAAAAGTTTCTACTCGTATCCGACTTGCACACACGGGTCTAGATATTTGGTTTGTAGTACGCGTGGTCGCGACAGGTGACAAAACAGACCACTTCTTATACCTCCCCTCCCTTTCGCTCCCGGCTTGACATCGTCCTCCGTCCAACAGGGACAAGAGAGTTTCGGATCGGACTGAAAAAAACGAGCTCGGCCGAGTGAAAGAACGCGCTTGAACAAAGATAGTTTAGTTTGATCTCGGTCGAAACCGACTACGTGTACGTGTACGTGTACACGTACAGTGGGGCTAGTCCAAAAAGATGTTTTAAGGTGCAGTACACCGCGTTTACACGTACAAAACGTGTACGAAGGTACGTTCGTTGTACAGTACAACGTACGTTGTCAGAGCTGAAGTCTTTTTGTAATCAGAGCTACAGTACGTACACAGTACGAAAGTACGAAAGTACTTCCGAAGTACTTCCGGAAGTACTTCCGAAGTACTTTCGAAAGTACTTTCGTACGTTGTACACGTGTAGTCCTCCATCCACGTAATTCGAAAAAAACCAGCAAAAGAACGTACTCGCCCTCCATCCACGTAATTCGAAAAAAACCAGCGAAAAAACGAACTCGTGACTACACGTGTACAAACACGAATAAAAGTGTACGCGCCAGCACCCGCGCGCGATATCTTCGTATAACAACTTTATCTACCTTCGAAGGTAGATAAAGTTGTTTATAGTTTTTAGATAGAATAACAACTTATAAATAAGATAAATAAATATTGAAGTATTCATAATAGTGTACTTATTTATTCATTTCTTGGCCAACTGACTACTCTACAGTACACGTACAGTATATTCACTAAGTATCTATTTATTTCTCAAAAGTACGAAAGTACAAACTAGCGATAGTGCTCATGTATTTTCACTGTACTACTACAGTAGGTGTCGAAATTTTAGTAAAAGATAAACCCCTGCTGTGTACGGAAGTACGTATGTGTGTAAGGGGCCAGGGGTTATCTTTTAAAAGTAAATAAATAATGAGTAAGTATTACAAAAGTTTACATAGTTTTTCGAAGGCGAAGACTTTTGCGGGTCGAGCGAAATTAGACCGTCGATTGTGAGTTAAAACTGCAGTACATACGTATTTATTTACTTTTTTTTCCGGCAGTCATGTACACGTGCAGTATTTACATAGTGTCGAAATTTTAGTAAGTTATCCCCTGGTGTAGAGCTGTAGACCTATGTACGTATGTAGCTATGTACCTTCGAAGGTACTTTCGTACTTTCGAAAGTACTTTCACCTCAAAGTACTTTCGAGAGTAGTATGCAGCTATGCTCTATGCACGTATGCAGGCTCTATGCAGTATGCACTACGTGCGTGTACGTAAAATAGAATATGTGCGTGTAGCCATGTACTTTCGTACTTTCGTACAACGTTCGTTTATTATTTATTACGGGCCTATCTAAACGTATCTACGAAGGTAGCTAGCTAGCTATCTACGAAGGTAGCTATCGCACTGCTATCGCTAATAGCTATCGATATCTACGTACTGTACTGTACGTGTACATAAATACGTTTACATGTAGCACTCACGTAGCCATAAAACCATCGAAGGTCGAAAGTCACTGGATTCTCTGTCTGCATTATGGCTGTGTAAACCTTTCTTCATCTTCGCAGAGTTTACGCTCAAAGCTGGCTTTCTCTCACAGTCAAGTCGATGCATAAGATTGCCGGATGGTCGACTGTTACCGCGGAGACCAAATGGATTATCTCTGCATTCTTTCATCAGCTGCGGGGAACCGTTTCTAAGGTGAATATTATCCGGATGTACTTGTCTTCATTTTGTTCGAACAGTCCTTCTCACAGCAGGCCAAGCTACGCCCTCCGATCATTGAAGGTCACACGGACGTGTTGGTATTTCTTCTCCTCTCGTTCATACTGTTTCTTTTTAACTGGGCTCTCCGCATATTCTTTGTTGAGCCCGTAGCTGCACAATTGCTTGGAAAGTGGTCTACACGCGCGAAGGTACAAAAGTTTGCACAGGTACCGACTAAATCTGCCACGGTGCACCTACTTTTGGTCACTTCATCCTTTCCTCGTTTCTGTATTGCATTCGTATTGAACATCGCACCAGCTTACGTACAACCCCTCACGACTCACAACAGAGCTCACTTGAGATGTTTTTTTATCTCACCTTCTCAAGTTTTGGTGCCATAATCGTGCCACGGCAAGATTGGTTTTGGACCCCGTCGCTATGGTTCAAGGAGTTTCATTCTGGAAAAATGATATATATTTCCGACGCGCTTAAGGCTTACTATGTCCTCTATGCAGCCCGCTACGGCCAAGGACTGGTTTCTTTGCTTGTTGAACATAAGCGGAAGGATTTTCGGGAGATGGCACTGCACCACTTTGTTACAGTTTGGCTCATAGGCCTCTCCTATACATACGGCTGGACTCGTGTTGGCGCGGTAGTGATGGTGCTTCTTGATCCGGCGGACGTTCCTCTCCATATAGCCAAACAGTTCAAATATGTTGGAGATGTTCGAGGCGGTGCTCGGAAGAAGTCATGTCAGGCAGCAGCAGACTTTTTTTTTATGGTTTTTATGTTTCTTTTTGCGATAATGCGGCTTGGACTTTACCCCTATGTCGTTTGGACAGCTCACAGAGAATCTGCACCGTATTGGAAGCAGCAAATCGGTGGACGGACATGCATCATATTGCTGTATGTTCTTTTAGCACTCCAGATTTATTGGTTTACACTTGTGCTCAGAGTAGCTATAAAGGTTATCACGTGCGGCTCAGCAGAGGATGTGCGTAGCGATGACGATGAAGATGACTCTTCCGAGCATAAAAAGCGAAAATAAGGATGACATTTTTTTCCGGATTGTCAAGGGTTACAGATGAGGGTTCTGGATTACTCGCGCAACGCAAGACGATGAGTTGTCGAGTTGTCGTAACATGGCAGAAAGCCTGCCAGGGGATAGACTATGGATTTGAATCCTTTTTAGAGTGACCTTTGACGCGGTAGAGCGTATGAAGCTATGACCCCATGCTTCGAATAAAAGAAGATGTTGTGGCGTACTTTAGCACGAGCACGCCCAGTTTTACGCAAGTTTTCAGACAGCAGCAGGTTTATGTAAAATTCTTGGTACACATAAGTTACCTTCGTACATGTTTTATATTTTTATAGTAACTGTAAGTTGTTACTGTACATACATAAATAACTCATAAATACATACATACAGCTAACAATATATTTTATTTATGATAAGTTGTTACTATGATACTTCCATATTATTATTAATATGATATTATTTATATTAATTGTGGATGGAGGTAGCTAAGTTGTATGTAAACTTATCTAGCTTGTAGGTATGGTCCGAAAACGGTATTCCCGTCTTTTTCCCGCGGCGTATATGCATAGATCTGGTGTCTAAATTCGCAAATGGCTGCTCTGCAAAATTTCAGGTCAATCCAAGCTGCGGCGGCGCATGGGGAAGCGCGGACGTGAGGGGGCGCGTCTGACTGACGCTCATACGAATTTGGAATAAAAAAATCGCAAATTAATTTGGCGTCACTCGTAATTTGGTGACTTAGCGCAACTGGTACGAAGGTATCTATCTATCCGGAAATACTGTACCTGTACGTGTACGTGTACGATAGATAGTCTAGAATAGTTTCGAAAGTACAGCGTTGTACGTGTACAAAACTTATCAGCTACCTTCGTACGAAGGTACTTTCGTACTTATTACGTGTATCTTGAACTTGACACGTTGACCCTTGCAGACCCAGTGTCTACGTGTAGTCTAGGTTCCTGATTTGGTAGTACTACGTTGTACCGCGTTGTACTCCGTACTACTTCGACTGAGTACATGAAACATAGCTATTGTATACGAAGGTACATTATTAAATATAAATATTAATATTAATATTAATAAGTTGTGAACTATCTTCCGGAAGTACACGTACACTACACGTACACGTACGTGTACTCGTATCTATTTCCGGAAGCAACTTACAAGCAAGCAAGATATTGTGTAAGTTGTTTACCTGTATAAAAACAAAAGTGTACTTAAAAGTACTTTCGAGAGTACATCTGTACAACTAGCCTACTGTCAGCTCTTTACGCCGCGAATTAGAGTGAATTGACGGAGCTTAAAGGGTTAAACTTTTGTAAAAAGTATGAAGATATTTTAGCGACATCATTAAACAGTCTCATCGTTGTAAATGGAAATTAAATCAACAGCACCCTGAGAGGGAGGTTTTCACGAGGTTGAAAGAGCCCTACTGTACACGTACACGGACGTGTACAGCTGTATGTCTAATACCTTCGAAGGTAGATAGCTTGTATGTACGAAGGTATCTTCGTACAGATGTACCCGTACGAGTACGTGTAGATAGAATACGAACGTACGAAAGTACTTTCGTACTTTCGTACGGAACGAAGAATGGAAGTACTCCGGACAATTGTACACGTACTGTACACGTGTACGTACAGTACCATAAACAACTTTTATTGCGAGAAACAACCTCAGCCCCCGCTTCACAGCAGGGCAAGGGTTAGCAGCATATTGGAAACAGAAACCACCGGGAGGTAACATGGCTGCTATCGTGACGTCAGCACATACGCATGAACCTCATGATCTGAGTTTTAACGGTATGTGCCTGAGTTTTTCGTTGGGTCCGCGACTCGTTTTTTTTAAAGCACTTTTGGAAACTTTTAAGTTTTGCTCTCATGCTGTCTTTCCAAAGCAGAGAACGACAAGAAAGGTTTCATATCCTACTTCCGGTCTCTCCCTGACGACAAGAACGTGCTCCGCATCTTTAAAGTCAAAGAGTTCTTTTCTGTACACGGAGAAGATGCCAACTTCGTTGCGCGTAACTTCTACAATACCACCACTGTTGTGCGCTACATCGGTCACGGGGAGTCTGCGTTGCCCGGGGTCACTTTCAATCGCAGTATGTTTGAGACGGTCATTCGCACTGTCCTCCTTGATGTGAACGATCGCAGCGTTGAACTTTATGAAGATTCTCCAAGGCAAGGTTGGAAACTAGTGCGGACCGCGAGCCCAGGCAGACTGTGCGCTTTCGAAGAGGAGCTCTATTGTGCCAGTGAACTGGTTGACACACCTGTTGTCACTGCTGTTCGCATTGCTATCCGACATGATCAACGTCTGGTTGGTGTTGCTTACGCAAACCTGACAACTCGTGAACTTGGGGCCTGTGAATTTGTGGATGATGAGCATTTCTGCACCCTTGAGGCAGTCATATGTCAGCTGGGTACGAAAGAGTGTTTGATGCCTCGCGAGAGCATGGCAACTCCAGAAGGAAAGGTGCTCAGGCATATAGTTGAGCGGTGCGGTGCGCTAGCAACTGGGCGCAGAACTTCTGATTTTGATTCACGAAACTTGGAAAGCGATCTAGAGCGTCTTCTCGTCGCTGAAAGAACACCAATGAGTGCAGGTACAGCAGCAGCAACTGCAGAGGTTGAACTTCACCGCTCCCTCCTCGAAAAGGAAGGTGCGGCGGCGACTCTAGCGGCTGTTTTGCGATTTTCTGAGCTAGCAACGGACCCAATAAATCATGGGAGGTGCACACTAGTCACGCATGATACCGGTCGTTACATGCGACTAGATTCTTCTGCACTCCGCGCTCTTAATGTTCTACCAGAGAAAGCCTCTATTTCATCTGCTGCGCCGTCTGCAGCAGCTGAGACTGCAGGAAGCTTTAGTATATACGGCCTTCTCAATAGGTGCTGTTCAGCCATGGGACGACGCTTGCTTCTAAGATGGCTGAAACAACCTTTAGTAGACGCCGAGGAGATTTCAGGTCGGCATGATGTTGTGGAGGCTTTAGTTGATGATCCCGAGGCAAGGGACACGCTTCGTAGAGTTCACCTGCGTTCCCTTCCAGATATGGAGCGCTTAACGCGTAAGCTTGAGCGTCGCCGTGCTACTCTGTTGGACTTGTGTCGACTGTACCAGGCATCTACTGCGATTCCTCACATCGCAGAAGTGTGTGTTCGCATGAAAGACCGATATGGATTGATGATGAGCAGCAGATACTCAAGTGCACTGCTCAAGTTGCATGACGAGGAACACCTCGGCAGATTCGAGGCCTTACTTGAAGCAGCAGTTGATCTCGACAGGATTCCTGATGAGTATGTAGTATCTCCCTCCTACGATGAGGAGCTGGGCAAGCTGAAGAAATTGAAAGATGCTGCCTCGCAGGAAATTCACAAAGTTTTTGAAAGCTCTGCTGAAGATCTTTGCACTCCTGTGGACAAGGTGCTCAAGCTTGAGCACAATAATATGCATGGCTGGTATTTGCGGTTGACGAAAAAAGATGAGGTGACTGTACGCAAGAAACTTCTAGCAAACTATCAGGTCCTTGAGGCGAAGAAGGATGGTACAAAATTCACCAATAAGCAACTGCGTGCACTAAGTTGTAAGCGGACTGATCTGGACAGAATGTATGCGTCTCAGCAAAGGCAGCTAGTTGAACGAATCGTAGATGTAGCATCTTCGTTCGCGGATGTGTTCTTACATGTGAGTGCAATATGTGCTGAGGTTGATGTCCTCACAAGCTTCGCTGAGGTGGCGATATCGGCGCCAGAACCGTTTGTTCGTCCAACTATGACGGCAAAAAAAAACATTTTTGAGGCTGACACTAGGGAGATATATCTTGGGGGCAGTCGGCACCCTTGCATTGAAGCGCAAGAGGGATCTCAGTTTATTGCGAATACGTGCAAACTTGAGCAAGGAAACAGCTGGTTCCAGATCATAACGGGTCCGAATATGGGAGGCAAGTCGACATTCATTCGCCAGGTCGGTGTCTGTATAATAATGGCACAGGTTGGTTCCTTTGTACCTTGTAATATGGCTAAGATCGCCATTCGTGATGCTATTTTCGCCCGCGTGGGTGCAGGAGACTGCCAGCTACGCGGGATCTCCACTTTCATGGCAGAAATGTTAGAGACTTCGGCGATCTTGAAGTCGGCAACATCGTCCTCTCTCATCATTATCGATGAGCTCGGTCGCGGAACATCTACATACGATGGTTTCGGCCTGGCCTGGGCTATTTCACAGCATATTTCGAACAACATAAAGGCACCTTGTCTGTTTGCAACACATTTTCATGAGCTGACCGCTATTCAGAGCCCCGAAGGCGTTTCCAATCTTCATGTCGATGCCAAGATAAGTATGGAGAGCCGCAAGCTTACGATGCTTTACCGTTTGTTGCCAGGTGCCTGTGATCAGTCGTTTGGCATTCAGTGTGCTGAGTTCGCGCGGTTCCCTGCAGACGTGCTGAGAATCGCTCAGGAGAAAGCTACGGAACTCGACAATTTCTCGGTGAACACAAGTGAAGTAAAATATACTTCACTGGATCAGCACTATGGACCGCGTGGAGGAGATGAGAGTGCGAAGCGGAAGCGAATAGATGATCAAGAGGAAAAAACCCCTGAAGAAAAAGTGCGGTCACAAAATTCCATTCGAGTCAGACAGTTTTTGGCTGATTTTATGGCACTGCCTCTTCATGAGTATCCGCCAGCAGAGGTACTGTGCCGTTTGCAGCAGATGATAACAGAATCAACTTGCCGCCAGTTGCTTACGGACATGATTGACGAGCCATAGTTTGACACACATTTCAGTGAACACAGATTTTTATTGAAATTAAAGGTGGTTTTGAAAACGAAATTAACAGATAGACAGTTCTCTCTTCAGCACTTCTGCTTACATGGGTTGATGCTCATATTCGACAGAAAACTGAACATCCTTGACGTGATTGAAAAAATGCCCAGGTAGCCGTCAAAACCATTATATGTAATGCCAGCTTTAAAGCACTCGTCCTTAATAATAGACTGCATAGCGGGGTACAGGTTATGAGCAGTTCCGGGGAACAAGTGATGCTCTATTTGATAGTTAAGCCCACCAGAGAAGAATGACCAGAAGCTGTTTCCCCAAGTGGCCGAAGTCTCGATCTGCCATCGCCCCCAGTCTTCACGCGAACCTTTTGATAACTGATTCGGTTGTAACCCATCCAGATTATGGCTGACTATGAAAAACCAGCAAAGAACGAACGAGCCAACTAGGCCGTATGCCAAAAACGGTACTAACACTCTTGAGACTCCATGGCAATACGCTGGAAGTGCGAAAATGAATGCAAAATGAAATATCTTGCCCAAGACATACAATAATACTTCAGTGTTCGTCACTCCGAGGTACTGAACTCCAGGCGAGGCTTTCCTTAGAAGCACATTTATGAAATCGCCAATCTGCGTGAAAGCATATAGGAGAGGCCAAACAAGTGGGGTGTAATAGGGTTGGAATCGATGGAACCAGAACCATTCCTGAGACTCATCAAGACGAATAACAGGAAACGAAGTGTACACATCCTGGTCTCGCTGTGAATCGTTACAGTAGGAGTGATGCGACACCATGTGGTGGTAACGCCATTCTAGGCTGGATTTACCAAGTAGAATATCGCATCCAAACCAACCCCAAAACTCGTTCCACCTTGCACTTTGACATAAACCGCCGTGGTTCGCCGTGTGTTGAAGTCCCGTGCCCGCCCAGTAGCCCGCAAATCCGAGCATACAGCCAGAGAAGATGGTGGGCGATAACACATACCAACACGACACCACTAGAGAAAATAGGATTACCGCTGCGACATCTAACTGGCAGCCACCGCGACCAGCTGTTTTGCGGCCTTGAGCCTTTTCAAGTGGAGCCAAGATCTCAGCACGCACTCGCTGCTGAATGTTCGTATACACGAGGGAGTCGAGGGGTTTCGGAAAAGTTTCGTCTGGACACAAGCCGATTTCAGCCTTGACTCTGGGAAGCGTGCTGAGTGTTTTGGTCACCACGTCTGGACGCAAGTGGTGGCTCTCAAACAAGATGGTGGCATCTCTGCCCGCGGCAAGAGCTAGCAGCTGAGCACCTCCCGGGTGCGACAGAGCAAAGTCAGTTATGTCATACACCTGCGTTGACTAGCAGATTCAATAATGAGCAAATTGTGATGCTATAAAAAATTATCAACAAAGTCTGGGTGAAGTTTGATGTTCGCAGGTGACAGGCTAAGGCTGCATGAAAGCAGTGCGTGGACGAGCGAAGTCGTCACCTGACCACGGATTTGCGTATATTGACGACCAGGATTGATGCACGTATCCTTACACGCGAAAGATGCATCTCCGCCTTTACCCATCGTTTATGATTCAAGTTTTCGATTCCAAAATCGCTCCTTGGACACGCCTCCAGAAGATGACAGAAGTATGACAGCTACAGTTTCGGCGGTGGTGGAGACGTGGACACACGCGGTGCTTCCTTTTATTTTTATAATCTCCCAGAGATGCAGAACGTGTACAGTACGTGTACAGGACGTGTACGTGTACTGTAGCTGTACACATACGAAAATAGATATTTTATTAACAACTTACGAAAGTACCTTCGAAGGTATAGAATACCTTCGAAGATTCAGAATAAGTAACTTACTTCCGGAAGATTCAGAATACTTCCGGAAGTACACGTACGTGTACAGTACGCATCTATTTCCGTAGGGTACGAAGGTGCGGAAATAGATACTTCCGTACTTCCGGAAGTACACGTACGTGTACAGTACGGATGTACGGAAATAAACTACACGTACAGGACGTGTACGTGTAGCCCTCCTAGTCTAAATATGCCCTAATGACTACAAGTGGCACTCCTCGCGCCGATCGAGCGCCGGTCAGTTTCGTCGATTCGCTCGAGCCGCGCGCGTTCATGGAAGGCTGATATCAGTGTCAAAACAGGGGTACGTGTACATAAAACTAACAGGTTCACTTTTATAAATTGACTAACAACTTATCCTACATACAGCACGGATGTACTTTCGTACTATCCTGCATAGTTGTACAGTACGGAAGTACTTCCGTACTTCCGTACCAATGTACACGCAGCTACTACTACAGCATTCAATATGCGTGTATGGCAACAAATATGTCTGACATTTTTGACAACACAAACTTGTCATATTATTACACGTAAAAGTGTACACGTACGTGTACGAGTATCTATCAACTACGAAGGTGTGACATACAGTACTGTACTACGCCCTTTAAGCCCTACCTGAATTATTTCCGGAAGTATGATATTACAGTAATATGAATAAAATATGTACGTACTTTATTTACGAAAGTACGAAAGTACGAAAGTATGACGAAGGTAACATAGGTAGATTTCGATATTTAAATATTTTTATAATTACATTCGTGACTGCTTCCCCATCGCATCGTGCGCAATATATATTTCTGCGATTGGAATATTTTTTTACGCGCTCGCGACGAAATGGAGCGCGGAAACGCGCAATCGAGTCAGCAGATTCGCGCTCACGGAAACCGCGTCGCTTGAAATTTCATAGCATCCAGTGGAACGCACGGACGACCTCTCTCCCTTCCATTTTTTCGTCTCGTGCGCGCCATGACCGTGGCGCGGTGCCGCGGCGCGGCGCCAATGCCGGCGTTCAGCCCTGCGACGCTGTTTTCTCCGCGAGCTGAAAAATATTTAAATATCGAAATCTAAGTTGTTTATCTACGTACGTGTACACGTGTACAGTACGTGTACTGTATGTTTCCTTTATTTGTCATACTTTCGAAAGTATCGAAAATAAGAATACTTTCATATCTTCGTTTATTATGTTGCGTACGAAGGTACGAAGGTACGAAAGTACTTTCGAAAGTTACGTGTACAATGTACTGTACTTCCGTACTATCATACATATCGATCATAGTACACGTACGGATGATACAATGGTTTATGTTCTATCTGAGTCAGTTTTATGTTCCGATTCAGCGTGACATCCGCAGCGAGTGGACTATTTAGCTAACGGACATGAGTGCAAGTTCCTACCATACCGTGTTCGCACCTCGCGCTCGTAGCGCCACTCATACTCGGAAGTTTCGCCAGCTTGCACAGTAGGGTTTACTCTTCGATACTAAACTGGCATCTTCACACCTTATCCAACGTTTTTATGTGACCGTCAACACTGTGTTCAAGCGGCGCAGTCCGGGAGTAACGCTGTGAAGCTGGCGAATTCAACTCCTCCTAATGACTCCATGCTACGTGCGGCAAAAGGTGAAAAAGTTGACCGCACTCCCGTGTGGTTATTCCGGCAAGCTGGACGGCACCTTCCGGAATACAATGAATACAAAAAGGTGAAGAACAAAAACTTTCTTGAGCTCCTCAAGGATCCGAAAGATGTAGCAGAGTGCACACTCCAGCCTGTTCGAAGGTACAATGTAGATGCCGGAATCCTTTTTTCTGATATTCTTGTCGTCGCTGAAGCGATGAACATTAACGTGGAGATGCCCGGTGGAAGGGGAATCGTGGTGGTGAATCCGTTGAATAAGCCTGAAGACCTGGAGCGCTTGCCAAGTTCTGTTGATGTCCACAAGAAGTTAGGGCATGTCCTTGAAGCAATCAAAGAAATCAATCGCCAGATAGACAAAGAAAATCTAGGCGTCCCTCTCATTGGTTTTTCTGCTGCTCCATGGACATTGCTTTACTACATGGTTGGTGGCAGTTCGAAGAAAAACACTGGCAACGGTATGCTTTGGCTCAGAGATCACCCGAAAGAGTCGCGCTTACTTCTGGATTCGCTGACAACTGTTGTCATTGATTATTTGGACGCTCAGATTCACGCCGGAGTTCATATGGTGCAAGTATTTGAAGCCATGTGTGAACATATTGATGAAGAGAACTTTATCAACTTTGCTTATCCTTGCCTTGAACGGATAGCGATTGAGATCAGATCCCGCCATCCTGACACACCCATTCTTGGATTCACTCGCGATGCTCCATATGGACTACATTATCTTCAACATGCCGGTTACGATGTCATGACAGTCGACACGACGATGCGAGGTCATGATGCTCGTGCTATACTTCAAGAAGAGGCAAGTGCAAGGGGAGTAGAACCTGGTCAACTTCAAGGGAACTTTGACCCTGCCTTACTTCATATAGATACTGGGGGGGATTTGAAAGCAATTGAGTCCGGAGTAAAGCGCATGCTGACTGAATTTGGTCCACAGAAGCTTATCGCCAACCTCGGAGCTGGTCTCACGGGCAAAGAAGATCCAGCAAGAGTTGATTTTTTCGTAAACTGTGTACATAATTTCAGTGAAGAGATGATTGCTGAAGAGACGGTATGAGACCTGAAGGATTGTTCCATCCTCCGTTTTCATCACAGATATCTCTTTAGAACATAAATCATGTCCTCTTAAGCTGGGGGGTCAGCACACGTCGCAGTCTCCATGTTCAAGCAGGCCTTCTTTTCTTTAACTTTTTGTGCTCAAGTCCATACGTGCTCGTTGCTCTGAGTCGTCTGCTCATCGCTACGATGAAATTCCGGACAACGAGGTTTTTTGTGGGGTTTGAACTTCACTTAACACAGTACGTACACTTACAAATTGAGCAACGTGCAGTCCAAGGGACCAACGCTCAGCCTTCAGTTTGGTATCAGGGTCAGGACACAGGTGACAACCTAGTGTGTTGGGGTTTAATTCCCTTCGAAGGTGTGAGTAGATGTATGCTACATCCGAGTATTTTACTTTAGACAGTTATACTGTACCGATTCACTCAAAGCAGAAGCATTTTTTTCCGGAGCTTAGTACGTGTACACTGGCACTAGTTTGTTATCAGCCCAGTATAAGCGTAGCGCAACATGCATGTCACAACTTGTACTCCCGTGCAAACATTTGAACGGAAGTATCAAAGAAATAGAAGACTCTCGCTATCTATTTGAAGAGCACATGCACCCTAATAATACCCTAATAATGTTTCCAAAAGTGTACATATTTGCGCTTCCGTACAATTACAACGTACAAGTATGTCAAGGCCACAGGGATCGCGAAAAACTATTTTTCTCCGTACGGGTCTCGAACCCGTGACCTTGGCGTTGCCATGAGACTCAGGGACGAGTCATCGTATATGTGTTCTTCAGCTATGCCGATCAATGCCGCGCATATAAGCACCACGCTCTGACCAACTGAGCTAACGGAAAAGGTCTTTGGTACATATGTAGGCTAAGATAAAAATATGTCCGTACAATTCTTGTTGAAGCGCGGCTACGAGAACCATATTGCTTTTCCCTTGTTCTCAGTGTCGACACTCATTAATCTAAAGAACAAAAGTAGGAAATATTTGATTTCATTAAATTTTTAGCTGTACGTATCATTACACGGTATTAAGGATATTAATTTGGCTTCAGAGTCAGACTAAAGAATCCTGCTTCTCTGAAATCTTCTTGTCATCTCAAATGAAATATATTGGTGGGCAGTGATAAGTTGGTGGACCTGGTGGACCACGAAAAAAAGTGCATATCCTTACACTTCTCAGCGAAATGCACTCTTCAATCAACCACAGCAATGTTTTCTTGTGCAAGATGTCTGCACCTGTAAAAGTGACTCTTTTCATAAAATATCACTGGAACGGCGCTCAATCTGCTCTTTCAGAACCCGACTTATTTCGTGCTGATAAGCTGTGAACGCGCTTCCATCAAAAGAACTCAACTTCTTATCTATAAAAGAAAGAGTAGTCTGCTCTTCAAACTGCATATAATAGTTGCGAACATTTGCCTACGCATACTTTGATGAGAAGTCAATGAACTTTAATATCAGGAAAGTGTAGTTCTAGTACCTTGTGTTTGTAGCCAGCATTGTGCTGTTTTCGAACAGAGGGCTGTAAGAAGAAATCAGTAATTCGCCAGTCGTAAGTCTTTTCCACAAAGGAAAGCCAGACTAAACAAGTTCACTTATAAACGTACAGAGTCATGTGTCAGGTAAGCATCACAGTAATCTGAAACAAAGAATCGTAATCAAGGAGGAGAAACGAAAAGACCTTGACTAAACATACCGCAGTAATACCGAGGCACTTCTTTGAGGGTCATAAAAGAGAATGAATGACCACTTAAGGAATCGTAAAAAAATGTCATACAACTTAGAAACCCAAGACGATATAAACCGTACTGTTAAAATTATTGTACTAAACGTCGAGTGGCAGTGATCAGCTTAAGAAGTGCGATAAACCGAATCTACACGTCGCAACACAGAGACGCCGATGCAGTATCGAGAAGGCGCCTGTAAACAAAGTAAACGAATTCACGACAAGTACCCTCGGGCTACACGACACACGTCTTACATAAGAAACGTACGACTGCAATCAATATCTTCATATGGTACCGTAGACATGAATAATACCTTCGAAGGTACGAAAGTACTTTCGAAAGTACGAAAGTACGAAAGTACCTTCGTACTTTCGTACGAAAGTACGAAAGTACGAAAGTACGAAAGTACGAAAGTACGAAAGTACGAAAGTACCTTCGTATCTATCTTCGAAGGTATCATTTCTATTTCCGGAAGTACGTGTACAGCTGTACACGTACTGTACGTGTACACGCACAGCATCATTCACTAGTTGTACGTGTACCTTTTTTTATTTGAAAACACACTGTACGTGACTATGGTATCCCTGAGCAGTACACGTACGTGTACAGCTGTACACGTACTATTTCACATCCCACGCACGTACGTGTAGGATTGAATATAAACTGATTGAATGTACATACATTGTAGACTATCATAGTGTATCTACACGTACTGTAGACTACCTTCGTATTTTTATGGTGATAGATGCGTGAGTGATACGTGTACGTGTACGTGTACAACGTTGTACGTGTATGTACATTGTAGTCTACGAAGGTACCTTCGAAGGTACTTGTATCAAATAAATAATAGTAAATAACAACTTACTCCCTGTGGAATAATAAACACTAGATATTTCCTATCGGATATAGCCCATTATAAAAAAGCGCCTCCAGCGCTTCGGCCGTCGGTCAGTTGGGTTGAGTGCACTGAATACCGGTGTGATGGCGGTTCTTGCTCAAAACGCGCTCAGTGCAGCCTCCCCTGCCGCTGAGTGCACTGAATACCAAGGTACCTAGCTACCTACCTTCTTATAAATTAATATCCCTTGCATATCTTCGCAGCGTGCATATAGCTGCATGCTGTAAATTCTACCTTCGTATGAAGGTACAGTAGACAGTACTGTGTACGGAAGTACAACCGCGTTTATAGAATCGCCCGCTCAATATATTTGTGTCATTTTTAGAATAAATATTGTGCGATAGCATACTGTACGTGTATCATTATCATTACTTCCGTACATAGTTGTACTTTCGTACTTCCGGAAGTATTTCCGGAAGTACTTTCGTACGAAAATACCTTCTTCCGTACGAAGCAAGCAATAATGTACACGTACGTGTACGTGTACTGTACAACTACACGTACTTTCTTTGATACTTTCGTATGATACTTCGGTAGTACTTTAAGTACCTTCGTTCGTAACAAATATTTACTTCCGTACACGTGTAGTTGTACACGTACACGTACCTTTTCGAAGGTATTCTATTTTCGTACGAAATAAAGTAACAACTTACCTCGAAAATAGAATAGTTGTACTTTCGTACTTCGTATTATTATTTCCGGTTCGTACTTTCGTACCTTCGTACTTCCGGAAGTAAGTACAACGTACGAAAGTACAACGTACTGTAGTTGTACTTCCATAAGATAGCCCTAATTCGTTTCCCTGAAGCCATTGTACTGGTAACCTCTTCATGTGGTATTTCCGTGCCTTTTCGGGCAATCATTCCATATCATCGCGGCTTGAGTCCACCCGGCCGAAAGTGATTCCACGCAAGTTAAGTATTCGGGCTCGCTCTAAAACTTCATTTCGCCGAGTTGGTGTATACACTGATAGGCGTCCAGTCTCAGTACCTAGAGTCGTTTGTGCAGCCGCTCTCACGCCAAGATGTATGCTTGTCAATTTTTTTACCATACACATCAATGAGAGTTCATACAACTCTACCATTTTGAATTGACAAGTATTCTACTCTTTTTTCGCTTTTTTAGGGAGCGAAGGATTGAGTGACACTCAACCCGCCAACAAAAGAGTCGGCGATAAAAGAAAACCTGGGGTTGTGTGCTCTTATTCTCCTGCAAGCGCCACGCCGAGCTCCTCGTACAACGAGCACAAACCCAAAACGCCCCCTCCCGATCTACCTTCGCTTCTTCTTGACAGCCGGATTGTTTACATAGGGATGCCGGTATGTCCCACCCAATACCTTCTGTGACTGTCTTCGGAAGAAATGAAACTCTTCTCCACGATAAACTTATTTACTAACGGAGAAGCACCATCGTGGCGACACAGCTGGTTCCAGCGGTGACCGAGCTCATCGTATCCGAGCTTCTCTACATGCAGTACACGGACGCTACTCGTCCATGCTACATATACATAAATTCTACTGGTTGTCAGCGAGCTGATGGGGAGGTTGTAGGCTTTGAAACTGAAGCTACGTCTATATATGACACCATGAAGTATATAGGCAATGAGGTAAGCTGCCATATTCTGATAATGCAAACAATAAAGTGCCCCACCTTCGTTTCGCTGAAAATTTTCCCCTTCAACAGATTTATACTGTTGGCACGGGGGTTGCCATAGGTCAAGCTTGCATGATACTGTCAGCTGGAAATAAGGGCAAACGGTTTATGACAGCTCATGCAACAGCGATGCTGCATCAGCCAAGGATACCATCTACTGGTCAACGACAGGCTATTGAACTCCACCTCAAGTGGAAAGAAGTTCTTGAGCAAAAGAAAGCCATGGTTGATATATTAAGTCTGACAACTGGTCACTCCAAAGAGAAGATAGATAATGTGGAGTTTTTTTAATCGTCTCTCGAATCGTATCCTGTCTGACTAACTTTATGACACAGGATATTCAACGTCCTCTTTATCTGACGGCGAAGGACGCGATTGCTTACGGGATAGTGGATAAAGTCGTCGATAAAAACTCTCGAGCGATTGATAGCGTTCTTTCAGGAGATGCATGGGATGATGCTGCAGGGCTTGTGAGCTCTCCATCCCCGGGACAGTGAGTTCCTCGATGAAACTCTCTTGTTCATGATGGTCTGGCAGAAGACGCAGTTTAAGCTGCCTTTCGAAAGTTTGTTCTGAAGGTTGTGCAATACCACTTTTGTTGTCAGTGGTGACGTTATTTTCAAATTGTTTAGCATCCTTTCCTGTAGTGTGTTGAGAGCAGTTCCTCTATAAGTACATCAGCTGCGGATATTTCCATCATGAAATTCATGGACTTATCAACAACTCTTGCTCACTCCTCAGAATCATATCCGAACACACTTGAGAAAACCTCAAGCACTTTCGTGCCTTCGTCAATAGTCGCCATAGGATCCTTTCGCAGACGGTGACGAAGACACAGTGTAACCACCGAGTAGACGTCTTCATCGGTGACTTCGTTGGCACCCCTGGAGTACACGAGATATATTTATTTAGACGGCGAAATTCCAGAAACTGTGAAATCATATGCTTGAGCACAAACCTGTATGCAGCAGCAGCTCTGGAAGCACGGGTAGTGACGAGGTCTCCCCTGAGCCCGTCGACATCAAGCTCGGAACAAACCTTAACACAAATGAAACTGTGAAATACAAGTAAACAGTCATACGTGCAAGAAACGTACCTGAGAAATCTTGAGCCGAATTTCCATTGGTACTTGAACTGAAGGCAGCAACTCCCGAGCAGTGTCAAGTTTACTGATTATCGCCCTCTGTTCCGATTCGTACTCTGCAAATGGACGTGTTCTCAGTGCAAATGCTGACCAAACGAAAGAATTGGAAAACAACAACAAATGAAGTGTACTTTTGCGAAATTCATTGGGTGAGGTATCAAAAGCAGTGCGCTCTTCAACGACTCTCACTCGCTCCAAGGGTTAGAGTCCAGCACCAACGAAAATACGTTCGGTTTTCTTGGTCAAACAGTGAAAACTGTGGTTAAGAATCACACACCTCAGGCAACTTCACGGTCTTGATCTGTGCATGCATACCAAACCTATCAAGAAGTTGGGGGCGAAGTTCACCCTCCTGTGCAAAAGTTTTAGACGTCTTGCATAAAAAAAACTCCCCTCTCCAGCTGTGCGCTGTTTCATAAGTAGTGCAAACCTCTGGATTCCCAGAACCAATAAGAATGAAACGGGCAGGATGACATATGCTTATTCCTTCTCGTTCGACGGTGTTCCAACCGGAAGCCTAGAGACATAGAGGTTTGTTTAGCGATATACACAACTCTCTCATCTGAAGGAAAAATAATTTACCGCGGAGTCAAGGAGAACGTCCACAAGATGGTCGTCTAGTAAGTTAACCTCATCGACATAAAGAATTCCGCGATTAGCCTGGCATATGAGAAAACGGTGAGATAAATAGGTAAGTGATACCACAAATGGTCACAAGAGACAAGACTTTCCTTTGCTAGGAGTCCAGGTTCAAAAGCTTTCGTCCCTTCCTTGGCAAGGGTTGCGGGCAGCAAACAGCGGTGGAAGTCGGATTTCGCGTTGAAAAAAAAACGTGCGACAGCATCCTATGTAACACAATCAAGACCGGTTATTCCCTGCCTGTCAGAGCTTTTTCGATGTCTATGGTTCCACACACTCTATCCTCTGTCGCGCCCAACGGTAGGTCTACCATGTTTATGGGAACTCTCGTGGTTTCAAGAGGCGAACAATATGCAGGGGACCGCCGAAATCATACATTTAGAGCCAAATATACAGTTGATGTAAGTGAAATAAAGGCACAGGAATCGTTTTGACATAGTAGCATACCCTTCACGAAATAATTTGAGTATATCTGGAGACATCAAGTTGGGGTCAGTTGGGCTGCTCATGAAAGGGTCATCTTTGACAACGTCAATTAGCGGCAGTAGGTCAACCTGTGGAAGAAGAAAAGTAAAGGGCTCAAATGGGATTCATTCAATCAAAACATACCAAAGACCGAACTGTAGTCGACTTCCCAGTACCTCGATCGCCCATCACCATGATCCCTCCTATGTTTGGATCGATGATGTTCATTATGGCGGCAAACTTCATCTCTTCCTGCCCAATGATGGCACTAAAAGGATACACAGGGCGTGCAGCTGCGTTCGAAGCTGCATCTGTCTCTGCTTGGTTAGCTGAAATTCAACCAAACAAAGAATGTGAGAGGCCTGCGCAAATCAGCTGGCTATGATGATTGATACCTTCAGTGACAGCTCGAGAAAACATGGAATGTTTTTTATGAACATCCGCGATGCCTCGGTGAGGTCTAAGGATGTCACACACTTAATACAAGAAGCATGCGACAATTTAGTAGAATACTCACCTGGCTTTAGCACGAAGTTCTGCACTGACGATCCTAAACGAAGCTGCAAAAAAAAGATTTAGACCCCGGCTTTACGGCGGAAGTACGCTTGTTCGTTCGTTCGAGGAAAAGCGTGCGCTCGATGTGTATCAGAGGATCCATTGGGGATTCAAGAAAATTGGGAAGGGGCGCACTCGAAGTTGACGACAAACATGTAGCTTTGTTTGCGTGGAAAGACATGGTTGAGAGTTCGTGCGGAGCAGAGTGCCGAAAGTGCTTCTCAAGGATCAGATCAGATTGCTGTCTGACTGATAAAAACTAATCTTTGATTGGCGGATCTTTCATACTGGCCAATAAGAATATGTGCAGTCGAGGATTTATTATCATTTTTTCTTGCACGGTAAACATAGTACGAAGGTACTGTACGTGTACGTGTACACATATTCTATGTGTACATTGTACGGAAGTACGAAAGTATTCTACAGTATCTTCGTACGAAAGTATCTATTTTCGTACGAAAGTACGAAAGTATCTATTTATTCGTACTTTCGTACTTTCGTACTACTTTCGTATGATACTTTCGTACGAAAGTACTTTCGTACGAAAGTAATACCTTCGTACCGTACAACGTAGTCTTGTCGTTGGGCTACGTGATGCTATGTGTACTAGCACTGCCTACTACAATGTACGGAAGTACAGTAACAACGCGTATTAACTTACCGTAGTCTATCAGATTGTACAAGTTGTAGTGTATCTACTTTCGTACAGAAATATCTATCTAGTAGGTAGATATCAATGTACGGAGTACGAAAATACGGACTTCCGTAGGGCTACGTGTACGGAAGTATTCTATTTTCGTACAAATTTACCTTCGTACGGACGGATGTATCAAGTACAGCTACGTGATGTACGCGTACAGTGTATACAAATTACACATGCATAGATAAACTAAAAAATATGGTACTGTAAAACATCATCATTACACGTACGTGTACAGTTCTGTACGTGTACAAAAACAACTTACGTGTACGTGTAGTCGTGTACTGTACGTCTACTGTACGTGTACAGCTGTACACTTACTGTACATGGAATAATAGAAAAAAAAAAAGGTACGAAAGTACGAAAGTACTTTCGTACGTTTATCGTTGTACGAAAGTAACGCGTTTGTACTGCACGTGATACGTGTACACGTACAGTACAAGTAGACTAGCTAGGGCGATTCTCTATCTCCGCACAGACAATGGTCGGTCTGACGCAATTTAGTGTACTTTCGTACTTCCGTACAGTACATACACGTGTAGGCTGTAGGGCTAGCTAGGCCCTACACGTGTGCACTGTACACGTAGTACTCACGTAGTCACGTACACGTACAGTTTCCCTCGGCACGATTTCCAGCCAAACCTATCAAGTCTGTAGGGCCTACACATGCCATATCCATAACGTTGTACGAAAGTACAAAGGTACTTTCGAAGGTGCTTCCGTACTTCCGTACTTCTCCGAAGTTACTTCCGGAAGTATCACCGCACGGGGACACTAGAATACGAGTACAAAGGTGCACGCAGTGCGCGAGGTTCTCCGCAGAAGTAACCCAACCAGAAGGGGCGCCGAGGAGAGGGCGCTCTTCTACAGAAACAGTCGATCTTGGCGCCTCAAAGTCACTGTTAAAACCTTTTAGATGTCTGCGCTTTGCGGCGTTCAGAGCCTCACTGCGAGCGTGAGGCGGGACATATTCTTGAAGCGAGAACGCGGGGGATGCCGCTCGTTTGAAAAATTTGGCGGAGAACCAATTTCCAGGCGGAGAAGGGGATCATTTCTTACTATAGCAGGAGTCTCATCGGAATTAGAAGATGGCCAAATTGAAGGGGTGCGTGCAAATTGTTTTGAGTCACTTCTATCTTCTTAGGCTCTTCTTCGACGCAGATTGAGGGATACGGGGCGATATCGACAAAGCCTGTAAGACATAAGCGTTTACTTACTTACAGTTTTTTTCAGGAATGCATTCCATGATTTCTGCTTTCAGGCGACCCCCTTGCTCGATACTGTGAACTATCCTGTCCACTTAAAGAATCTGAGCATGGAGCAGCTTAAACAAGTGAGTATGATTTACTGTTTATGATCTTTAACGCTGCCCTTCAAGATAAACGGTTCCTCGTGTGCAGGTTGCCAAGGAACTAAGAGCAGACCTAATTTACAACGTTTCTCAAACTGGAGGTCATCTCGGATCCAGGTGATACCGACTGGCCAATTGATGATTGACTCAATTTAGAGACAGGCCACTCTTTCTTTTTCATTCGCTCAGTTACATACATTTCTGTCAACAGTCTCGGAGTTGTAGAGCTCACCGTTGCTCTTAATTACGTGTTTGATCAGCCTGAGGTAAGGCATTACCTTTTCACTGTATACCCCTAGCGCAGATTAAAGTTGCTTTTTACTGACGAATCGACCTTGCGTTTGTGACCCTTATTCAAGGATAGGATAATATGGGACGTTGGCCACCAGGTAAGTGTAATAGTCCTCGTCTGCAGCAGCCTATTAAACCTTAAGATACCTTCGATCTAGCCTCTCTAAAGTTTGTCAACATAGGCCTATCCACATAAGATGCTTACTGGGAGGCGAAAACAAATGAACACCATGAGGCGAACAAGGGGTAAGACATTAAAAAAATTCCGACGGCAGATCTAGTCTTATCCTGCCTACATCGCAGGCCTTTCTCCTTTCACCAAAAGAAGCGAAAGTCCATTTGACTGCTTCGGAGCCGGACATAGCAGTACATCAATATCGGCCGGGCTTGGGATGGCAGTAGCCCGGGATATGCAAGGAAGATCTAATCATGTTATTGCTGTGATTGGTGACGGTGCCATCACTGGTGGAATGGCCTATGAAGCTATGAACAATGCAGGATACTTGGATACCAATATGATTATCATCTTGAACGATAATCAACAGGTTTACTTGCAATCTCATGCAAAATACTGGGACTATCCGTCTAACTCCTCTTCAACTCACATTTTCAGGTTTCTCTTCCTACCCAATACAACAGCTTGAATCAAGACCCCGTTGGCGCCCTCTCTTCTACTTTTGCGCGTCTGCAGTCATCGAAACCGCTCCGGGAACTACGGGGTAGGATACCCCGGTGTGAGAATAGTCATGATATTTTGCTTCTTTATATCTCGAGCGTTTTTTTTTGTACTCTTGCACATGAGTCAGCCAAGGCAATAACGAAACAGATGCCAGTTCCAGTTCAAGAAGTCACAGCAAAGGTTGATGAGTATGCGCGCGGTATGATAAGTGGCTCTGGATCGACACTCTTTGAGGAGTTAGGGTGAGTAATTAGTTGCCTTGCTTCTTTTGTGCTTAACTCCTCTTATCTCCTCTATTATCAAGGCTATACTATATTGGAACTGTGGACGGCCACAATCTTCAAGACCTGGTTGCTATTCTGGAGGAAGTTAAGTCAACTAGAAGTGTTGGACCAGTGCTAATTCATACCGTGACTGAAAAGGGTCGGGGATACTCTTATGCAGAGGCTGCACAGGACAAGTATCACGGAGTTTCCACGTTCGACGTAGCCTCTGGGTAAGGAAACTGTATCTTTAGCGGAGCTTTCTTGTACCATTCTGAATATTTTTTTACATTCCGCATTTGTTTGACACTGGCATAGAAAGCAGAAGAAGTCATCTGGGGGCATTCCGTCGTATACTCAAGTATTTGCCGACGCCCTGATCGGAGAAGCAAGTCGCGATGAAAGTGTGGTCGCTGTCCATGCTGCCATGGGTGGTGGCACTGGTTTAAACCACTTTGAGAGGTTTTTTGCGGTATGTTTGGTTTGTGAATGCAGAATGCAGGAAATCTTATTCTGTATTATTTTTTTGGCTGATGTGTTGCTGACCCTGCCTTTTGGATCGTACATTTGATGTTGGCATCGCGGAACAGCATGCCGTCACTTTCGCAGCTGGTCTCGCAGTAGAGGGATTGAAACCTGTATGCACGATCTACTCGACATTTTTGCAGCGAGGATTTGATCAGGTGCCAACTTTTCCCGAACAAAGATATGCAACTCCATATAGTTTTCTCATAGAATCCAACAACTTTTAGGTAGTACACGATGTGGCTTTACAGAAGTTACCAGTCCGCTTTGCTATGGACCGCGCTGGATTAGTAGGCGAAGATGGTCCAACTCATGCAGGTGCTTATGATGTTGCTTTTATGGCTTGTCTGCCCGACATGGTTGTTATGGCACCTATGAATGAAGCCGAGCTTTGCCACATGGTGAGAACTAGAAAAAGTCCCTGAAAATGTTATTTGAAACCTAATATTCAGGTGGCTACTTCCATTGCCATCGATGATCGGCCTTCGTGTTTTCGTTATCCTCGCGGTGCTGGCGTTGGTATCGATCTAGAAGAGGAGGTAGGTGGCTGTTGGCCTACATAAAGAAGCTTGATATGCTACTATATATCTGCCATCATTTTGTTGTGACTCTTGTACTAGGGTGTCACGATGGGAAATCCAGGGTACCGGTAGAGAGAAATCAGTTTACGTGAACTATAATTCCTTACATGAAAATCTGAAATATCACTTTCAAAAATGAATCTTTATCTGTTCTTGACAATATATTTCGAGGTAAAGTCATCGAGGTAGGGAAGGGTCAGATACTACAGGAAGGAACTGACTTATGTTTGCTTGGATATGGAACATGCACGAATAGATGTCTTGAGGCAGCAAAGGTATAATGATAAATGTTGTCGCAAAATATTTTCATCATTTTCATCAATACTTCGTGAATAATAGATGCTCGAAGAGCTTGATATAAGTGTGACAGTGGCTGATGCCCGATTTTGCAAACCACTTGATACTTCTCTCATTCGGCAACTTGCGAAGGTATGTTCCATTTTTGGAGTGTTTTATCATCCTCGCAGATAGCTGATGTAAAGACTTCAGAATCACGCGGCTATGATCACTGTAGAAGAAGGCTCGATTGGCGGATTTGCCTCTCACGTACTCCAGTTTCTTGCTCTTGATGGTCTTCTTGATGGTAACCTCAAGGTGAAGTGATTAATATTTTACTGAGCTTTGCGGTTTCTTGCCATTTTACTCATCCAGTTCATCGTGAAGGTTCGTCCTCTTACTCTTCCTGATCGGCCAATTGAACATGGTGTGGCTCCAAAACATTCCACACTTTGAGTAACCATTTCCTCTGTTTATTCGCATTTAGAGGTCAAGTCGCCTTGTCACATTTTTTTGTCCCTGGCCTTTGGAGCCTTTGAAATGCAACTCCTGGAAGCTGGGCTGTCGTCCTCACAAATCGCATCATCAGCGCTTTCACTGCTAGGTAAAACATCTTTTAAATTGGATGTGGATTAAGCTGAATCTTCCCTTTTCCGTCAAGGTCACGAGCTTGAATCCGGTACAGTATTACTGAAGTAGTGATTTTCAGCAACTCTACGTGTAGTCATATGAGTTTCAGCGTGAGCGTGGTTTTGACAGAATAGATTTTGTATTTACAAATAGCTCGTACAGGAACAATACCTCGCTTCAACGAGACTTCTAAGAACACTGTCTAAGAAGAGCAGCTTAACGAATTCCCTGAAAGCAGAACTAGTGAAGCTGGAGGAAGCCAAGATGGTCGAATTTCAAATTCAAAATAAAAAATAAATTTACCAGTCGTACCTCTGTGCTCTTAAAATCAACAATACCTCCTTACTTCGTATCTTCACAGAAACAACTTTATAAATACTTTGGAATTTTCTCTACTTTGCTCTGCGGGCTTGTTCATGTACCTTCAAGTATAACTAACGTGCCCTCTGTTGAATAGCTAGCTATCTTGCTACCTTCGAAGGTAGACTATACTTGGCTGGGCTCCACTGTTTCCTGCTCAAGACTTTCCTTTAGATCAAGAGATGTGCAAAATGTTTAGGCTGTTCACATGTACAGTTGTACACGTACACGTACGAAAGACCTTATTATTACTTGATTTATTATTTATTTGTAACAACTTACAGTACCTTCGAAGGCAACTTATTAACTTTATTTCGTACTTACGAAGGTACGAAGGTACACGTAATAAATAAATAAATAAAGAAGTACAACTGGAAGTACGTGTACCTTCCAAGGTGAAGTATATACCTTATCTTGCTTGGAAGGCACGTGTACTTCCAGAAGTACTTCGAAGTACCTTCGAAGATAATACGTACAAGACTCTGGTATCCGAGGAAATAGTCCAGCTGAATAGGTACACGTACCTTCGAAGGTAGTGCGTAACTACGTACGTACCTGCAAAGGTACTACGTAGTTAAAAGATAGTACGTTCCTACTTTCGAACGTAACGTATTGATACTTCCGGAAGTATGTTGTCACGCGCCCTTCAATTTACGCTCTAATATCAGGATTTAAAGGGAGTGTGTAGCTATATACACAGTTAGTTGTACATTACACTAAGTGAGTTTAGAGGGCGGGGCGATGTGAAGATTTTGCGGCTTTTCCTTAAAGTGAGTTTTCGTCGATCTGATAGTATGGGCTGCCTTGGCAGCCAAACAGAAACTTTATTTGACTAGGTACAAAGCAAAGAGTTTCGACCTCACGAAGCACGACCTACAAACGGTCTGATATGTATCCGAGCCACCGATACATTGCTGTGCTGTGTTGTTTTCAGGAGATATGCGTGAGGTAAATGTTGCGGGTCTTATATTGCAGCTACAACATTTTGCGGAGAGTTTAAAGATAGAGTCACACAAGGGTAGTAGATCGAGGAGTTTGCCAAACTGTTCACGACGAAAGTCTCCCTCAAGACCAGCAAAAATAATTTTCTTTTTCTCTGAGTCTGCGGCTGCACAGAACCGGGGAAGATCTGGAAGGAATTGTGCTTCGTCTATAGCGAAAATGTCGACTCTACGCCACTCAGCATCGCCAAGAGTGCTGCGAATTTCATTAAGTTTTGCAACTGAGAAACATGTACGCAGAATCCCATCATGAGTCACAATATGATCGCACGAATATCTAAAATCCTCAAAAGACTTAACAAGTGAAACAACGAGTCCAAGCGCCTCTTCTTGGGAGACTCTCTCAAGAAGCTCTGTTGTCTTTCCAGAAAACATGGGCCCTGTGATGAGGTGGATCTCCCCAGTGTTCTTCGAAATATTTAGACCTTGTGCGAAATCTGTATATTTCATGGTGTATTCAGGAATCGCCGTCCCTCTGGTTTGAGAGATAGATCGGTGAAAACGTAAACTTGTCTGCGACTGAATCTTTCGGGCTTGTCGCAAGGTGAGAACGTCACTAAGCCACGTACAACCCATTTTCTGTAGCACTAAATGATCCGTCCGGCATGAGCCCCGAATAGATACGCCAAACGTCATAAATACACGGTACACATGGTCTAAAAAAAGGAATACTGAACCGCGCGGCTTGAATCCTCGAGGTTTTCACCTATCGCGTTGTCCTTCCACCTCTCCGGGTACAGCGTTTGTTTTGATAAATATTATGATAGGGCTAGTATTCATGCTGTACTGTACGTGTACACAGCTACACACGTACGTGAACGGACGGAAATCCAAAACGAAGTACGTGTATGTAGTGTACACGTGTACAGCTGTACACGTACTGGCCTACGCCCTTTAAGCCCTGAATTAGCGTGAATTGACGGAGCTTAAAGGGTTGAACCCTTCGGGTTCATTTCACCCTTAACTCTGTCGCATCAACGCTAATTCAGGGCTTAAAGGGCGTAGGCCTTCCCTATGAAAACCTAATTTGATAGGTGATTTTTGTATCAATTTTAGGGTTTTCTAAAAACCAAAAAATGAAAATTGGAAACCTAAGTGAAGTCGCCTCCAAACCAAAATACAGTATACTATCTATTCCAATTAATTTAGCGGTGAAGCTTGCTACGATAGATGAAAGCGTATGGGAAAAGTGTATTGAAGACTACCTTCGTACAACGTTGTACTTTAAAGAAAATAAGCCGAAGACGCACGAGGAGGCTATGAAGGGATTGGAGAAGAAACTGGCGAAAATGGAGGAGTAGATTTAACTCTGTAATAAGACCAAAACCTTACGAAAATCACGAGACTTCGGGGGCGTATCTGGAGCGTAGCGACCCAGACCTCTACAAACCTCCGTGAGCTATGCTGACGCAGAAATCACGGAAATCTGTAGCACCTCTTTAAGCCCTGCGAAGTTTTTGAGCTGTTGAAAAACACCTCAAAATCACGGGAAAAACCCCCAAATCAGGGGTTTCAAAACCAAAAATCGGGGGTTAGAAAAACACACGAAAATCATCTAAAATTGGGGTTTTCAAAATCACACGAAAATCATCTAAATTGGGGGTCTTCTGTTGGGCTTCTGTGGGTCTTCTGTGGGGCTTCTGTGAGACTTCTGTGAGGCCCCATTTCATACCAACCACGAAACAAGCACGGAGGACGGGGGACAAGGTTCGGTCAAGTTCGGTCAAGCTCAGTCATTTTCGGCGGAATGGGCGGGGAGGGTGGAGGGAAATCCCGTCATTTTTGAGACCAATTTTAGACAGCAGACAGATAGACAGTTAGACAGGGGTTTCAAAAGATTTTCTACAAATGTATCTGAACTACTGAACTTCAGTATTCAGTTTTCAGTTTATAGGAAACTTCTGGTATAGCTGTCTATCTGTCTATCTGTCTGCTGTCTCATTTTGGTTTCATTTTGGACGGGACTACCCCCCATTTCCCATTTTCGCCTATTTTTTGGGAAATTACTGAACTTGACTGAACTTTTACTGAACTTCCCCCCGTAGTTTTGGTTAGGTTTTCACTTCGCCCCGCACCAGGCACGATGCCCCCGCCGAACGAGACGAAACGCAAACAGGGGAGTTTCTTAATTCTTTTTCTTCTTGCCGTGGGCTTTGCGAAGCCTTGCTTGGCGAGAGACATCGGAGAAGTCTTTCACAATACTACAGATGGGTCAGCTCCGTCCCCACCATCTTCACCCCCCCCCCCCCGTGGTTGAAAGAGATTCATCAGAGGTCTTTACAGATGGGTCAGCTCCGCCCCTACCATCTTCGCCCCCCGCTCCGTCCGCCGCCGAGGAAACAACTTCACCGTCGCCAACTGACGGCGATGGAGGCGAGGGAATGATGAACTCTGCCGAAATGCCCACCAGCGCGGCTGTCGCACCACCGCTTCTTGACGACTTGGACGCAGACGGAGATGAGGCGGATGCCGCATCAAAAGCTGGCGACCAACAGGGAACTGAACAAATCTCTCCGCAAGAGGGCGGCGAGGAACTCGTGTTTGTAATACACGGTTTTCCAAAATGTCGTCACTGTGACGACGCTCAACTCGCAAAGAGGAGTGATGACTCCCTCTTGAACGACACGAGGTTTAACACTCCACCGCGAGGTTTTGTTGAGCTTACCGAAGAGCGAGTGTTTGACCAGCGAACTGGAGCTCTTATGTCAACGACAGGGGATTATGGACGACCCCTTTACAATGACACTCAAACATTTCGCTTCACCGTAGATGTTGCTAAGGGATACAAGGAAATATTTTACCTTACATATTGGTTAAAAGTTTATCTGGACAAGGTCTACAGTATGATGTTTTGGAAGAAGCCAAAGCAACTAGACATAAATAGGGCTACAAGAGTGCTACAAGTATCTATCTTCGTACGAAGGTATTCCGCCTTGAGAGTGAGTGCAGTGAGTTACCTTCGTACGAAAGTACTTTCGAAAGTAAGAAAGTACGAAAGTACGAAAGTACCTTCGAAGGTACTCTCAAAGTACTTTCGTACGAAAGTATAGATACTTTCGTACGAAAGTACTTTCGTACTACAGTACATACGCACTACGTAGCTACGTACGAAAGTACTTTCGAAAGTACTTCTGAGAACTGTCAGACAGTACACACTACACAGTACGTAGTGCAATACACTAGTCTACTACAAAGATAGATAGAGAGTCCACCCGACAGCTCATTATTATTATAATTATTCAAGACACAGAACACGCACAAGGAACCCACCGACGTATCCTCGATAGGCGACGTATCATTAGGAACAGTAGTCTGGGATAAGTACTACAAACTAAACAGTACAGAACCCACTTTAAGTTTCCGCAGTATCTAGCTAGATACCTTCGAAGGTACGAAAGTACGAAAGTACCTTCGCAGTACGGAAGTAGCTAACGGAAGTATAGCTCTCTACGAAGGTACTTCCAGAAGTACTTTCGTACTTCCGGAAATCCTTTCGTAAGTCTCTAGCTCGTAGTCTATCTATCTTCGTACGGAAGTATTTCCGGAAGTACTTCCGGAAGTACTTTCGTACGAAAGTACTTCGGTACTTCAGTACCTTCGTACCTTCGTAACCAGCTAGCTAGTGCGACAAGAGTATCGGAAGTTTCCTCGCCCCATAGTTTTTTGGTCATGACTACGACGGCTGTGCGTTCGCAATTTCCAGTCTATTTAAAAAGTCACGTGCCCAGATACGCAGCTAGCTAGTGCGACAAGAGTATCGGAAGTTTCCTCGCCCCACAGTTTTTTGGTCATGACTACGACGGCTGTGCGTTCGCAATTTCCAGTCTATTTAAAAAGTCACGTGCCCAGATACGTGATATTTGGCCAAAAGGGCCGCATAGTCTAGGTCATGGACAGGGCACAGCGGCACTCCTCGTAGGGTTGCGACCGACCGCGATTTGTTGAAAGTGCGAGGATGAAAGTTGTTAACCTGCACTCAAAATTAGCCATGACCCATTTTACTACTTTAGGACAAACGGGTGGGTCAAAAACACATACACTTTCTATTGATGTGATGCCCTCGCATATTCACTCATATTTATAGTCTGATAATACACTCACAGGATACAATCAATAAGTCGATCCTTCACAACACTTGAGTACGTATTAATCTACGACTGATTGAAATGGTGGCGGAACCACAATTGGTTCATAGCTTCATACTGTACACGTACGTGACATGTACGTGTACGTGTACAATAAATGAAACTGATCGTGTAAAGCTGTACGTGTACACGTACGTTGTGCACGTACAACGTTAACGTTGTACGAAAATAGGTATGGTCGTGTACTTCCGGAAGTCCGCCGTACTTCTGTAGGGCTAAGGCCCTATCTTCGCACCTCTCGTTGGTCAAGGTACTGTCAAGGTATAGAATACAGTACTTCAATATACGAAGGTACTTCCGTACTTTCGTACTTTCGTACTCGTACTTCCGTACGAAAGTATAGATACTTCCAGAAGTATGACGCACCAGACCCTCCCATTCCATGACCCTCTCTGCGTATTCCCGCCCTCGCAGCTCCGTATCCGTGCTCAACCCCACGGCATGGTGTGATCGCCACTTGGCGTTGAGCCCTGGGGATCCGCGCAACCACGCGTTCGCGTTCTCGGCCAAGCGAGCTTTGCCAAGACACTGCTCACACGATGCCACGAATTCCCTCCTTGATGCGAGCTGCCGTGCTCTCTCAGTTCGGCGGGCCTCAAGTCCTACAGGTGTTGGACAATGTCGGTGTCCCTCAATGTCGTCCACACGAAGTGTTAGTAAGGGTAGCGGCCGCGGCAGTAAATCCATTGGATTGCCGATTGAGGGCGGGTTACGGCGGCGAACTTTACCGGCCACAATTTCCGCTGGTGCTCGGGCGAGATCTGAGTGGCGAAGTGGTTGCTATGGGTTCCTCAGCTCAAAACTTTGTCATCGGCACTCAAGTGTTCGGTTCGATTCCTCCTGCGAGTTCTCAAGGAACTCACGCAGAATACGTGGCTGTACCAGAGGCTCACCTTGCAGAGAAACCTTCAAATCTATCGCATGAAGAAGCATCAGCGATATCCTTTGGAGCCCTCGCTGCCTGGCGTGCCTTATTCTTGACAGGAAGACTCGCTAAAGGTGATCGTGTCCTTGTCGTTGGATCATCAAGCTCAGTTGGGAGGGCTGCAGCTCAGCTTGCAGTGGCGAAAGGTTGCGAGGTGGTTCTGACACGTTATCCTTGCAAGTGCTTTGCCGTAACGAAAGGAAAAATGGCGAGGTGCGTAGTATGCGGCGAACATGATTCAAAATGTAACGATAATGAAGAATTCGGTTCATTCGACGTTGCATTGGACACAGTCGGATCTAAACATAGTCTGCGGCACGCCATTACATTGCTTCGGAGGGGTTCTGGGAGGTATATCACTCTACATGGAAGGCTTCCGATACACGTGGGGAAGAACGGACTCTTGTGGGGAGGGTTGGGGGCAGCCTTCGACAGCACGCGAATGAAAGCCTTGCACTGCGCTTGTGACGAAATAGGATATCGTTGGGCGATGATGCGCCACGATGCACATGCATTTGCAGAGATCGTAAAGCTCGTGCAAGATGGTTTACTTGATGCTAAAACTGGTTGGACTCTGCCTCTCGAAGATGTGTCAAGGGCTCATGTTTTGGTGGAGGGGGAAAAAACGGGAACCGGCAAAGTAGTACTCAAGCTGAAAGCTTGACATGTTTGCGAGTTTTCAACTGCTTTCGAAAGTACACGAACTGCACAGGTAGGTAAGTTAGAGTTACATCTCCTTCAAAGATGTCCTTTGGGCCCTAAAACATACCTTCTCTTCTACACAACTCGCGTACTTAAGGAGGGCGCTGACGCCTGTAGAAAACATCCTCGCGGTCTTTCAGGTCAAATGTTGTGGCGACGGCACGTGGTCCTGCACGCAAAGTTAATTTTGAAGTTCACACAGAATACTCAACGGAATAGGTGTTTGCGGAAGCTGAAATTGGGTTGAGCTTGAGCCACAGACAGGATTAAGTTCACAAGGAATGAGGGGAAATAGGGAGGACGTAAACACTAGCAAGAGCAGAAGTGTGCATCTGGTCGCCAAGGACAAATACAAAATAAAAGATATCCTGCGTACCGTTATCTCTATTTATACTCTTAATCATTTTCTACGCAACGATCTGAGTTCCGACTCTTGGCCTCGATCCACTGGTAGAGTGGGTCCTTGGCGCTGCGTCAGGAAAACGAATGCCCCGCCCAACGACGCACCTCCTCAGGGCTTACTGCGACAGCCTTGTCATCAGTAAGAAACATCCACTCTCCCCTCGGAGCTTCTCCACACGATTCATGGGATTAATCCTCATCCATCATGAGGGTTGCACACAGAGTGCCCAAGTCACGGATTGCCGGAGATCGAATCAGCCGAGTGAGGGCGCCCTTTGTGCTGTAACATTTACTGTTTGGTTACCGGGTCATCCCCTCCTCTTCAGTGGGAGTGAAAGCAGTCACCTAAGATAATTATGTGGACTATAAAGTAAAAGAAAAGCATGAACACACGTATTTGTCGCGAGAAGCGTTCAACCCACGGATTTAAATAATAAAACAGTTTCGTTTCTGATCAGTGGAGAAGAAGCAAGAGAGATACTTAAAAGATGGTGGTGTCAAGTGACACCGTAATATCTGAGATGTCCATGCAGCGCTTTACTTTTTCTTGGAGACAGCCTTCTTCGTCGCTTTCTTGGCCTTCTTGGGCTTCTTCACAGCCTTCTTGGCAGCAGCCTTCTTGGCCTTCTTGGGCTTCTTGGCGGCCTTCTTCTTGGGCTTCTTGGCGGCCTTCTTCTTGGGCTTCTTGGCGGCCTTCTTCTTGGGCTTCTTCGGGGCCTTTTTCAGAGCATCTCCGAGTTTGTAGGAAGCTTTTATCTTCAATAATTTGCCGGCCTTGACGAGGTTCTTGAGCTGAGTCGAGAGGATCTTCTTGAAGTTGGCAGGAAGTTTGAAGTTGGCCGCAAGATACTTAGCGATGGCAGGCACGGATGAGCCTTTCTTGTCCTTCAAGGCTAAAATGGCAGCCTTCACCATGTCTTCATATTTCGGGTGTGCTGACATTTTCGGAGGCATTTTGGAGTGCGGCAAATTTCTTCGGCGGAGGCTCAAAGTGGCCTGCAAGTGACTCGAGAAGTTGAAGTCGTAAAAAAATACGAAGACATTTCCTCGTAAATAGTTAAGAAATGTTTAGCCTCAGTTATAAAGTATCATGGGGCAAATTCAAATTAGCTTCTATTGTTTAAATAAATTTTATACAATTTTAGATCATAAGATTTTAAGGAACAAAAAAATAATCTAGCCAATTGAGAGCGTAGATTTATACGGATAGTTCAGGAGTGGCACGGATATTTTTTCGCAGAAATGAGTGGAAGTGGAAGTACGTTGTACGTGTACAACGTACAACGACACGACACTGACACGACTATCGTGGTACTTTCGTACGAAAGTACGGAAGTACGTACGGAAGTACGGATATGAAAGTACGAAAGTACTTTCGTACGAAAACGAAAGTACGAAAGTACGAAAGTACTTTCGAAAGTACAAGTTGTACGTTGTACCTTAAGGTACTTTCGTACTTCCGAAGTTACAGTACGTGTAGTACGAAAGTATTTTCGCCCTTACCAAAAGTTTATCATAATTCATGTCAATATTTATTGTAGCTGCTGTATGTAGCTATGTAGTTGTACAGTTGTACACGTACACGTACTGTATGTGTAGTTGTGTACAGCTGTGTACGAAAGTACCTTCGAAGGAACCTTCGCGTACTTTCGTACTTTAGTACTTCCGTGCACTTTAGATAACTTTAATATTAGCCCTAGCACTGCCCTAGCTAGCTAGCTAGCTAGCTAGATATCCCAGTGATATCCCTACAACGAACGTTTTATCTTGGATCGGAAATACACGTACAGTAGATAGCTAGATACTTCCGTCCGGAAGTACTTTCGTACGAAATAAAGTACGGAAGTTCGAAGGTACACGTACGGAAGTACTTTCGTACGAAAGTACTTCCTACAAAGTACTTTCGTACGAAAGTATTACTTCGGAAGTACTTTCGTACAACGTTGAACACGTGTAGTTGTACTTTCGTACTTTCGTACTTTCGAAAATAATTAGATATCTTCGTATTTTCGTACGAAAGTACGAAAGTACTTTCGAAAGTACTTTCGTACGAAAGTACTTCCGTATTTCCGTACATGTACAGTTGTACACGGACTTTCTCGTACAACACTCGTATGGAAGTACGATAGTATCTATTTCCGTACTTCCGTACGTTGTTTTACTCACACTACACGTACGTGTACACGTGTACACGCAGCCCTATGTAGTACCTTCGAAGGTATGTACGAAAGTATCTATTTTCGAGGTACGAAAATACTTTCGTAGAATACTTTCGTACTTTGTACCTTGGGTACATTGTAGAGTCATTGTAGCATTGTACTCAAAGTACTTTCGTACTATCAAGGGCTACGAGTAACGCGGTGTACAGTACGTGTACCGTCAACTTGCCAAATCGGGAGATAAATCGGCAGTCCAAAGCCACTGAAAGCGCTTCTGCAGGCGCTAACCGTAGCACACCGTAGTCCAATCTGTTGATATGCTGATTGATACTGCGAAAAAGGCAAGCTCGTCACCTTCTCAATCTTCCTCCCTTGTGGCTGAGGCAGAGAGAGATAGGTGCTGTGGAGCCTATTTTGAGCACATACCGACACGGCTCTGTTTCCGCGCGCGTCAAACTAACAAAATTTCTTCCCTGGGTTACAAACAAATCACAGGAGGCTGCTGATCAGAATGTCATAGAGGCGGGTGCAAGCGATCGCGTGAGCTCCGAGATGCTCGCCGCCCACGTCACCTCTCTGAAAATGCGAAACGCCAAAGAGGTTGAAGACAGGAACTACATGCAAATTGATCGTGTATGTTGTTCTCTAGCACTTGCTTTCGGATCCACCCATACAGCCCCTGGATCGATCACGCTTACCCGTTCGAATATTTCGAAATATTGCATGCCTAACGTTACTCTCACTTTCAGGACAACATAAACGCATTCTGGGACAACTCCAAGAGGGACCTGGATAACAAAAAGGTCGAGGTCAGAAATAAGGACCGGGATTTGGAAGAACTGCAGTTGCATCGACAAGTTGAGATAAATATTTATAAGAAAAAAGTTAAACATTTGATGTATGAACATCACAGTCGCATTACCACTTTGAAGTCTGAAGCTGAACTGGCGATCAAGATGCGTGAAGATGAATATCGCAAGCGCTTCACGGAGCTGTTGAACGAAAAACGGTCGCTTAAGATGGAGCTGAAAGAGGCTGAGCTTGCAGAAGAGGACTTAGTTCGTCAGCATAATCTCGATCATGCAAAGGAAATTACGAAGCTGCGACAGGAATTCGAGGCTAACGTCAATGCGATCGAGCAGAAGTATGAGAAGAAGATGAAAGTGCTAAAAGAAGACTCTGAGCAAAGACGCACGCATGAAATCCACGAGATCGAAGAGCGCAAAAATGCACACATAGATCGCCTCTTGAAGGACCACGATATTGCCTTCAGTGAAATAAAGAACTACTACAACGACATCACGCACAACAATCTGGATCTTATAAAAACACTCAAGGAAGATGTTGCTGAACTGAAAAAGAAAGAGGCCACGAACGACAAGTTATTGTTCGAGGTCTCACAAGAAAATAAACGGCTGTCGGAACCTTTGGCGAAAGCATTGAGAGAAGTAGACGAGCTGCGCAAAATGCTGTCAACTCACAACAAAGACAGGCAATCGTTCACCCATACGAAGACGCGCTTACACGACGAGGAGAAGTCGCGAAGCAATATGGAATGGGAGTTTGAAGTGCAGAAACAGCGACTGGACAAAGTTGAGAAAGAACGCAGGGAGCTCTACAACAAATTCGAGCGCGCAATATTTGATATAAAGCAGAAAACATTTCTAAGAAGCTCGGTCGTTGAGCAGAAGCTTGAGGCTCTTGGGGATCAACTAGAGAAAAAAGAAGCGAAGCTGGGAGAGGTTCTATCTGCGTCTAGTCTTGACCCAAGTACCCTTCAAATGGTCACTATGAAGCTTGATGAGGTACTCGACAGCAAAAATCAGCTTATAAAGGCACTTCACAGTGACGTCTCAAAGGTTTCAAAGGCACATAATGACCTCATCCAAGTTTACGAGGCAAAATTAAGTGAGTTCGGTGTTCCTGTTGAGGAACTTGGGTTTGTGCCGCTCCTAGCGAATAGCAACATAGGCTCAGCGAGTTTTGCGGCTGGGGCTTAACTCAAGGGAAAAAGTTGGCCCGAAAACAGAATATCAGTTGAAGCATGATGCGGTCTGATGAGGGCTAGGGAGTCATGTTTTTACTCGCGCAATTAATTTCAATCGCATTCATATCCCGTGATGGGCTTAAATGCATAGACCCACAGCTGCTCGTCTACTCGCACAAAAGGAAATTATGAAGTTTCTGGAACTCGGTCACTACCCAGAAGTACTGCACTTCACAAAGAAACAGCCTAAGTTATGTCAAAGTCATGGATTCCACAAGTAAAGTTTCTATAGAATTAAGGTTCACTTTGATATTAAGTGAGTTACAGATATCTGCTATGATATGTTGTGGGTTGAAAATAACAGAACACAGATAAAACTCCGGTCAAAATTCAAATTTCTCTCGTCTCTTTGTCTTCTGGGATGTCAAACGTTACCCCGGTCCTCCCAAAATATAAATTATCATTCAACTGGAACGACCAGGAATCTCTTCTACATTTTAGCAAGTGAATCTTTCGAATCTATAAATGCATCCTTTGGACTTTCGTCGTAGTTCGTTTCGTTTGCATGCTGAACACCCCTAGGAAGTTTATCTTCACCTCCCTCCCTGTCTCCAAGTATTTCCTCTTGAATAGTTTCGAAAGCCGAGACAGTCTCTGCCTCTTTAAGATCCGCTGCAGCGCCAGCAGTAGTGGCTTGAACAGCTCTTTCCGTCGGGGTTCTTTTTGAGCAATCCAGAACACGGTCGGAAACGTCCAAATTGGTCGTGCCTAAAGCACTCTTGGCTCTTGGCAATAAGCTTTCTTTCCTTGCAAGCCACATACGGAACTTCCGGCGTGACAACTCCGATTTTGCCAATGTAGCATGTTTTACTTTTGTGCAAATGAACTTCCCAACGCGATCAAGCCTTTTACGATGGAATATATCCTCAGTGTCAAGGACGTACGATACTTTAGAGTTGTTACAGGCGATTTTGCACTCCAGCGAATTGAACACACTGACTCGATATGGACGTTCTTTCGCAGGACCATGGGAAGTGTGGCCATCCAAATCGTGTCCTGCTGCTACTTTACTTCGTGCAAGAAATATATCTGGTTGTTCCGTGCGATCTAGCCTCAGTCGGTTAGTCGTATTACCCTCTCCGGCAACCACGATAGTCTGCAAGAAGTCTTCGAGATACTCGTGGAAGTGTGCTTCCATCGTCCCTGCTGGAACTTCTGCCTTTTCCAAGCCGAATTCCATTAATTTAATGGTGAGTACTTCCCCATCTTTCGATGAGCCGATACGGAAACACGCTTCATCAAGCAACAGTACACTGGCGTTAGCATGGTAGATAGCTTCGATAAACGGAGTGCTCCGCGCACTTTCATATTCAGATAAATCGAGAAGCTTTGAAGCCATCTCATCAGTGAAGAGATTTTGGACCTGCTGAC